TTTAATTTTAATTTTTTATTTTTATTTATTTTTTTATTTTTTTATATTTTATTTTGTGATTTTCCAACTTTAAAATTGATTTATTAAACAAAATGGTATGAAAAAGAACAAAATTGTGTTGTTCTGTTTGAGTTTGTTGGATTTGTTTATTTTTGGTGCCGGGGGGGTGCGATATTTCGCGCCATACTTGGCATTTGTCGCACAGCTTAAAATCCAACAGAAACACCTTAGCAACAACACGTTGAGTTTGGGACCACATTGAACACTGACACATTCGAGTATTCCATTCCGTACGGATTTCTATTGCGGCTCTCTTATTCCAGTTCGAGACAATGTACCTGTGCCAAATTGTTAGGTACAAACGGAATTCATATATTAATATAGCTAAATAAGCAGGATCCGGTGCTACAAACTAAATATATGACAATATTACAAAAACTCAATTAACAACGTCAATTTGAAACGATCCTTGAATCGATCGTGCGCGCCTTGGAAGTAGAAAAAAGCCCTCATATCATGGTATGAAATATTTCTAGGCCAAAAAAGAAAAAGAAAGAACGAAAAAGTAAATACAAGAAGAGGCGAATAACTATATAAAGAAAGTCCGACTGGGGATCTCTTCTACCACCTTCGTACGCTACTGACTCAACAAGCTGTTATTACCAGCAGGTGCGAAAGCCACTTGCACCTTTGAGGGGTCAGATTTGCGATCAAGAGTGACAAAGCGACTAAGTGGGGCTTCAACCCAGTGTGTAGTACTGGTGTTCTCATCAGTGTATTTACGAAAGTTCTTGAGCCAAGTTTCGTCAAAGCCTGACCAAGCGAGTACGCAACCCCCACCATAAAGGCCGATGACTGGAGCATGTTTGAGAATACGTCCAACAACAGGCATAGCCTGGATGAACCCAGCAGTTCGGGGGCCCTCGATGTGCCACTCGAATGAACCCCATGGACAACCTTCGCCCTGGTCATTCCGGACTACTTTCAGATTTTTTCCACGCGGGGCGACCCCAACAAAACCTTTGACGTCACCAGCATACCAACCATGGCTTCCGCAGGTCCAAACCATGGTGAATTTGACGGGAACGACAATAGTTTCGGCCTGCATCTTGTAATAATCGCGATCGTGTGTCGATGTTAGGTTTACGTGAAACTATCTCCAGATCAGCAGGGTTTATCATGATATCAAGTGATGATAATAAAGGCAAGGAATTCATTTATTTATGATAATACTTACAGGAAGTTAACACCTTGGGGGACAAATTCACACACGCGATAGGTTTGCTGAGGAGGGATGCGGCAACGCTTAATATAGCAGGCTGTATTTGTGTAGAAGAATCAGATTTGACAGCAAGGTGACACTTAAGGACGTCCACAATGAGAAAGGTTTGAGACGTCGTTAAGATTTAAAGAGATTTTTATGGTATGAGTAGGAACGAGACCAGGGTAAATACTGGAATAAGATAGAGGACGAACACTTTATTTCAACAGTGGAATGGACAAAATTATGCCTAAAACTTTCAGAGATAGGTTACAATCGAAATGAAATAAATTATGATGGATATCGATAGAGACTGACACCAAAATCTAGTCACCGAAAAACTGGCTTCAGATAACAGGAACTGGGGATACTTATAAAGATTTATTCCGTAGCTACAGAACCACGGCGCTAGCAGCAATTAATTCTGGTTTACGAGATAAACGACGCTCTTTCAGAACAGCGAAATTAAATTTTATTTTCCATTCTGAAGCATTTACAATTTTTAATGTTTGATTTTCGTCTCAAAAAAAAACTTGAAAAAAGATACTGACAGGCTCGGCTAAGCTAGTTTAGTGTTAAGCCTGACAAAAAGCTAGCTAGAGAGACCTATAGGCCGAACACGAGGAAGGAAGTATCTCGAGCTGGATAGATACACTACGTGTGAGGTGATTTCTTCCGCCACGTAGACCGACATCTACATATCTTATGCATATTCATGCAGACAATTCTTGAACACGCCGGCGCCCTCTTCACTTTCGGATAAACCCCGTTAGAATAAGATTAGTCTGTGTGATATATATATCGCTATCGTGCAGTTAGCGGCGTTTTGTCCTGGTGTAACCTCCGTGAAGAATTTCAGCCGGCGCTTGCTCCCCCACCCCTACGATAGACGGTGGTACTATGCCGCTTTGCATAAATCGGTCATCTCTATTGGCCTGGAAGGGAAGAAAGACAATTATAATTACCTAATTGGTTCCCAATTGGTTGGATGTTAGAGTACTTGCCGAGAGCAACGGAAATCTTCAAAATCCTGATATCAAAGCCAATTGAAGTATGCATCCTCTTGAAACTATTTTACGTACGCGAACTACCTTTAACAGAATGGATATACATTTTAGAATAATAGATTACGAATTGGAAGTTGATTGGCGCTCGTGATGCGCAGAAGACTTGCAGATTGACTTCTCAGGATTTCTAAATCCATTGATTCCAATGCAAGATCTGTTGGATACTCGCCCTCCAAATCGAATTGATCCTGATTTGGAGAGACATACATCTAGCCAATTCTACATACAGATTGCACGTCTTCTATCCTTACCGGTATACCTATCATATATCAAGGCCAAGAACTTGTGGGATTGGTTATAAGCAGCTTTGTTGGAATTATGTCTGTGTGTATGTGCTGTTCATTCACAGTAATCGATCACTCGTTGCATGAATTAATCAAGTCGGGTCGCGGAGGTTAGCTATACGGCTGAGCCCGCCTTCCCGTGACTCTCAAACCTCAAAGGACAACCCCCCCCCCCCATAAAATCATCTGTTGGAATAGTTCGGTTGAGTTTTGGATGTCGATAGTCAGTATTAGCATCAGTCACAATCCAGCAATATATATACTAGTACTAGTTTACGAGACCAACTAGTAACCATCTGATACTTCATCCCTGGTGGATTACAAACGTTCAAACACTAGCTATACAATGATGGAAGCAGAAACTACCGGAAACCGGAGGAAGCTCACTGCAGATGATTACACCATAGCAATAATATATGTCAAGCCCATAGAAATGGGCGCGATAACTGCTATGGTAGATGAGTTTCATCAGCCGGTTGAACTGCATATCAACGAGAAAAATGAGTATACCTTGGGCCGCATTGGTAACCATAATGTTGCTATTGTAGGACCAGCAAAAGGCAAACAGGGGAAAGTAGCAATCACAGGAGTTGCTGCACGCATTTCATATATGTTCAGAAACATCAAAGTGGGTTTGTTAGTTGGGATTGGAGGTGGAATACCTCGTCCAGACGCAGATAAAGATGTGCGATTGGGGGATGTGGTAGTTGGTGCACCTGAGTATGGTGATGCAATTGTCCAGTACGACCTTGGAAAACAATATACCGACAGAGTGGAGAACTCTAGGTCTCTCAATAAGCCGCCAGATATTCTTTTAAGAGTCGTTGACAGAGTCAACGACGAGCATCGACGAGCGAAGCTAGAAGACGACTTCTTCCGAAGCCACCTGAAGAGATTTGAACAGTTTCCGAGAATAGAAGAAGATTATAAACGTCCAAAAGCCGCCGATCGTTTATTTGATCCTCTATTTGAACATGATGGGAGTTCGTGTAGCGAACACCACACTTACTACGAAGTCAAGCGGAAGCCCCGAAATCCTAGACTAGGAGATGTCAAGATACACTATGGAACAATCCTGTCAGGGGATATGGTTATCAAATCAGGGAAAAGGAGGGACGAAATAGCATCAAACTATCCTAATGCTCTATGTTTCGAAATGGAAGCGGCAGGAGTAATGGACGACCTTCCGTGTCTTGTCATACGAGGAATTTGCGACTATTCGGATTCGCACAAAAACAAGGAGTGGCAAGGGTATGCCGCAGCTACAGCAGCTTCATATGCCCGGGAGATTCTTTTGACAATGGCAGAAAGGGTAGAAGGAGACTTTGGCGGAGGAACACGTACCGGGCTTCCTTCTAGATCCGCTACATGGCCTGCAACCGCAAACTCAAGTACTACGAATAACAAAAATACCACATCGCAGCCTCTTTGGGGTGGTGACTTTTTTGATAGCCCTCTTTTCACACCGCCTCCGAGTACCAGCAGTCAAACGCCGGTCCGTGCTCTCTGGGGTGGCAACTTCTTTGATGGGCCCCAATTTACACCGCCTACAAGCCCCGGGGGAATTGGAGTGCGGAAGACTTACACCTATTAAAACGTGGGCTATCGTTTCAATTTCTATAATAAGTTAGACGGCGATATGTCTACTTAATCAAGTGTTAGCATGTTACCTATTATTTTGTTTTTACTCTGTTATTATATATAAATTTATAAAAAGGATCCAATAAGAACAGGGGGCCCCTGGTTGGGGCTACATCTTCGCCGATTGACCCAGGTCCCGGCCGTCCCTCATCTCCATTATGCGTGGAATCGTGTCGTTTTACACTACTATCACATTGTTTTGATATATATAATTAGATATCTCGAATCAAAATCTATGTTAATTGATCAGCAGTACGGACTGTGATCTTCTTTTATTTTTTTCCAAGGCAGAGTTGAGCGTCCCTCAGACTAAATTTCGTATGAGATCTTAAAGCCTAACTGGGGATGGTGATATTCTATCGATATCCCGGTCAGGCCCGGACGCCGCGAACCTCTAAACCGCCCTATAACTATTTTGGTCTAGCTTCAAGATCAGGCACGAATGAGGACATGGCTGCAAGGTCGTGTTTTATAAATTTAGGTCTCGAGGCTACAGATGAGCACTTTGGCCAAAAATACTATCACGGTAGCTATAACGCTAGATGTATGCCATCAATTACTTAATTAAATGCGTATTACAAATTCTACGTACAACAAGCGCAAGCAATTCCATGCTATCATGTATAAGGTCTAGGCCTCGGCTCAGTAGCTGAGTCGATACCTCACTGTATTTACAAAATATAGGGAGCAACTGCTCGCGCAATATGAATATGCCTATGCACTATGCACCGAGAATTATTCACTTTTCTTGGTACCCAACTCGACACTTCTGACTTTTAAATCAAGCTATCCATATCAATCAACGGAAACCAAAAAAAACCTCAACTGGAAGATATAAAGTTCGTAGAGTTTACATCCTCAGTGAATCTATCCCTTGTCGCGTGTACGAACCTCTTCTCATCCTTCACTGAATTCAGGATGAACCATGCATCTTTCTTTGTCATTAATCCTTGCAATTGTCCATGATACTGGAATAGCAGATACCTCAGCCCAAGATCTTGGAATAAGGACGTTGCAAGCATCAACGAGCTTCTCGCTGGAAGCGTCATAGGCGTATGATCCATCCATGGCCGCATGTCCAGAGAATTCTCGGACACAGTTCCAATCAAGGCCGAGCCCCCGAAGTGGCATTCCGTTGTTCGAGGTAAATTCTTAGCCTTGTCGATGGCGTATCGAAGCTCGGTTCTAGAAATGTAGCCTAGAAGCAAGGCATCCCTAGCATCTGCCACAACGGGGAATCCTTTGTAAGGTTGAGTGTGAAGTAAATCATCTAACTCAGCATATTAGTAGCCGTATGAAACGTTAGACGAGCAATTAATCATATTCGTACCTAGGGATGCAATTGTATGACCAGTCGCCTCAATCATAACGATATCCTCAACCCTTGTCATGACCTGCGAAACAAGGAGGTCGGGTACAGGTTCTTCGCGGTTATCTAAGAATGGGTACTCTTGGAAATTAATCCATGCTTCGTAGATTCCTTTGCGATCGAATGCGTCCCCAACCCATTTGCTGATTAATACTGCCACCATGATAGGTAGTACATAGGTCAGCGCCCCTGTCAACTCGAACATAATAACAACGATGGAAACTAGAGAGAGGATAAGGTGTTAGCTATTTGGATATAGTGAGAGCTGAATCGTTTCAGTTCCTTACCGGTCATTCGAGTAACGCCTCCGACAGCCGATGCAGCTCCTACAATTGCGTAGACACCGGGTGTGATACATTGAACATCTGGTTTACAGGACCCAAACATCCAAGCCGTATGATTATTTCTCTGCCAGACTTGAACAACCATCCCCATGGCTCGTCCGTACAGGGCGCCAATTCCCATGGAAGGGAGTAAGATTCCGGCAGGAATCTGAAGCCCAAATGTAAATGAAGCAAGGATCATCCCTAGCACGGAGGCTAAGATCAGCAGCGACACTGGACCTGCAGTTTTCCCGTCTCTATTCGCGCCGTTAGTAATCAGCGAAAAACGAATTTCGAAATCAAACATACTGGCAAATGTCCAAAATATCGTCATTTGTAGCACTGCACTCTTGAAAGAGATTGGCAACAAGTTCAGAGACTTGAACTCGCATGAACACATTTGGATAATTTATTAGAGCCGACGCGAGGGCAACAACGAAGACTTCGAGAACCGGGAAAGATTTTACCCAGGTCCTCCTTCGAATTCCGGCTATAAAGATATTGACTTTAATGAAGAGACCACCGTATAGTCCCTACAATAGAAAAACAGAATTAAAATCCAACTATCTCAATAACATTTGTGTAGTACTCACCCCCATAATGCCCAAAATACAAAATGGGACTAGTTCAAAATCATGCCACCCTCGGGTGAATATAACTTGGTACATGACCAATTTTTCCGTCCTAAATGGGTTCATAAACTAGATAGACCTATTCGTTAGCTCGAATATAAACCTGAATCAGGATTACAGATCTGACCTGCAGGGTCACAGCCGCCACCATAGCACAAACGAAGCTCTGCCACATCGTTTTATCTGGGAAGTAGTACGAAACCTGCTCTAAACTGAACAGCACGCCTCCAATTGGTGACCCAAAAGCTACTGATATCCCGGCAGCCGCCGCTGCTGATAGGATTTCTCGCTTACGGGCTTCATTTCGACTAATGGAATGGAACGGCTTCATGAGGATATTGGCACAGCTGCAAGCCACATGCACCAAGGGGCCTTCTTTTCCAAGCCATAAGCCTGAGGCGACCGATAGACACTATCCAACTGTCAGTTGGGACCAGCAATCGCATCATTCACAAACAACTTACTAAGCCGAGCGACTTTATAAGTAAGGTCCATCCGCCCATAAATCGACGAATGACGAACCCGCCCAAAACAGTTTTTATCTCGGGTATACCGCTTTGGCGAGCATATGGGGCATATTCTAGAACCAAAAAACATGCAGACAGAGCAAATGTGATCTACCACCGCATCAGTACCTATATCATTGGCAGCAGGCGAGGGTGGGCTTACAGAAAATAAAATAAAGATTAGGTATTGTACTACATATACCCCACCGGCAGGCCCGACGTGGAGTAAATGTCCCCACGTGACCCAGTCTTTGCATTGCTCCGTCGCTATTGAATGTTAGGGGATTATTCCAGGTAGTCAGAAAAGTTAAGTACGAACATTGAAGACCCCAGCAGCAGAACGAGTGGTTTAGATAAAATGAAGTTGTGCAGACACCGGTTTTTACATCAGCTAGCCAGTTTCCGGCGATATCTATCGTGGCAGCAATAAACCCAACGGCCAAGCCAGAAAGGATGAGAACAATCCAAGCCTGACTAGCATCCGCAAGTACCCTAAAGTACGTCGTAATCCCCCCTCCACCGCGAAGAATCCGTAACCGTAGCTGCTCAATCGTATACTCGTGAATCCAGTCTGTACGCATCCAACGTCAATAGTTCCATTCGGCGAGAGGCTGTAACGAGATTTAGAGCACCTATCGCAGTAAGATCATCGTATGCGACTCTCTGCCCGGGAGCTTCTGTAGACCAGTCCAGAAACCCCGGTTTATTGTCCAGCATATGGCGACTCGGTCCGGCATCTGAATCCCCGAAAGGCTCCGCTGTATCGTCGGAAATCAGTTGTATCGGACTGTGCCGGGTATTCATATGGCTCCCCGCTGCGCTGCGCGACCCTTCGCCAGCGAAGGACATTCCGTCCATCCAACGCGGCGAATACCTCCGCCGGTCGCGACTTGTTGACTACCGATGGTATTACCCCAGCTTATTATTCAAGCATCGATCGCCTCCAAATGAGCTATATGGCTGTCAAGGGGGGTTTCGTGAGTGGCTACAGCTGAGATGTGGATATTAGCGTCGTTGGTTGTCGACTGAGTGTGACGTTGGGTTTGGGAGAACGTGGCCCTTGGTTGTACGAAGCAAATGAACAGATTGCCGGTATGAACCAGAAGCTTGTATTCCGAATGTAGCTTTCCGGACAAAATATCGCGAAAGACACAGTCTAGTTGTATTTTCCTTGAAGCCCGAGCGAATATCAAGATGTACGTAATGCAAGATCCACAGCTTATTAGAGGTGTTTGACACCCAACCTGAGATACCTCATGTAAGTACCTCTGGCGTGGGACCAGATCTTGGCCCTGATCATGCGGCCTTCACGCAGCTGGTCTACATGCAAATTAGCTGCCATCTTGGCCCGAAATCCGACATCTGGATCAGCTGGCCAGTCTGTTCGCTGCAAATCGCTACCCCGGCCCAGCCCAGAGCCGGCGCGAAGAAATAGGCCTGCATGAGACCGGGTTTACCATGCCTTGCCGTGGAAGGCTGTACTGTGTGTGGGGAACCAATTGTTAGCAGTCTATTGATGGATCAGGAAAGAGCAATGCAACGGCCGGCTGAGGTGCGGGGCCCCAGATTAGATTGGCCCCCCATCTGGATGCATAACAATTCGACGGTCCAAGCGATTCTATCTGGCCGGTTTGTATCATTGCATGGCATTGTAGTAATTGCACTGTTGGTGGAAACGAATTGAGGGGTTAGTCGAAGTACTTATACATTGTAGCCGGTCCCAACTGTCGACTCGACTTGACTCGACTCGACTCGAGCCGTTAACTCCCTCATAGCATAGACGCAGAGTTACGAATGGCCAGTTAGTTAGTCGGACTTACCTGATAAATACATTACAGTATATTCCTTCTACACACTTTATCAAAGGCTCTATTTAATCTGCAGATGCAAGAAACCTCATCTTCACCTTCACTACCGCAGCAGTAGCGAGATTGTTCGCGTGGGATGTAATCCCGGGCCGAGGCAAGCAACACACATCTTCACGATGGTTCTGACTGTTGGCTCAACCTCTCCATGCTTTGGTAATGTCGTCAAAATGAAGGCCGTTCTCTCTTCCGGACTGTGTATGTTCCCCATACCCGAGGCTGCCCGGCGTATTAATCTGTACAAATACGGGCTGCATTTACTAATTACTTACATATCGTCTATATCTACAAAGTGCCTTCCTCCCGGCTGGTCTCGTGTAGTGGGTATGTTGGTCATAGACTAGTATCCCTCCGACCCGGCCAGAATGGAAACCAAATCAGTGTTTTCTCAACTTCGGCCCCCAGGAACTCGACAGAGGTCCCAAAGCCCTCCGGAACACCTTACTCCAACTTGACTATTGGAATTCCTCTTGAAACTTTCCCCAATGAGCGTCGTGTCGCTATAGCTCCCCAAAATGTGGCCCAGCTCCGCAAGAAGGGCTTCAAAAAGGTCATTATTGAACAAGGAGCTGGTGCTGAATCTAGCTTCTCTGACCGTGCCTATGAAGCTGCCGGCGCTACAATTGGAGACAGGAAGTCTGTCTGGTCTGACAGCGATATCTTGCTAAAGGTTCGAGCACCTAATCTTGATACCGAGGTTCCGAATCTTCGTCGTGGATCTACTCTCGTTTCGTTCATCAGTCCAGCCGTCAACAAGCCTTTAGTTGAGGCTCTAGCAAAACAAGAAACTACCTCTTTCGCTATGGATATGATTCCTAGGATCTCTAGGGCCCAAGCATTTGACGCATTGAGCTCGATGGCCAATATCGCTGGTTATAAAGCCGTTTTGGAAGCCTCGAATCATTTCGGACGTTTCTTTACTGGACAAGTCACCGCAGCCGGAAAGATCCCTCCTTGTAAGGTCCTCGTAATTGGTGCTGGTGTAGCTGGTCTTTCAGCTATTGTCACCGCCCGTCGTATGGGTGCAATCGTTCGAGGATTTGATACTCGAGAGGCTGCCCTCGAACAGGTACAATCTCTCGGCGCAGAGCCAATCCGTGTCGACTTTGAAGAATCCGGCGAAGGAGGAGGCGGGTACGCCAAAGTCATGTCCAAAGAATTCATCGAGGCCGAAATGAAACTCTTCCATCAACAAGGTTGGTCTTCTACGGTGAACATTAATGCATTGGCCAGTGACCCGAATCTAATGTCGTTATCTGGCAAATAGCTAAGGAAGTTGATATTATTATTACTACCGCTCTAATCCCTGGAAAGCCCGCTCCTCGATTGATCACGGACGAAATGATCGCTGACATGAAACCCGGCTCTGTAATTGTTGATCTTGCTGCCGAAGCTGGCGGAAACGTAAGTTTAACCAAAGCGGGCGAAATTGTCACCAAGAACGACGTACATATCATTGGCTATACCGACCTCCCATCCAGGCTTCCTACCCAATCTTCGACTCTATATGGCAACAACATTACCAAGTTTCTTCTTTCCATGGAAGGAGCCGAAGGAAAATCCTTCGCCGTAGACCTCAACGACGAAGTGGTTCGAGGTTCAATCGTAACTCAAAATGGTTCTATTCTGCCGCCTGCTCCACGTCCAATCCCCCCGCCACCTCCTCCAACCAAGTCTAAGGTTGATGATAAAGCGACCCAAACACTTGAAATAACCCCATGGCAAAGGACTACCCAGGAAGTTGCTGTTGCTACAGGCGGACTTGGCGGACTTTTGGCTCTTGGAAAACTGACTTCACCTATCTTCATGAGCAACATCTTCACTTTTGGTCTCGCCGGTCTTGTTGGATATAGGGCAGTTTGGGGTGTTCAACCGGCTCTCCATTCCCCTCTCATGAGTGTCACAAATGCAATCTCTGGTATGGTCGGCGTTGGAGGCTTCTTCCTTATGGGTGGAGGCTACTTCCCAGGGACCTTCCCTCAGTTGCTCGGTGCGGTATCAGTTGCCCTAGCCTTCGTCAATGTCTCTGGTGGTTTTGTTATCACAAAGCGCATGTTGGATATGTTCAAACGACCAACCGACCCACCAGAATATGGATACCTTTGGTCAATTCCTGCCGGCGTGTTTGGTGCCGCTTTCGTCGCTTCTGGACTTGGAGGCCTCGCCATCGATGGCCTTCCCACCGCCGGATATCTCGTATCTTCACTCCTTTGTATTGCCTCTATTTCAGGATTGTCGTCCCAGGCCAGCGCCAGACGAGGAAATATTCTCGGAATGCTTGGCGTTGCAGTTGGTGTACTCGCAGCTCTTTCATCCCTCGACTTTTCGCCCCAGACTTTGACTCAATTTGGAGTCCTTGCTGCTCTTGGAGGGATTGCTGGTGCAGCCATTGGATTTAGAATTACACCTACTTCACTCCCACAGACTGTTGCTGGTAAATTCTTCTCGCCTAATTAGGTCCCAAATACAATGGATTACTAACTCGAATACGTAGCCCTTCATTCCGTCGTTGGTCTCGCAGCCGTGTTTACAAGTATCGGACTGGTACTTGGCCATGTTAATGATATCTCGACTTCACATCTCGTTACTGCCTATCTCGGAGTCCTCATTGGTAAGACCCCATTCCGAAGCGAGATTACCGGTCACCCAATATCGTTCTAATGCTCCCGAAATAGGTGGCGTTACTTTTACTGGTTCAATTGTCGCATTCTTAAAACTCGCTGGCAAGATGTCATCAAAGCCGTTGGTTTTGAAAGGGAGACATGCAATAAATTCAGGATTATTAGGAGCTAATATCGCCACCGGCGCACTTTTCGCAACTTCAGCAATTGGAAATCCTGGTATTGCTGCAACATGCTTAACAGTGAATGCACTTCTTTCTTTTGCGAAAGGCTACACCACGACCGCAGCAATCGGAGGAGCAGATATGCCCGTAGTCATCACAGTAAGAGAACTTCGTACTTCACTTTCAAAATCTATAACTGGTGGTTCTAACCAATGCCCAGGTCCTTAATGCCTACTCCGGATTTGCTCTCGTCGCAGAGGGTGTCATGCTAGACAATCCTCTTCTAACAACTGGTAGGTAACAAGACAAATATACTTGAAACATCGCTAATGCTTTTGTAGTCGGATCACTCATCGGGGTCAGCGGTTCCATCCTCTCGTACATCATGTGCGTTGGTATGAATCGGTCCATTACAAACGTTCTTTTCGGAGGCATCGCCCCAATTGCGCAAGAAGAACATAAAATGGAAGGAGTTATCACCAAAACCTCAGTTGACGAGACAGTAGACGCCCTACTAAACTCTGAAAGTGTCATAATTGTAAGAAACGACACCATAATGAACTCATCGGGCCATTTTCGCTTACACATAAACATATATAGATTGTTGGGTACGGCATGGCAATGGCCAAAGCCCAATACCCAATTGCTGAGATCGTTAAAATCCTCCAAGCCCGCGGAATCAAAGTTCGCTTCGCCATCCACCCGGTCGCAGGGCGCATGCCCGGCCAGTGCAATGTGCTCTTAGCTGAAGCATCTGTGCCGTACGACATTGTACTCGAAATGGATGAAATCAACGAGGATTTCCCGGATACTGATCTCGCCTTGGTTATTGGTGCAAACGACACTGTCAACCCAATTGCGCTTCGCCCAAACAGCCCGATCGCTGGTATGCCCATTATTGATGCTTATAAGGCCAAGTCCGTTATTGTTATGAAGAGAGGCATGGCGTCTGGCTATGGTGAGTTTCTATATCCCTAGATTTTATATTCTGAGATGCTGACGAACTCGAATCACACACAGCTGATGTCCCAAATCCGATGTTTTACATGCCCAACACTCGCATGCTTTTCGGCGATGCTAAGGCTACTTGTGACGGTAAGTCGCCCACAGAACTTTCCATAATACTCAAGGGGGAAAAAATAAGCTAACATTACCCACTCATAGCAATCAAAACCGGATTAACTAGCCGCGGAACACAAACAGATTAAACCGCAAGTTCGAATGTATTTTCCTTGTTGTATCAACGTGCTAACATTAACGCTTCCATCGGCATATTACTATACCCACATATATATCCTTTCTTATGTGAAAGCATAGATTAGATCTCAGATTATTTTGTCTTGCCGTCATTCATCACAGCAGTATCATGATACTTTTTTTGTTTTTAAGACATCGTGGAGACACCACCTCGTAGTGGTTGATCATTGACTAAATTAAAGTCTGTTGCATTTTTTCCTAGTTGCGTTGTAGGGTCCTATCGAGTCTCCCAGACAGCTGAGGTGCACTATCAGAGCTTGACGTTGAGATAAGCCGAATTCGAATGGCAACTTGATGGTAACTTAATTCGGTTTCGTCCTTGGTAAGCTTTAGCTTTGAAGTTGCGATCCGTAACTCAATTCTATAAATGGCGAAATCTATCTTTTATATATTCCGCACATTAGTAAACGTTTCATGATGTAGTGAGTATTAATATAGACCTTGATACGAACAAATGCATACCTTTGAGTAAGAAATATAGGACCATATGTCGGCAGTTAGCCAAAATCTACGCGAGTGCAACATACAACGAAGGGTTCTAGAAGGAGATTCGCAATAACCATTGTGAATGGTGACAGCCTGTGGTGAACAAAGAGAAGAAACAGTTCGAAAAGAATGGGGGACCCGTCCCCTATCCCTTAGGAGTAGGCCTTGGGTTTAAGCGCTCTTGCCTTGGCACTTAGCCGCGGAAAATTGAGATTCGGTGGCCAAAGATCAGCTAGGCGTGGACAATGCATTAATGGGCGGAGGGCTAGTATACGAGAGCAGCTGAGCCGGGTATAAACAATTATAACCTGATCATGAGAATACCTATCTCAAGGATTCGTATACGATGTGTCAGATGCAGAGCTAGAGTCAGGGTATCCTATCCTATTCGTTCACATAAGATATATATATATGCAGGAGAGCATCCCCCCTCCACAGTTTCAAACTGAACGAAGCGTGGATGACTACAGCTACCCCACTGGCTCTTCCGGATTGTCTTCGGTTGTATATCAAATTTAACCTAGTAATCTACTACACTAATTGACTTTGCGGGGGGGGGTTCATTAAGAAATTCCTTGTCATATATATTTGCAAATTTAAATATTTGAAGATCTCTGTCCTTACGAAAACGCTCAGGTCTCTAAATACATCAATGTAGGCCAACCCCTTACATTACCTAAAGCTTAAATAATCAGCACATATTTATTAACCTCGATATCGCAGTATTTTGAACTTAAGCACTCGATATCCAGGTTTCGGTGTCGAGTAAATAGAAATGGAGCAAGTGGTAAGCTTAACCCCGGAGTCAAGGCCCGCGTGTGCTATCAAGAAACATTCGATCAACCATTTAATCTCGAACCTCAATTATAACCAGGATCAGAATATAATAAGCCCGTAAAACCGCACTGCCCTGTTCGCTTAAAATCCATTGCTAAAAAACGGGATTAAGCTATAGCTTCCATAGCCATAATAAGAAATGCAAGTTCGGCTCCGAAATCAAAGTGTACCTGGAATCCTAGCTAGTTGTGGATTCGGCAAAGCCTAGGACCTAGATTCACCCTGTAGGTCGTTTAACCTAAGGGTTTCAAATATTCAAGCTAGATAGAATACCTTTCTAGTTGTAAATTTGGTTGCATTGTAGTGAAAAAAAAAACTATAACTGAAGAGACTACACACGTGGAGCCCTCTAGCACTAGTATCAACAGATTTCCTCTCGGACAATGCTCCATTTTGGGGGGCTAAATGCATGCGGTGTGTAATATATTGCCTTTTTCGCATAATGCAATGGTTGACAAAAAGGAAACTTGTATTTACATATAGGCGGCTACAACATATGGGTTTTCCTCGGATACCAGCTGCCGTTTACCCTAAAGTACTTTAGCCAGCCTTGAAACTTAACTGGTGTGTATAACTCAATTTTTAAACTCACTGATTACATTAGCTGATAAGTTCGTGTATTTACCTGACGGCGCCGCTACCACACCTATCACTTCTAACCCAGCTAGCTAGAATCCAATACAATTGCAATTTTACCCAGCCTAAGAAGAGTCAGACATTAAGGCAGTGCTGCCTCATTATGATGTTCCCTTCCATGTCTTTAAATTGAAACATCACATGATACTACCAAAATCCCCTCGGTACAGCCGAGCGCCGTGAGGTTATAACTGATGTCAGTGAATCGGCTTTCCATCACATTTTTGCCTCATTATTAATATCAATCTCATGGGGCGGATTGATGGTACGATTCTGCGACATATATTTGTCCAATTCGTATTCGCCTGTATCTACAGTTAGTAGGTGAGACAGTACACCTAAGGTTCGGAATATTCAGTCAGCTTGAATAAGAAATATATAAGATTACGGCTTGATAGAGGTATTGCAGAAACGTGAACGGGGTGGCGAGGTGGGGGTTGAATACGTAACTTATCACCCAGAACATTCTAACGATATCGCGGGGAATCGGGCCATTATTTAGGGATAATGCAAGATCTTAAAGCATGCTGAGGCTTACAGTTCAAAACTAGTATATCCAATTGGAGTTTTTATGGGATGTATACAGAAGCAAAAATACAACAAACTCACAATCTTACGGGGGGGGAGAACTAAATCCCAACCGATCAGTAATCGATAACCAGGTACTGGTATTATATGATATGCTTGCAAGGAGTAAAGGGCTCGAGGGATATATGCATATATCTCAAGTCGTGCACCACCAGGTCCTCCACAATCCCCACAAAACGGCCCAATTGGTTATAGAATTAGAATTGAGCCTCGAGTCTCTTAGTCAAAGCTAGGCCGTCTTTTTGTGAACGATACGACCCGTCCGGCCTCGTACCGTCAGCATACATACATTAAACCCCACAAAAACACGCTCGGCCCGTGATCCGTATACATAGTCACCGACGCGAATCGGAATTGTGCAATCGAGTTCGGCGCTGACCGAAATCGATTTCCCTAACATGCGACATTGTGGAAATTATTTAGTTTATTTTTGATCATTGGCAGAGTTGTCTCTCCAGAGTTGTCAGCCGGATAGATACGTAGGCTGAGATATCGATACACCGACGCTTGGCTTACGAGATATGACACTGAAGTTCCCTGTGCGGGAGCTCTGCAATGGAGCCGGGTCAGCGGCCAACTGCAACCAGGTAACCACGGATATCATATCATACGATCTGTTATTGCAAGTGCGAAGGCTCGACTATAACTTTGGGCTAGATTAATTTGAAAGGATCGCGAGCGAACAAGCGATATCTTATGGTACTTGTAGCCAAAGAATTTAGCCTGAAAGTCGACGGGAAGTAACAGGGCCATGACGCTGCCGAGTTCGAGCTGACCCAAACTGAGAGATTTGGTCCCGGTCTTGTCGACAATTGCCCCAGACCCCTGTCGTAGACCCGGTCCTTTGTGTGACTTTAACCGAATTCCAACAACCAACACACTTCCCAAACTCCAGAACCCATGCATGCTTTGGAGTTGAAGGCGTGTCGTATAGGCACAATCCGATATCCATTTCCGCAAGTCATGTCTCATCGACTCATCGTTCTGTAAATACGGTACTAGTTTACGGTTTACAACGCCGCGCACTGTTATTTCCTAGTCACCTATGCAGAAACCTGAATTCCCGCATATTCGCACTTCGCCGCCTAGATGCATGGATACATTGATACATCGATATTGGATACGAGCTATGGATCATCATGATATCACATTCACCGGTACACCTCGCACTTACCAAAGGAAGGTAGATAATGACTATCTATAGATGGAAGTATCTGCAGATTGGATACTGAAAGGTCTATAAATACTAAGAGTACCACCCTTAGGGTGGTTTTTTTTTCATCATCAAGCAAAGAAAACTTCAAATCAGATCACCAATCAAGAGCATTTCTAGCTATAAAAAGCCTACAGTCTACTTCCAGATAACTTCAAACTGTAGGAATTTAGATCATATCTTACTTCTCTAGATCTAGAGCCTTATTGGACTCTTTCTAACCCGTCTTTTCTGTAGACAAACAAAATGAAGGTTTTCAACGTTATCGTCCTCGCCTTTGTTGCTACTGTCGTCGCATCGCCAGCCCCAGAGCCAATGGGCGAGCCCGGCTCTGTCGCTGAGCTCCACAAGCGTCAGTGCTCCTCCTGCAGGAACGGCCAATACAGCTGTGTCTGCGGACCCGGGTAAGTAAAACTCATACTCCACCGAACAAATACAGCCTTCTAACTTCTCCTAATTTATATAACAGACAATGGTGCTGGTACAAGTGCTAAATTGTTTCTACGATCGAAATCTCTGAGACATGCTTGCGACTAAGATATATGGAGGGCCAAGGGCCTTTTAGTCCGATGCCATGGATATCGGAAATCACTCATTCCCCGATTTCATTGATTTATTATTTCTGTATATATACAGCAACCGCATGTGTAAAATGTTTCGGCGCCAGCGGAACATATACAGATCTTGACTATGTGGCTTGCTTTCTACCAATTTCGCATTGGCTCTAGATACCACAAATGTTGGCCCGAAACTAGGTCGACTTTGGACTTCCATATTCATTTATTAAATCTAGAATCCAATTCAACTCTATACATTCTCACAAATACTATTTATAGTTTACAATGGCGAAGTTGTGGGCTATAAGCAGCTAAATCTCTAGGCACTGCAATTATCGCTCGGTTGCGATATCGATCTCCGCTCATGCAAACCTGTCAGTACTCGGTACCATAGCCGATTTAGCCATCCGTGTAACAGTCTGTTAATTAACGCTCTTCAGATATGTAAGAGCAATGTTGAATCCGAAGGCGTTGCAAGTCTCGATTTCTATCCGATCAGAGTGAGCCAAGATATTTCTATAAACCAATTGACCGACGTAACATATACTGTAGCCTCAAGACGAATAAATTGCTTAATCGTCAATAATTAAACGAACTTGCCTCGTTGTCCAGGTGCTATAAAAAAAAGAATAAGCTGGTATACGGGTCCACCAGGGCTATCCGCATGATCCCACGATCCGTGAGCCGGTTTAAGCTTGCACTTTACCAAGAGCTCGTCAATGCCACCTCCAATTGAAACCAACATCTGCAGTGTGTGCACAATGTTACATTCACAAAGACCCTCTCGAACTCTTAAGCTTTTCAAAAGAAAAAAAAATAAATATATATATTTGTAAATCAATAAAAAAAAAATTAAAAATAATAATAAGAATAAAATAAAAACTACTGCCCCTAAAACCAGAAAACCACATCACCCGGCTAAGTACGGCAACGCCTACCAGTTTAGTTTGCGGTAGCTCAAATAGTGTTGCATCTCGCATCGACAGGTGCAAAACGCATATTGTCAAGGACATGCCAAATTTCTACAACAGCTGTACTTTTGAAATCCACGCGGCACTACCTTAAAACGGTAGACCGGAAACAAGGACTTGTACTGTTTGGTTAATTCTTCCCGTAGCTATAACTTCTTACTACATCAGCGGCGTGCCCATAATATCATCTTTTCTATGGTAAAAATCCCACTGGGAACAATTCGAACAATTAGACTTATAGATCCAACAGGCGAGTAATCGCGAGCGACCATGTCAATGGCAGGTACATCCACGGTGATGCGGTTGAGGGGCGCCACTAAGCAGTCAAGCGTTTTAATAGGTAAGTTAAGTCACTTCGTGCCTAACTTCTTGATACATTGAGATAGCCTCGACGAGCCAAACCAAGCCAATTCACAGTGTCTTATCCGACATACCCTCCACAATTTCATGGGCTCATGAGTGAGATGAGGCCTTAGTATATAGGGACACCTGGATCTCCACGCAATTGACCTGCACTTTAAAAGCAAATGTTTCCCAGTTTTCCCGGGCTAAATTTCTGAGGTATTTGAAACTTGAAGTCCCTACTGAAGGTCATTGGTTAGCCGCAGGACTAACTAGGTGGATTCCAAAGGACGAGATCTAGGCCTTTACGACGCCGGATTCCTTAAGTCTCGACACTCCAACGCTCTTTACATTGTATTAATGCTGTAGTCGAACTTTCGACAGAACGATCATTATGAAGCCAACTTTTATTCACTCCTTTATATGCCTTGCGGCTGGTATTAAATTCGCCGATGCATACGTATACGCGACAAAATGTAATGCCGACAATTGTGCTCGTGCGATCACGGGAACTGGAGGCAAAATACCAATGACAGAAAGAGCTCTTCACTGTTCACAATTCATGGGGGCTATGGGGCCGGCACCGTCTACTTCTACCAGTACATTCATTCATATAGTAACTACCTCTTCTACTGTGGGCACTAGGACGGTAAGAGAACTTGCGGGTTTAGAGAACCGCACAATTCTAGGAGTTATGGATATTAAACTGACATTTTGGCTATTCTTGTAGGAAACTGTTACTGTTGGCGGGGAGGAGGAGGAACCAGAAGAGACGCCTGTGATAGGTGGTGCCGCAAAGGACTCAAAAATTGCTGCAAAGGATGACGCAAAGGGTGATGCAAAGGATGATGCTAAAGATGACGCTAAAGATGATGCAAAGGACGATGCTAAAGATGATGCAAAGGATGATGCAAAGGAGAAAGACGACACCCCAGCAGCCGATGAGGCGAAGGACAAATTGCGAAGAAGATATGGAGACTATGCGGCCGAAAAGGAGGAGAAGCCAGCTCCTGCCACAGTAGCCCCTAAGCCTGCCACCACTACAACCGCAGCGATTCCAACATACGCTAGCGCCTGCTCCGGAGCAATGCGATACAGTTCCGCTTGTTCTTGTTGGGGAATCCAAAAGGGATCCGCCGCCCCCACGACCGAAACCGTAGTCGTCACCCAAACCTCCATCGCGGTTGCTAGGGTCACCGCTGTCGTTAAGAAAACCGCTCTAATTTGCTCCAAAACACAAGAGAAATGCGGTGGAGTCTGCAAGAACGTCTTTACGGATGTCAAGAACTGCGGAGCTTGTGATTTGAAGTGCGCAGACGGTTCCACTTGTGTCAACGGCGTTTGCTCACACGCATCCTGTGAGGGTGTTAAGGAATGGCAATGCGACAATGAAAGCAAGAAGGGTTGCAATGGTGCTAGCGAGCACGAAACCTTTTGTATGAAGGGTATAAAGGCAAGCTTCTGCACATCATTCGCTAATCTTCCGCTTTGCCCCAAAAAGGAGGAAGATGGATGCAAGGCCGACGCCGATTGCTCGAAGGGTCAAGTCTGCGGTCACATTGCCTGTTGTGGTTGGAATATATGTATAAAGCCACACTATCCGGACGCAAGTGGGAGTCCCAATAAAGCATCGTCGAAGAGGCTCTTCAAGAGAGAAAACAAACTCAGATTACGAAAGATGGCCCAGGTCAATTAGACTCGGTAACCGTCATTCATATTCACAATCGATTTACTATCACTGATGGATATCAATATCTACTTAACCAAGTCTGCATAAACCTTTCAATCTGTTTTGTGTTGTTGGAATGTTGTATTTTCGATTAGAGGGTTTTATCAGTTCTAGTATACTAGTACAGGCGTCAAGGATATCAGAATATTTTTTATATTAGGTACGAAGTATTTAGGTACTTAAGTAGTCTATATCGTGGCATGTCTCTATAGAAATTGAAACAGGGATATACCTGTAACCATCAATGGGCCATGCAGACCCAAAATCGCTCATGACTTTCCAATGATGCGTACGTAACGTTAAGTGGCAATATCGATATCGACATGCCGACATGCGTAATTAATGTTCCAATTGATATCTCAACTTCAATTTGAAATATTAGTGCCACCTAAATTCCCGCTTAGATCAAAAATAAACTGTCTAGTATATATACTATTGCTATCCCCGCTACTGTCACACGAGGAACCATACAGAATCCTATCAGATTTCTGGCGAGGAACAACGAGACCAGCGAGGAAGGGTTAAAGGTTGTGACAAAGAAACGTGTTGTTCGTCAATTTGTGCTTCTGAGATTCATAGAACCGACTTATCAGCCCCAAGTTTCGCTTCCCCTCTACGCTGGTTGGCTGGCTCAATCCCATTATATCGATAGCATATCAATTTCCGAGAGATTATTTTCTACAGAATGTTCTCAAAAAGAAACCAAACAACAGGGAGTCTAGTCGTATTGAAATCAGCCTCGTATTTCTTCTGCATCGGGGAGAACGGCTCTTCGGCACCAGAGCTTGTTTTACAAGCGAAGAGTTAAGCTTCTGCAAGGGTTCAGGGTAGTATTCAATATGCCGACCTCTGCTGATCGTCGCAGATTCCGATGCTGGTTGGCGTAGGTCACCTCGATTCATGACGATATTTCCCGTTTAGCCATGGTCTAGGAGGCCAGTTTCTCTATTTTAAGGAATTTGAGCATTGTATGAGGATGGGACGATGATGGGCTCAGCGGGTTCTATTCCCGATCGCGAGTCGACCCCGCAAAGTTATAAAATGGGGATCGAGTTGACGTTCTCTCTGCCCTGCCATTTTTATAGCCGTGAAGTTTCATGTAGACATATGAGGCTTTTCCTTTATTTTGGTATAAACTGTGGTCTATCTCGACTTAGGTATTCGACTGACATCCCACGATACTCGATCGCTTAATCAAGTACTTATACATATCAAAGCTAGTTCTAGGGTTTAAACAAAGTATGTATTCCACTATACTAGACTCTTCAACTTTTTACTTGACATATTGTAATAATAGTTTAACAGAAGTATACTCACTATTATGCCCTGCCTGATGTACAGCCCTCGATCCAGTGGCCAGTGCAAATATTCGCTATATATACACACATAGATATATACATTCGAGACTCATCATGATGATAAAGTTAATTCTTTTCAACATTCTCATTGTGTACGGTAACACGCTCGTAGCCGCCGCCGCATGTCCTAAAGGTGAACCATGCACGAGTTGCTCAACATTCTCTACACCACTATGTCCTGGCTTCCCGGCGTCTGTCCTATGTGGGCCGTGCGGGAGTCCAATAGCCCATCCTCCTTGTCCGCACCCGTCACCAACTACCACCGCTTGCACAACATGTACGACATTTCCAACTCCCCTTTGTCCTGGGGGTTTAGGCCCCAAAACTCTATGTGGCCCATGCGGAACGCCGATTAACACTCGAATACCCTGTCCCATGATATCGATCCCTCCTCCTACTACTACAGCTTGCACGACTTGCACGACTTTCCCGACACCCATTTGCCCCGGTGGGGTAGGGCCTGCAACGGTTTGCGGGCCATGTGGTACACCGATCAATACACGAATACCATGCCCAATAGCGCCACCGGCGGTAGCTACAACTAGCTGTACAACTTGCACTACTTTTGCTACGCCGCTGTGCTCCGGATTAGGGCCGACAAAATTATGCGGTCCATGCGGCACGCCGATAAACACGATTCTACCGTGCCCGATCTTGCCACCAACATAAAAATCAGTGAAATGACAGGGGTAGTATCAATGATAAGGAAGATTAAGAATCCGGGAAGAAGACATGTTTAACCTCAAACTAGTATAAATGGGTTTTGACTTTTAGAGTACAGTTCGCATGTTCGAGTCAATGTTACCTTTCCAGCATGTTCCAATGTTGTACTATGTTGGCATATAGCATACTAGTAGTCTCCAGAAATGAAGATATTAAAAATTAAATATTTGTAGTAAAATTCGTCTAAGGCCGAACGCTTCGTAAAGGCAAAAAAACGGACTAAAGAATCGATTTGTCAGATGAAACCGCCGCGCACTCGCAGAAGCTAGAAGCGTATGCATACGTAGGCACTCAATAGACAACGCACTTTTGCAGGATACCTTGTTGGATTTCCCGAGTTGTGTTGACAGTCTTGGTTCAGTGTTTTAGCCTGCCTAAGCTGGCTAAAGGTAGCAAGACTCCTGTCAATTCTTCTTCTTCTCTCCCTCCTAACTACTGCCAGTCACTTCTCCCTCAACTTCAACCCTCACCATCTCGACCATCATCCTTCCATCAACGCCCGCTTCTCCAAGACGCCACTCCCAACTACCACCGAGGCCATACGAACTCAGCCGCTATTCCCTTCTCCGGCATGTTGTAGTTCGGCTCCGGGAGTTTCACAGGGAACCTTTTGGTCCGAAAGGACGATTACTACAGCAGCCCCTCTACAGCTCGTGTGTGGCGTTTGGATTCGACCTATTCCGGGAATTATCATCATCAAAGGATATCACTGGCCATAGCACCATCCTTGGGTCTTGTTTCGTGAAGAACCCCTTTCTCACCAGTCAGATTACCGAAAACACCTCGACGTTTCTATTTACATTCTGTTTGCCTCAAAACGATTCGCTACAACTAGACCGAATTACCTCCACCCAACCTGATACATCCCCTGAACAACTATCTCACCTCCTTCAAATCAGCAGGCAGCACCCTCTTGGACTTTAAAATATACATCATTCCTAGGAGACTACTACCCTCAACCCCAACATCCTAAAGTACTCTCGCAGTAAATTACAGCCGTCAAAATGAGCAACCCCTTTGCCGCCCTCGCTAATCGAAGGGTATCGCCGAAACCTAATGGCCTGAGTATGGGTATGCCTTCATGATACCTTAAAATATGACAAAACACAAGAAAGCTTAACTTACAAACTTGTTTAGCCTCCAAAAAGCGCAAAGCAAGCCCTGAAGACGGTGACGACGATCGGATGTCTGCGTCCCCCACTGCGTCCCCCAACCTCGCTAATAGGAACATACCTGGTGGCCCGCCAACACAATCCCGAAATATTAAACGGGCCAGAACTTCTGTCACAGGGAGACCATTACCCCTTCCTCGACTTTTGGAGACTCTCGATGCCAACGGCCTTAAGTCGCTCCTACGAACCTTGTGCGAAAGAAATCCTCAACTTACTGCGGAAATTTCTGCTGTTGCGCCAAAGCCAACTGTCAGCAGTTCGCTAAATCTCCTCCATAACTATGAAAATGCTGTCCGCCAGTCATTCCCATACGGAGGAAACCCAGAAGGAGATTATGCCTATAATCGTGTTCGACCGGCTTTACTCGAGTTGCTAGATGCTCTATCCGACTACACCCCACACTTCCTTCCACCTAACGAACAGTCATTCTCGAATGGTCTCGAGTTTCTCGATGGTGCTACCTCTATTATTCACCGGCTGCCGAACTGGGAGAACCCTATTCACAACCATCACAAGAACATTGCCTACGAAGAAATCTCGAAAGCTTGGATCCTCTTGTTGAAGGAAACTGCAAAGAGGGGTGGCGGAATCAGTTTACAATATGATGGATGGGATGGAAAACTTCAACGTCACAACGAACAGTCCGGTGGCAGGCTAGAGCCGGCGATCGCGGAGTTACGTATCGTTTTGGGGTGGCTAAGTCATGACATTAGTAATCAGTCAGTCCAACAAACACGGACTGGTAATACTCTTGGATTTCGCATTGAAACACCCGGTGCACCTGTCGCCCTTCAAATTTGGTAAAAGACATTGGAACCTTGTCACGCCATCGATTCCATTCACAAGTAAAGAATTCACCCTAATACGAACTGCGATGATTCACAAGTCGCATCTTCTATTGTATCTTACCCCGTATCCCTCTCCTCAAGTGTCCTAGCGCATTACTATGTCTAGCGTTTCCCTATTCCTTTTGTAACATTGGATCCCCGCAGAAGTCCATACATATATTCTCAGCAAGCCAATTCCCCTTTCCCTTTTATTTCCCTTAAGCAGTTATTTCGTGGTCTACACTTTACTACATGGCCAAAACTTTCCTATCACTTTTATTCTGCAGCTTCTTTGTTTTGTTTACACAAAGGTCTCGAAATTTTCCTTCCTTGTACTTTTACTTCCTGGTTTACTTTTGGGTATTTGCATTTTGGGGGGGTTGAATAGGAGTATTAAGGCTTTCTTCTAAGTTTTTTACTACTTTTGTGTATTTTTCCTCCTTTTCATTCGATAAATGACGCCAACTGGCGCGGTACAGTTTCTAGGATCGTCCGTTTTCAAATATAGTGTATTGAATGGTTAATAGTTGCCTGAGCATAAAAGAGACAATATCAATAAAACCCTGCGTGGTAACTAAGATTATTCCCATGAGGCGAGTGGGTGCTAGATCGTATGCGTGGCGACAACATGGTCCATATTAGCCTTTAACGTCAAACGAACAGCCAAACATGCGATTCCACGTCCCGCTCCCAACCTGCATCTTAGGAATCCTTGTCCCGTTGGTCGCGGCCTATGAAGTCGCACTCTACCCAGAAACCTTGACTGGCCTAGACGCTACAGAAGACGACCCCCTCGTTTTTCACATCTACCCTCGTTTCGAATGCAACAAAGCAATCCTTGGTTCTCGCTTTAGGCAGACACAGAACGTGATCATCCGTACAGCTGAAGATGCGATGGGACCTGGACTCCTAGCCTTTTACAGCGCAAAGAAGGATGACCCAGACCCCTGTAAAAGAGAGAATGGGATTCTTGCCGGATATTTTCGTAAGAATGTGAAGCCATCGACGCAGGTTCTTTTCACGGATATCATGACCGAGATTACACATTTTATGGAGTTGACTGATCAGTCCGAACTATGGGCTTATTTGGTTGACTGGATGGGGATGAAACCTGGGAATTCGGCGATTAGCTATCCTAAGCAGAAGAAGAAAGATTTTGACTCACCTCCCGAGTGGGAGTTTATCAATTGGTACAAGATGGATATTCTCCCATATGATCATGATTTTGGGTATGCTACCGAAGAAGATCTCGATCTCGGTATGGATTCAGAAGGGGAGTTAGATGAAGCGGTTGAAGGGGTGCAATGGCCAGAGACGAACGCCGAGTATGGAAGCATACTTGCGCCTGGGCAGAAGGTACCCGATGACAAGGTATACCGGGGCAATTTTAGAGATTGGAGGAACGCGAGGTATCGATTCGGAGATTACAGACCCATAACAAAGCATTTTACGCAATTTAATTCGCTCGATAAGCTTAGAGATATGGGGTATATTATCGACGATGCTAAGGAGTTGCAGATAAGGCTGAGGAGACTAGAGGAAAAGCACAAGGCGTCCGAGATCGAAAGGGGGTTTGAAGAAGCTAGGCACAATAAAATGAAAGCTGAAGAGAAGTATACAGGAGTTAGCGATGTATTCAAAAAATTTGACTTCGGGATGAATGTTAATCCGCCCCAACCCCAGAGATTGCTTCAACGGGGCAATAATGATTTCTTGGAGGATGCTGTCGACCCAGAATTTCCGACCTTTGGTGGGGCTCCAGGCGTTGATACTTATAATATGTATGGGGGACCGGAATATTTACAACAGGAAGGAATCGAAATTGAAGAAGAAAAGGAGGATGACAGTGATTTTGCCCAGAGATACGGCGGGCCGGGGCAGATCGAGTATGAAGCAGATAACGAGTTTGGAACTGATTATTTGAGTACAACCCAATTTTTAAGTAGCATTCAGGGAGAAAGCCAAGGAGTGCCACCACGATCCCCATTATATGACTATGATTAATTATCAATGCTCAGACATTAATCTTAACTCTGGTCAGAATTTCGATACCTCTGTCAACATGCACATGTCATGTCAGGAAACAAATCCACAGTATTTTGTTGCATTTTTTGCGTTGCGAGGACAGCTTGGGAGATGAATTGCTGTACTAAAGATTGAACTAAGATTTTGAAGGGTATCTACTAGCTCCCTAATAAGTCTATATATTATGATATAAAGGGTATTCGTTGGTTTGTAAGTCGATATATTTTAGATTGTATACATTGAGATTGTTTTAAATAGCAATTAAGTAGTAGGTAAACGCAACTACGAGGTCGAACACCAGAGCAGTCATGAACAATCGCTCACTCCGCTCAGATTGAAAAAACACAGACCCGCTTAACACCATAAAAGATAACTTTTGAAGAACCGGGTAGATATAGCAGGTCCCTTCCAATTCTAGCCCTGGAGGAAAACCTTAACAGTGAGCCCAAGGACCCAACCGACGTCTGACAGAACGCCATCTTCGTGAAGCTCTGGACTCGCGGGTCGCTCCTCTGTCTCGGCCTTCCCGGTTTCGTAGTTTGGGATGTTCAGACGAGGAGGTTCGTGGGCCTCTTTAACTGCAGGGTGTTCATGTTCATGTTCATGTTCCTCGTCACTATCCATTCCGTCGTCGACAGAGAATAGACTCCATCCCACCATACGATCGACCCAGGCGCCAAGTCCAGTTCTTGGACGTTTTGACCAATGCAGCTCCTCATCGTCAAGCTCTTCAGCAGTATACTCTGGTTCTTCAAAATCGTCAAATGATTCACCAGCGAATGCCTCGTCGATGAACTCTGGGGCTAATGGGTGAACACCATCCTCCGGAATCTCAACATAGAGCTCCTGTTGACGTGAGTGGGATCGTCGACGAATAGTCGCATCACTTGCAATTCTGCTTCGTGGAGTATAGAACTCAGAGTATGATCTCGATCCTCGTCGTTGTATTATTTCATCCCCATCTTCCTCGGCGTCTGAGCCATTGGATAAAAGACTCGTTGAAGAGGCACGGCTAGTAAGCCACGATTGACCTTTACTTTCTCGTGCCTCTGATGTTAGAGCAATACCAGCCCTATGAACCCATTCCGTAGACTCATTCCGACGGACGGGACGTGAGTCGAAGTAAGAAATCCGACGATCGGCAAGAAGATGGCTAGCTGATTTAGCTTTGTAGAGTTTGGTATCTCCACGGGGTGTTGCTGGAACGCTAAGTGGAGGGATGTGAGGACGCGAGCGTTTACGAGAGGGGTTACGTGACAGAATGCTGGGAGTCGAAGGCGCCTATGAAAGACAATCGATTGTTAGTACACTATCCCCGCGTAAACTATAACTTGTGGATCATAGTATAGATAGTACACACCGAAGCACCCTGGATATATGAAGTCTGGGGACCGGTCATAGCCAGATGGTCGTCAGGAGCAGTCATGCTGAAGTGGGTGGTGAGTGGCGAGATATTACTGAGGTTGAGGTTGGAAGACGAGCGACGACTTCGACGGCCACGAGGAAGCTGAATAGGTAGATTCAAAGCAGTTAGTAAATTTGGCTGACATACATCAATTAGGCAAATCATTCTGAGGTTGCACAAGAAGATCTGATCTGGGGATCCGGGGATCGGGGGTGCTGCCAGGGGGAGGGTCTCACATTCTCCATGGTGATTGGGTTATTAGTTAAGACGTCGGTTGATAGTAATTAAGAATAGGCAGATTAGATTAGATTAAATAGAATCTGTGGATGTTTAAGATGTATCGATAGCCTCTGTGGGTCTTTCCTCTATCTCATCTGGCTGAATTCACACGGTTTTATATTGATGGAAAGGTGTCGGTGGAGTGACGATGCTCGCGTTGGTCGGGTATCGCCGGGTTGCCCGAGGCTTTGTCTTTCAGCCGGGGCACCTTGAATATCAGAAGTCCAGACCAAACCGACCTGCCCAGTACAGCTACTCCCTTCAAGGGAAATGTCTAGATCCTACCCGCAACCATGGACAAAATTTTTCCCTGAGCATCTTCATAGCAATAAATAGAATCACGATTTTCGTTAAAATTTAACTTTTTCTTTTTATCAGCTAGGGTTTCGATATTTCGTAGAAAAAAAAAAGTTTTATTTTCTAGCGCCGGAATGCCCGCCACTGCGGCTTGACAGGCTCGAGGGTGACAAGTGACAGGTGCCATTTAACGAAGGAGGAAGAAATTTCTGGGGTCATAATTATCAGGGCTTCCTTATCAGAGTCGTTGATCGATACTGACGCCATTGTGCAGTTCTTGGTTGCTCTTGCCCAGTAAATACTGAGGCTAGGGACTCAAGTAATCATATATGATCTCATAATTTGTGAGTTAAATCGAATTCGTATCTGATAAAATCATGGCTAGAAGAGGGCACCCGAAACAATTTGTCTGGCTGAAGACTGTATCGGCATGTGCATAGTACTATCCATCGGAAAGGGACACGCATTTAGACCTGTCGGTTCGTATCCGAGATGTCCAGACAAATACTACTCCCATAGAAAGGACCCGTACCATACTCTCACAGCCTATAACTTCCATTTAGAGTACTATAGTATAATAGTTATTGGACGGATAGGTATGTTCCTGGGTACTTACTCACAAAGTAGATACTCGTATCGTAGGTAAGTACATGCAAAAAATATGGTTTGAGTATCACCGAACTATCTGTTGTCCAAGGATAGAATCGACGAAACAAGGATGGTTCTGATTGTCTGGTCGACGAACAACTGGGCAAGATGCATTCAGCCGAAAGGCTACAACAATTACGTGTCCAGAAAGGCCTTTGATTGTCAAAAATCGATCAAGACAAGACAAGACAAGACAAGACAGTGTAATTTAGAACTGTGGCCTATACAGGTCAAAAACCAGAAGACTCGGGGTGCACTAGGTAATATGCCGCCAATGGTCAGTGGGAAACAAGTGGTTGTGCATAAAACAGCTAGCTGTGCACTTACCGTATGGTGAGATGGTAGCCGCCATACTTTCGAACAAGCGATATTAACTGCAATGCGGCAGTACTTACATAAGTGATGTATGTATGTACACTACATTACATTACCTGGCATGCCCTGGCCTGACATTCGTTCTGCATGTTAGTTATGGCCCAACCCTGGGTAGAATCGAATAGAAATTAAATAAAAAAGTGAAATGTAGCATGTAGCATGTATAGGGAGAGAGGAAGAGAAAGTGAGAGAGAGATGTGTTGGTGGACGTCATGGCCACTCTTCAGCTGGCGCGAATCACACAAATCAGGCACGAGGTCACCTTCTCTCCCTCATAACTACTAATTACTAACTACTCCCTACCACAACCATCCACCCACCCACTAACCACTAACACTAACCATCTGCATCTGCATCATCTCCAACTTCGGATCCCACGCCCACCCCGTAGATTGTCTCAACCTATCCTCCCCTCACCAGAATCTCCTTCTAGTTGACCCAGGATTCCATTTCCTTCTTTCTTTTATTCCCGTCCCTGCGTCTTTCCTGTACCTTCGGTTTCGTCGGCTCCGAATTCATACCACGTATCAACATGAGCATCGAATTACACCCCTCCGAGCTTGGGTTCCGACGTAGGTAGCCCCCCACTACATTCCATTAGTTCTCTTGCGCCATCCAATCCACTAGAATATGCTGACATCGAGTCTTCCTTTCTCCTTTTCGCAGGCCCTTTCGATCGTGAGACCGTTCAGAAGCTCTACATCAAAAACCCGAATCCCGGTCCCGTCGCCTTCAAGGTAAGATTATGAATGACGACCTCAGCCTCGGCACTTTAGACAAACACTATGGCTAACATATGTCATCGTGTTCTCAAAGGTCAAAACAACAGCACCGAAGCAGTACGTTGTCATGATCTGAATCTTACTGTCCTTAGTTCGCCCATCTGACACTTTTCGTCCTAGATACTGTGTCCGTCCGAACTCAGGGCGTATTGAAGCTGGCCAGGATGTAGAAGTAGCAGGTACCTCACCTCACCTTGCCTAATTTGTCTCATAGTCCCGAAATCGCTCCTTCTAACACAAATAATAGTTCTCCTACAGGCCATGCGGGAAGACCCTCCCCCAGACTTCAGATGCCGTGACAAGTTCCTGGTCCAATCGGTATTAATCACAGCGGACCAGGAGTTCGCAAACATCGCCACAGTCGTACGTCTCCCTCCTTAATAGCCAAGAAATATAAAAAGCATTAAAAGGCACTAGTGCTAATATACCTCCAATTCTAGTGGTCGAGTGTTGAGAAACTAGGCAAGGAACATATTCAGGAGAAGAAAATCCGAGTCACATATCTCCCAGCAGAGGCACCGGCTCTCCGTGAAGTTGAATCTGGAGCGGTAAGAAACCATATCTGTGGTTCATTAAATTATTGGCGTATGTACTGATCCCTTTGATGTCCCAACAGCCCGCCAAGTCGCCGTCACCACCCCCGTATACTTCCCCAAGCCCAGACCAGCTAGCTATCAAATCGGAGGGATCCCAAGTCCGGGATAACGTCAGCGAGACCGATGCAGAACCAACCGAAGCCCACGAAACAATGCCGATAGTCGTCAAAACCGTAGCAGACCAATTGACCGATGCGAGAGCCCAAATCGCCGTTTTGACGAAGCAATTGAAGGATGGTGCCCAGCAGAAGAACTTAGGGGAGCTTGCAACGCAGGCCAAAGAGAAGGTTTCGGCCGGTGTTACCAACATTGGGCGTACTAGCCAGGCTCCTGAAGGTGTCCCAGTGCAGTTAGCAGCTGCTCTATGCCTTGCTGCTTTCTTGTTGGCTTACTTCTTTTTCTAAAAACAAAAACAAAACAAAACACTGGTCGTTATTTAATAGTTACACTGCTTGCTTGGGAATCCGTTCATTCGTACGTATTGGTGGGATCATTGACGTCTATCGGACGGGAGAAAGCCGATCGTTTTAATATCATATAAATTTTCAAACCCAACGGTTCTTTTGGGCTGGAGCCAACTGCTCGTCCTTGGAAGACCCCTCGCCCAAAGAAAAAGTTGACGGTTCCTCCTACCGCCCCAGGCCAGTTCCAATGACCCCTTTTCCAATAAGATTCCTTTTATTTTGCTGTCTTGTTGGTTTCCTTGTATATACTTGCTTTCCACTTGTCGTCAATTCTTTTCTAGTTCCACCCTCCCCTGTCTGCTTTTTGCCCCTACCATATTCTTTTCTTCCCTCTATTCTTTCGCGTTTGAGATCGTTCCCTACCGGCGTCACAAGAAATATCGAGTTTGTGTTCCCTTCTATACAACCATAGCGGTGTCGTGTACTCTTTTTTATATCTATAATAATATCTACGTTTTTAAAGGGAGGATCGATTTTGGGAAAGATTTTAGTCTACTATGATAGTTTCGATTGAAACCGCCTAGTTAAGTTTTGAGGGTTGAAAATGCTACGCATATAGTATGTCTTTTCGAACATTTCGAATTCCCAGAGCATCTATTTTGATAATTAAGCGTTTTCGTATGGATGCCTACAAAATTAGGGAAGAAATGAAACCGGTACCTCCAGCACCTTACACACCAGAAAAAAGGGAATATAAAAGAGAAAAAAGGAATCTTCGCAAAAAACGCCCTCCATATCATGCGAGCCTATCCTGCAGTATAAAAAAATTAAAAATAAAGAGAGAGCAAAAGGATAAAAGAAGTTCGGCCGAATCTTCTAAAAACCGTCAAATCTAAAAATCCTCGTGGTTAGAATTGAGAAAGACAATGAATCATTAATGTTGATGCATCATCTGGTAGAAATAAGCAACTGTTTCCTTCAGACCATCAACGGCAGCCCACTGTGGGGCCCACCCGAGTACCTCCTTAGCCCTTGTAGTATCCGGCTTCCTCCTCTGGGGGTCGTCGGCAACGGCAGGGAGATAGGTAACCGTTGAAGTTTTCCCTGCGTCACCGTATCGTGCGCGGTGCTCATTGACGAGTTCTACAATCATATCTGCGAACTCTTTGATGGTGTACTCTTCTGGGTTACCGAGGTTGACAGGGTCGGTGTAATCGGATTCCATTAGGGCGATGAGGCCGTCGACCAGGTCGTGAACATATTGGAAAGAACGGGTGGCTGAGCCGTCACCGTAGATTGTTATGTCGTCGCCTTTGAGGGCTTGGACGATGAAATTGGAGACGACGCGGCCGTCATGCCAGTTCATTCGAGGGCCTGTGGTTAAATATCAGTTCCATGTTACTTTACTGGATCGGTATTTTTAACATCAAAGAGAGGGGTCAATTACCAAAGGTGTTGAAAATACGGGCGACACGAACATCTACCCCGTCCTGTCGGGCATAGCTGTATGTCAGAGCTTCTGCAACTCTTTTGCCTTCGTCGTAGCATGCACGGGGGCCGATACAATTGACGTGACCCCAATATGTTTCTTTTTGTGGGTGTTCTTCCGGATCACCGTAGACCTCTGTATATAATTTCAGGATTAGAATTATTGATTGGGTCTGAAAGAGTTCAAAAAGGATCTTACCAGATGTACTAGTGAGAAGGAACCTGGCTTTGACCCTCTTGGCTAGCCCTAGCATATTATAGGTGCCGAAGAATCCGGTCTTGAGAGTCTTGACAGGGTTGGCTTGGTAATGGACGGGACTGGCAGGACAAGCAAGGTGGTATATCTGGTCTACTTCGAGCATAATTGGGTCGACGACATCGTGTCTATTTTGCTGATGAGTGTTATTGCATTGAGTAATTTGAAGCAATTGAATAACTTACCTGATCATCTCGAAATTTGGATGGCCAAACCAATGTGCCAAATTCATTTTGCTACCGGTAAAGTAGTTATCGATAGCGATGACATCGTGACCCATTAGCATCAAGCGGTCTACAAGATGCGATCCGACGAATCCTGCACCCTAATGCCGTTTTTTTCTATATGAGCTTTCTTCTCTCTCCTTTTATCTCTATAGTATTTTAGAAAAGAGGGTTACTAACCCCGGATACCAATATCCTCTTCTTCTGAAGCGGATTAAGCTTCTTGACAGGAGGGAACTCTGGTGGTCCGCCAGGGTATACAACGGATGAATTGCTTCTTCGCAAGCCTCCAAAACCGGTACCAGGTCCATACAGGCTACGCATTGTATCCAAAGAAACTCCTCCACGCATTGGCTTCGGAGTTCCGTCGTCGTTCTTCTCTGGTTCGGAGTTGGCTCCAGCAACAGGAGCACCAGCAGTGCTACTATTACCACCTTCATCGGGAAGGCCGTGACGAAAGGACGACATGTCCCATAATCGGTCGTTTCGTTCACCGGATGTAGGTGATTGGGCCGGAGATTCTGACATGTTGGCAGAACCGAGGATCTGCTGGGCGGCGGACATGCTGTTTGATGTTGGAGATACACCTGAAGGTCTTCGGGGAGAGATCATGATTCAACAGATCTAGACCGGTTGGAAGCTGGTGTTCGCAGAGGACGATAATTAGCCTTGCCTTGCAGGTTCTGGCTCAAATTGCGCTTTTGAAGGGACCGCCAATGCGATGTAATTACTTACTGTAGTTAGAAGAGGAATGGAAGGGAATTCTAGAGAAGGAGTCCCTGGTAAGCTGCAGCTGCCAGTTATATAGAAAAACCGCAGCAGGGAGACGGGCTCCACGGAGGTCTGCCATAAGAATGTGAAGGTTTTGCGGCGTTCTGACGATACCGCCTTCTCTTTTGTTTTTCTTGGTTCCTTTTCGAAATTTCCCTTTTTTTCTTTCCTTGTGATTCTGGTTCTTCTTCTTGTTCTGGTTACTTTTCGCTTTACTTTTCTCTCCGACATGCACAGGCACGGGAGAGGATATTAATGCGGTAATGTGATGTAACGCAAGCTGGGGGGTTAGCTTTGGGCTGGTGTTGCAGCTTATCACAAACATCCTTGACTTCGAGACTTCGAAACGCGTCAACCGAACTATTTACAACCAGTCGACCGTAACCATGGCGCAAAAGAGAGGGTTTGAGCCCAGCGGGAATGCTGGCGATGGTGGGCCGCCGCGCAAGTTTACCCATCGAAGTACGTCTATTTTCCGAGAGAAAGGGTTTCAAATGGTAGCATTTAGGGACTTTTGGGGGAGATTGGAAGGGTCGAACCACGATTATGATGATGACGATGATGCTGATACCGATGGTGCACGTGGGCAGGACCTGTTACGGATTATGGATCCTCGCTTGCAAGATGGATATTCGACAGACGGCTGGACTTCAGACCGCATTGTCAGGCTGGGAGCTCCTTTGCAGAGGAAGGAACGTATCTAAAAGAGGTGCGTGTAATGTCGTTTTAGTGGTGGCAGTGACGGTGGGAGTGGTGAATGGCGATGGTGGTTGGATAAGACGGTAGACCCATGTCATGCTGACTTCTAGTGCCATACAGTTGCTACCGTCGATAAGTGCGACGACGAATGTGGTTGCTCAGATTCCTATACGACATATTCATGCCTCCTTGAACAAAATCAAGCATCCTATTAATATGGTCAAGGTGGGTTTCTTTGGGGTATCCCTAGGGGGTGGGATGATATGATGACGATAGACGGACGGCTAAATTTGTCACTTTAGTGGACACCCGAGGGTCGCAGGTTGCTTACCGGGTCAAGTAGTGGTGAATTCACGTTATGGAACGGCATGGGGTTCAACTTCGAAACCATTATGCAGGTACGGCTCACATGTCTTTCTGGTCTGGGGGGGTTTACTGAGGACTAATTGAGGATATGCAGGCTCATGATAGCGCAATCAGAGCATTGGAATACTCGCATGGTGCAGACTGGTTATTGTCAGGAGATCAAGATGGTATCGTCAAATACTGGCAGACAAATTTCAACAACGTCAAGGTACTGCAAGCACACGACAGTCCCGTTAGAGACGTTTCATTCTGCCCTACGGATGCCAAGTTCGTAACTGCGTCCGATGATGGTAGTCTCAAGATTTGGAACTTCGGCGAAGGGGAAGAAGAGAGAATACTCAGTGGACACGGTTGGGATGTCAAATCGGCGCATTGGCACCCGTACAAAGGATTGATAGCTTCTGGATCGAAGGACCATTTAGTCAAGCTCTGGGACCCCCGGTCTGCGAGGTGCTTGACGACCTTGCATGGTCACAAAAACACAGTATCGAGGGTTCGCTTTCAACCCTCGCAAGGACACTTGTTGGCTACATCTGGTCGAGACATGACAATCAGAATCTTTGATCTACGAACAATGAAGGATCTTTGCATTCTACGAGACCATGAGAAGGAAGTCTCATCCCTAGCATGGCATCCAACTATTCCGTCGCTTCTTAGCAGCGGCTCGCTGGATGGTTCAGTCAGACATTTTGTGCTCGACGAACTATCGGCTTCGACCGGCGGTAGTGTGAGTGTTGTGAGAGCTGCAGTATCAGTTCCTCACGCACACGAGAATGCGGTTTGGTCGATGGAATACCATCCATTAGGACACATTCTGTGTACTGGATCCAACGACCGCAGCACAAGATTCTGGGGACGTCCGAGGGTAGGAGAAATCGAGTCTTTCTCGGAGAGACAATATACTGGAGAAGGAGCATATGAATCACGAAACGATAACAAGGGCAAGAAGAAGCATCAACCCAAGGAGGAGGAAGAGGAAGCAGATGATGACGATTATCTGATAGACCAACAGATGCCGGTCCCTGGAGCTGGGCCGACACCTGTTCACCCAATGGGCAATATGCCGCCATTCCCACCAGGGATGGATTTGGGAGGTGCTCTCCCTCTTCCTGGATTGCCAGGTCTTCCGGGGCTTGGTTTTCCGCCGCCACCACCTGGATTCGATCCGACGTTAGCAGTATTGGCCGCTATGCAGCAGCAACAGCAGCAACAGCAACATAGCCAGCAGAATCAAATGCCGCGGCAGTAACTGTGATTGGTGCTTATATTGAAGCCACCAGAATGCATTGCGCTAGGGCGGATGGATGTACAATAATTTCTTATATGATAGCAGATTGGCGTTTTTACTCTTGGGCGTTGGGTCCCTGTTAACAATATTATTCTGCAATGCCAAATACCCTGTACTTTACACTACTAGATATTCTTCCTTTTCTTCCTTCCTTCCCTCTCATAAATTCAATCCTCGAATGATCCCAACTCAGCTCATCTCAGAATAACATTTATTTTTTCGCCGCCATCGGCATCCCGGTTCCGGGGATATCCATTTCGGCATGCCGAGATCCCTCACCAATTGGTTGGGCCGCCGAATTTTTCGGGCTTTTGGTGGCAGGAACACTAACAACTTAACCGGCGCCCAACAAATTAAATCCCACGTATCAGCACCGCCGCCAATTGAAAGCAATTACGTTAATACGACGAGTAGTTCTAACTCTGTTATTCCCCGTCGACAACGACGACATCATCAGCCTCCATCCCTCTTTCATAGGATTGTCGACCTTCTCCCCCCCAATCTCCTCTCATTCTTTCGACTCCGCCGTTCCCTTCTTCCCCCCGATATCGATATCACGATGCTGGCGTCCCAATCCCGTAAGGCGGCTCTGAACGCCTTCCGAAGCTCCTCCCGAAAACCGCTCGCTGCAGCCCTCTCCGTCCGAAGCATATCGGTCGACGCGACGGCTAGTCAGGATGCTCAGGCTCCGGAGGTAATTGGTATCTTGAATATCCTTTACTCGAGGGAATACTAATAAGCATATCTACGTTCAGGACCCAGACAAGCCCTTCACAGTCAAACTCCTTTCTCAGAGCTTCGATGCCTTCAACATTGAACCCCCATCGTTAGACTTTGTTACCACCAAGAATGAGCTCATTGACATGTACAAAAATATGGCGGCCGTCAGGTACTTTTTTCTCCCCCACCTACGTCACAATATTAACATTACCCCCCTCTATCCTTTTTTGAGGCAACTAATCGCTCATATATAAAAAAATTTTGTTATGAAATATAATATAGACGTATGGAATTCGCTGCCGACAGACTCTACAAGGAACGCAAAATCCGTGGTTTCTGCCATCTTTCCGTCGGCCAGGAAGCCGTGGCTGTCGGTATGGAAAAGGCAATCACCCCAGACGACCAAGTCATCACTTCCTACCGCTGCCACGGCTTCGCCTACATGCGTGGAGCATCTGTCAAGTCCATCATCGCGGAACTCCTCGGCCGACGTGAGGGTATTGCATACGGCAAGGGAGGATCTATGCACATGTTCGCCAAGTCATTTTATGGTGGTAATGGTATCGTTGGAGCGCAGGTCCCCGTCGGTGCCGGTATCGGATTTGCCATGAAGTATTTGGGACGACCGAATGTTACTTTTGCGCTTTATGGTGATGGTGCAGCGAATCAAGGACAGGTGTTTGAGGCGTTCAACATGGCCAAGCTGTGGGATATCCCGGTGGTATTTGGTTGTGAAAGTAAGTTTATATACGGGCCCCTTTACGTATATCTTTATTTCTCTTTGGAACATGGGCCAAGACTATCGGGAAAGGAAGAAGATCTGAATGCTGACCACTTTATTTCTTGCCGGTTGATAGACAACAAATACGGTATGGGTACCTCTGCGGCACGAAGCAGCGCGTTGACAGAGTACCACCAGCGTGGACAGTACATCCCCGGTTTGAAGGTCAACGGTATGGACGTCCTAGCGGTTAAGCAGGCTTGTGCTTGGGCGAAGGAGTACACTACCAGCGGAAAGGGACCTCTTGTTATGGAATTCCTCACTTACAGATATGGTGGCCACTCCATGTCTGACCCTGGTACCTCTTACAGAGTATGTATAAACACCCAGTTACCGGATCCTCATATATATCAGAATGATACTAACAAGTGGCCCTAGACCCGTGAGGAAGTTTCATGGATGCGAACCAACCAAGACGCCATCGCCGGCCTTCGCACCAGACTTTTGGACTGGGGTGTCGTTACTGAGGATGGTCTTAAGGAATTGGACAAGGGAGTCAAGGATGTTGTTGACCCTGAAGTCGCTGCTGCTGAAGCTGCTGAGGTTCCAGAGAACTCCCGAAAGGTTCTTTTCGAGGATATTTATACCCGTGGATCAGAGCCAGATTGGTTGCGTGGAAGAACTGCCGAGGAGACTTATTACTATAAGGAGTAGAGACTGCCACTGCTGAAGTTTTTTAGCTTTTTTAAAAAATTTTAACCTCTACTATCCATTTTATCTTGGTTCCGAGTCTTTTTGTAGTAGCTCGGGCTGGCTGATAAAGTCATTCGTTTCATTATTTGTCCATTTTTACTTTATTTTATTGCTTCTCTTTAAGTAGTTGGTAGCTGTACATAGATAAGACCGGATAAAGTGAAGGGAAAAAAAGAGAGAAGGGAGGATTCGTTTCTTCCATGTTGATATTACGCCGATTCCTTTGTAGAAGTTTTCTAGGAAAGCTGATAACTTAGGTCAGTGGGTAAGGGTAGTAGGCATAAAAAGTAGGTAGTCATCCGGGATCGAGCATGGGCTTTATGGGGTTTTTCGTGACAAGGCTTATGTACCGAGGTGCGCACGCTTAGCTGGGGTCTCGGGGCCTGCCGAGGTACGTACGACGCGCGCACTTACCTTAGCCTCAAGACCACATTTAGTGCCTTTAGTTTTCGCCAACGGGAAGGGCATGCATAATCGGTTGCGTCGTTATGGTTCTGAAATCACGCAGGCGAAAGTTGAGACCCGCATGCATCTCACAATTAGTATCTATTGTATGTTTGCTAAAATCGCCGGATGTATTTTAATATTACCCGGGAAAAAAGTATTTGAGTATAGCTGGGTAAGTCGTATTAATTTTATAGGGTTTATCTTAGAGATTATCCAGTATCAATTTGTAATTGCCATGATGCGATTTTGTTATTTTGGTATCTTCTTCTCGTGAGAATCGAAATTTCGTTATAACCAGTCCCCGGTCAACCGTCTACCGAAAGTAAAAAGAGGAAAGTAACAATCAAAAGGTTAAGAAAACAGACACCCGCGAATGCAGTTAAAAAGAAATATCAGAGAGCAATAAGGAGAATTTAATAAAGGAATAATAGAGAAAGAGGGAGAGCGAAAGAGTGGTGAGAACATTAAAAGTGAATTCTGGCGACGCAGGGCCAAGCTAATTCGGACGAAAGGGAAAAAAGGGAAAATCGAAAAAAGGCTCTGTATCAGGACTACAAGTTGTGATTGAGGAAACGACGAAGACTGAAAAAAAAAAAAAATGATTCTGAGAAAAGGAAATACGTGATTAAACATCCTGCTGCAACCCACACTTTTATACATACCCAAACCCAGTAGAAAAAATAGAAATTTTATCGTGCAAAAGAAAGCGGGAAATTAATCGACGCTTGCAAATAAATCGACAGCTACGTTTACCAATGCTACGAGGATTTCGACGGCAATGAGGACAATAACTACCCATTCTAGTCGCTCGCCTTGGGAATGCGACAGTTGTTCTTTCAACATTTGAAGCTAGAGGTTCAAGTTGTTAGAAGGAGCAATTTTCGGTATAAAGAACGGAAAATATTGTGGAGGCTTACCAAATCACTGATAACATCTAGTCTTTGGTTCAACAAAGATACTCGCTGGTTGATTTCAAGATATGAACGGGCAGCTTGATAAATTGGTTCCAATTGTGGCTCAGCCCACATCAATTCTGGAGAGTCCATGACGCTGCCTTGTAGGTTGATGTTGATCCGCAAGATGAAGAGGTCGCCAATGTGCATCATGATTTTTCGCCTGCTCATACGGACTTTACCCGTCAATGCTACATCTTGTGGAATTGACTTTGTATCTTCGATGGTGTTGTCAACCAAGTCTTCGTAGCTACACACAACAATGTTAGTATATTCGACGTATATAAATCGTGGATAGAATTTTTCCATACAGCGAGATCTTCACGGATTGCGCAATCGCATGACTGATGCTCAATTTGACCATATAACTACTTCCCGCGCTCAGAGTAATGAAATCGTTGTAGATACGCGGCTGGTACGAGCTGGTGACATAGAAATTGAAATTTTCGACCTGGACGTCCTCCTCTCCCAATTTTTCCATCTCAAACTTGGCAATGTCTTTCAGAAATCTCTTTTCCTCCTGTAGTGTCATGCCCCAGATTACTACGACGCCATACTCGAATAGGAAGATTTCAGGTGTGATTAGATGCGTATCAACAAATGAAAGCGCATCGCTCGTGACGTCTGGATTTCGCTCAAGGGTTGGGCTGTCCGGGCCTACTATGGCAGCGGGGGCCGATTCGGTCAATTGGAGCTCTTGAAAGTCGATGAGGTCTTGCTCCGTCTGTTCCCGGACTCGCTTCTGGTAGAGATACGAAAAGGGTGTGTAGATGCATTCGTCGAATTGCTTAGGATTAGAACCTCTAGTGGTAGTTTTTGACTTCAGAAATTTCATTAATCCCTCCATATTGTATTTACCAGCGGTACAGTAAGCGGTGGTGCGAGGCAAGTGAGCACGTTCGGCTTTTCCCAGACGTTCGGCATCCCGTCGGGCGGTTGTGTCCTTGATTCGGGTGACCTGGGAGTAGACATCCCTGCCGGATTCTTCGTCGCCTTCACCATCGTCCGGGGCCGGAAGGAGCTTCAGCTTCTGGATGTTCTTTGTGGTTCTTTGAGGACCGATTTTGCCACCGGGAGAGCCATTGGCGATGGATGATTTGGAGAGGGTGTGAGAGCCCAGGCTGGCGATAGCCTTCCGTTTTAGCCTGCCTTCGGGTTCCGGTAGCGATCTGTATCACAATTGGGAATAGAGATAAGAAAGTTAGACCTTGAAAATATGATAAAGAGAAGAGGGGAAGCCTGCTAATTGAGTGCTGGCGATGTAGGGGTAGACGTCATATCTGTGAATATGTATGTATGCGTATGTGAGGTATATGTAGGTATATGTGTATGTATGTATGGGCTGGCAGACAGGGCAGGCAGGCAGGCAGGTTCTTTCCTTAGAACGCTCATCAAAAACAGTTTTTTTTTTTCTCTCTCTTCATATCAAGCCACCATGCCGTTGGAAAAAAAAAAAAGACTGTCTGAGAGGTACCAATGAAAGAAGAAGAATTGCCAATGCGCAAACCTACATGATGTGCATTTTGAAAGTGAAATTCCTAACCTGTGATAATTTCTGTAAGGATCTTGATTTGTCGGGTTTGCTGATGAAGATGACGGTGAGGATGATGATGGGATTGGAGTAGGAGCAGACTCTAGGTCGGGGATGAGGGTTCCGGGCGATGCCATGATGGTTGTCGTGATGGTCGTCGTGGTTGTGAGGATGTTGGAATGTCGACGTAGATGTCGGCGGTGTTTGGGAGAGTTGGGCGGTGACAGGGTGAGGGTTCAGTGGTCCAGACGTGTTTGTTTGTTGAATTTGATGAAATTGGCTTGGGAAAAAAACCAATGACGATGGATGAACTAGATTGAACCGAACAAACAATACATACTACGATCCAGGCACCCTGGCCTCGAGACTACTAAAGAAATGGAACTAATGAACTTCCTAGTGCAGGTCGGGAGATTCTGTTTTGTCCGTTTTGTCGGGAGCGAACAAGTGTCCGCCGGGACGGACTTGGGTTCGCTTTGGACCTCCTGCTTCCGGTGCCCTGCATATTTCTAGTCTCTTAGCCATTACCTTGTCGCAGCTTTTACTACTTCTGATTATAATGTAATGTAATGTAATGCAGACATCACCAACTTTCCGATTACTTAAGCCAGCACTCACTTTTCCTCGAAGCTTTAAATAGCAATTATATTGATGGAGATATTTTATATCAATTTTAGGTCTGGATCGGGCAAACCAGCGAACTATAACTGGCGCCCCGTATTGGTGCACTGTCCTTTTCCTCACCCGCATCTCCACACCCCAGTCCAGTCCCTCGCTTCTCTTTCTCGCCTGAGCGCATACCTAGCCTAGGTTAGGTAGCTACTATTTATAAATTTATCAGTCCGATATTCTTGATATTACCTCGTCAAAACCAAGACCCAAAAATGCAGATCCGAGGTTGAAGTTGAGATAATTAATGCTGTGTGGTTGATAGAAAAAGATGATCATCAAGCCAGAATCTATAGAAGGATGCGTTCTACTATGACTCTTCAACTTCCAGCAGCATACAAATATTTAAACATCAACGTGAATTAATTGATTGATTGAAATCTCGAATCTTCACTCCAGTGATTAGTCTAGAAACATACTAAAAAAGCTATTATCGATCCATAATCTTGTCAGTACATAGTACCCACTCACAACATGTCGACCAAACAGCCCCCACATGTCCCCCCAAAGAAGTTGCCCTCTTCAGAGAACAATACAGCGGAGATGAGTACCAACAATACCAAAACAGCGGACTCTTCTAAAATACAATCGAAACTGAAACCAAAACCACAAACTAGACTAGCTAACTTCGATGTTCCTGATCTTTCGGTTCTCGAACAAGCCATCGAGCGCGAGTGCTTCCCTTCTTCATTATCGATAGTATTCGACGAAGTGGATGGCGTATCGGGGAACGAAAACTTGCTTGGGATGCACTGCACGAGCTTAGACTTAGAGATCCGTTGTCGAGATCTTGAGGCGGAGCCGAATGCACTTGACGACCATTATTATTCAGTTCACGCCTTGATGGATGACTTCAAAAAGGGAATCTTCCGACCATGTTTTCTGTCCGAACTTGAAAATCTGCGAACAAAGGCACTATTGGCAGTGTATGGAGCTTACCTCCAAATGTGCGAGGGGACCAGGAGAAAAATTAAATGGTTTATGGAGCAGAAGAGAGTTAAGATACGATACTCGAGTATAGCGACACTAAAGAACCTTCCTTGGATTTCACCAGAAAAGAAAGCAGCATTCAAAATTAACAAAGTACAGAGGTTCATTACCAAGACAAATGTCAAAAGCTATACTCGCGACCTAGAAAAACTTGAATCACGACTGAAAGACTATCACCAAGATCTACAAAAGCGGACATGGTTCCTAACATGTCAAAAATATGCAACCATCAGGTTATTAATCGCTTGCAGACGATATAAAGCCATTCAGAAAAATAGATTATCTTCAAAAAAACTTTGTTCCTGCCGTGAGGAACATTGGGAACGCGATCTTTGGACTACCCTTGGTCTTCCGGTCATTGATGTACCGGCCAGACCCCATGGATTTATACCCATCTAGATCCTCAACCTCAAGAGCCCCTAAACTCTAGGCTAGTATAGATCCTCCATCTATATTAATACTAACTTAGTATACGCCCTGCTTTTGCACAGGCCTGGATTCACGGTTGGTGCTGGGATAGAACTCCTTCTTTTGTTACTCCATACATAAAAAATTTCCCTGAGTGTTCCAATTTTGCGTGAATGTCTGGTGCTGACGCTGTATTTTTTAATATTATATCAGGCCTGATTGGACTTCGTGGTCTAGGGCTGATATAAATTATACTAGTAAATTAGAACCAATTCTTCTTTTACATGCTTGCATACTCACTTCATGATTTAGCTATATATGTTCTTGGTGTTACCTAAACGGGGTGGAGCGGTTGTAATATACTTAGTCGACCCGTCATGGTACCGGTGCAAAATTGATTGAAAAAAAAACCCCCAATGACAAGATCTGAAGAGGAGAGCAAAGGTGAGGAATGAAAGTAAAAGGGGACAAGTTAAAATGCAACAAGAAGTTCGGAAAAGTGAGTGTGAGAAACGAATGTCAAAGAAAGAGTGAATGTAAGAATAAAGGTGAATACGGAGATGGGAAAACGAAGGAAAAGGGCAAAATATCAATCTAGATATACCAACCATTCCAGTCAGTTGACCTTGCCCGGAGTTCCTCATCAACATAATCCCCGTTTTCGTCTACTTCATTTCCATCGCTGTCCCCCCGGACACGAGGACGCTCCCCCTCACTGCCACCAATACCACCACCCACATCGCTATCGTTCTCCAGGTCGAACTCCTCCGACCCCGATACCGTAAAACCTCCCCGTTCCTCCCCGTTCCTCCCTTTAATCCTCCTCATTCTATTCCCCTTCATCTTCTCTTTCTTCATCTTCATTTTCTCTTTCCTCTCTTTCTTCTCTCTCTTCCTCATCTTCCTCAGCTTCTTCCTCTATCCCCTCTCTTCCGAAATCATTGTTTTTCTGGCCCGCTTGACTTACCGGCGCCAGTATGATTATACTCATGCTTGTGGGATTAATTCGAAAATACTGACGACAAACTGGAAAGTTTAGTCGAGTATTAAACCATGTAGCCACGCAATTGCGGTGGAATTCGTCATCGCAGAGAATTGTTGGAACAGTTTGTGCGCTGCTATCTGGCTTTTCACAAGCAGTGCTAAATCTGAAGGAGAGGACGTAAATCTTTTTAAGAAGGTTTGTTGATTGACGAAAAGAAAAGTAAGAGGTATCACGGTTAAACATAAATTATTTCTAAGGGAGGCTAGTTGTAAAGGTGGCTAAGGTTTCGCGTCTTAAGCCAAGTGCTCAAGTGGAATGCAATGTGAGGTGAAGAGGGAAAGGATTCTGGGGGTTCAAAGGCCCGGGGTGGAGTAATTTATATAGGGATATGGTATTATTATTTGTTTATTGCCTAAGAGGTAAATATTTATTATTATTATTTATGGGTACCTAAGTAGGTAGCTTAAGTACTTATACAGCATATATTAAGCACTGGCAGGTAAATATTGTGAGAGTAACGGGACCCCGGGTACCTACTCAATCTCCCCAAATAACGACGACCGATTAACAACGATCGACTTTTGATATTGTGTTGCGAGTCAAAATACCACACATCGATATATTTTAAGCAGTCTCGTAAGGACCGGGATATGTTCGATATCGAGCGGAGGCTAGACGCCGCCTTCTATAAACAGAAAAGCGAATGCTAGGGGCAAACTATAGGATAGGATAGGATAGGATAGGGATAGGAACCGAGGAATTAATCCCAGGCATGAATAGTTCCTATTATATTGCCTGACTAAGTTGAGAAGTAAAGAAAAGTAAAAAGAAAAGAAAAGGAAAAGAAAAAGAAAGAATAACAATACATTACATAGGATGTATGTCCTGTACATCTCAATGTGCCCATGTCCAAACTCAGTTTGAGGGGTTCTGCTGCTTCCGTCGTTTATTTAGTGTCGGTCGACAACACTTTGGTGCAGTTTTCATGCATTCGATTGCCATTATAACGTGGCTGGCCACCATCCATCCATCCATCCCTCATTTTCGGCCAGGCCAGGCCAGGCAAGAAGAAGAACAAGAACAAGAAGAACAAGAAGAATAACAAGAGGTAGAAGAAGAGCAAGAGGAAGAGAAAGAATTCCTCTGGTTTAGGTAGTAGCAGTCTGGTATTTCATTTCATTTCACCTCAGTTTCATTCTTCCCTTCTCTTCTCTTCTCCCCCTCCTTCCTCTCCTCATCTCCATCGTCTCCAACCACCACCACCATTAAATACACCACCACCACCACCACTACCACAGACCATCGTCATCACCACAACCATCGTCTTCTCGCCTCATCATCATCACGCTATCCTTCTCTTCTCCTCCTGCTTGCACCCCTCCCCTCCCCTCATTCCCGACGCACTAGCTTGGCCCATCATCAACATATCTTCTCGAACTTCTCCCGAAATTCGAAAACCGAATTCCAGAAATCGTCTGACGACCGCCCAATCGTTCATTCACCTTTCCGAGCTCCCCTGTCTCCTTCCCAACAGAGCTCGTTCGACCCCCCCTTCCCTTCCTTTCCCTTCCTTCCCGACACCACTTCCACTTCAACCCTCCTTGCCGTCTTGATTCGGATCCCTTTTCAGCAACAACCCCTTCAGCACAAAACCACCTCCTATATCCTTCCTTTTTCACTTTAAATTAAAATACCGTCATCGGCATCTATCTATCTCTGTCTCAGACCACTAAATTTGCTATAACCCACACCGCAACCTCTCTATATCTCTAGCGATCGAATTTATTCTCTTCCTCGTCTATAGTGCATGGAAAGAAAGAAAGATATTATGTCGGCAATACCCAGGAGCGACGAATCGGTTTCGTCCCCTCGACCATTACACACCCCCTCCCGTCAAATGGTTTCCAACATCTCAAGCCTCCTCCCTTCGGCTCCTGCTAGCCCTCCTACTCCGGCTCCTAGCCCGACCCCGCAGATCCACCGCCTCCCAACCTGGTCGACGGCGAACGCTAGCGAGGACACCTTTCTTCGAGATGCTCGTCCTCATTTTCTAAGACTCGACGCGTCCGAAAAGCAAAGATTCCTCGCCGAAATCCTAAACCTATGCGATTCGCAGCAGCTTAGTTTCGTTCTCAACTACGTCTCTCCGAGATTAAAGAAAGATCCCTTCAAGACGTTACCTAATGAGCTTTGCCTTCGAGTCCTTTCCTTCATTGATGACCCAAAAACCCTCGCCAGGGCCTCCCAAGTCTCAAAACAGTGGCACGCCCTGCTCAACGATGACCTTACCTGGAAAAAGCTCTGTGAGAAACACAGTTATCGTCGTCTGAGTAACCACAGCCCTTCTCAAGCAGCTGCTTTCCGGGCACAATCTATCGATCATCCGATGTCGGATCCTGTTAGCCCTTCGCAATCTACAAAGAACTCTGGTTTCACTTCCGAGATCACATCACACTATTCGTTACCTCGAAGGCGACCAAAACCCATTAGTTATAAATCCCACTTCAAGCAAAGATATATGGTTGAGACGGCGTGGAGGAGCGGAGGAAAGGCTATTGCAAGGCATATCACGCCTGATCAAGGAGTTGTCACCTCCCTCCACCTTACGCCCAACTATATCGTCGTCGCTTTGGATAATGCGAAGATTCATGTCTTTGCTGAAGATGGACGCTTCCTCCGGACACTGTCCGGGCATGTGATGGGTGTTTGGGCAATGGTTCCATGGGATGATGTTCTAGTGAGCGGCGGTTGTGACAGGGATGTCAGGGTTTGGAACATGGCTACAGGGTAGGTTTACACCTCCTTAAGAACATCTGATCTTCGTACTAACACACTACATTAGGCAATGCAACCAAGTTCTGCGAGGTCATACCTCGACGGTCCGCTGCCTCAAGATGAGCGATTCAAAGACCGCCATCTCAGGATCTCGAGATACAACCTTGAGAATTTGGGACATCGAAAAGGGTGTTTGCCTCAATATACTTGTCGGGCACCAGGCCAGTGTTAGATGCTTGGAAATCAGTGGAGATTATGTCGTCAGCGGTTCCTATGACACCACAGCAAAGATATGGAGTATCTCGCAAGGTGCTTTGTTACGGACACTCACTGGTCATTTCAGTCAGATTTATGCTATCGCCTTTGATGGCCAGCGAATTGCTACAGGTTCCTTGGATACTTCAGTTCGTATCTGGGATGTAGAGTCTGGGTAAGCTTTCCGTTCCAATCTTCTCACACTCTACCCTCAATTTGTGCTAACATATCCTTTCGAACAGTGCTTGCCAAGCCATTCTTCAAGGACACACTTCACTTGTTGGCCAACTCCAGATGCGTGGGAAGACACTGGTTACCGGTGGTTCTGACGGGTCTGTTCGTGTTTGGAGTTTGGATAAAATGCAATGTGTTCATCGTCTCGGAGCCCATGACAATAGTGTTACATCGCTCCAATTTGATGACACCCGCATTGTTAGCGGAGGTAGTGACGGTCGTGTAAAGATTTGGGATCTTAGAACTGGTGTGTTGGTTCGTGAACTCTCGAGTCCCGCTGAGGCAGTCTGGAGGGTCGCATTTGAAGAGGAGAAGGCAGTCATTCTTGCTTCGAGAGGTGGAAGGACGACAATGGAGGTTTGTTACCACCTGTTTTTCTATGATTCGTATGAGATAATCAAGTTACTAACATTGATCTTACCACACAGGTTTTCTCATTTTCACCACCACCTGAAGCTTTCGCCGAAGCATATCGAGCCAGTAGCCCAACAGAATCGGATACCATCTATGATGACGTCCCCATGGAAGAAGTAGATATGAATACACAGTTCGCTGCCTCAATGGATACATAGAGGTTGTAACTTTAGCTTCTGGTTTCCCGGCCAAGCGCTTCCCATCTCTCTCCCCTTCACGACTGATCGCTATCCTTTATGATTACCCTCCAAGTTCTCCATCGGTTTCGCTTTCAGCTTTTCCTTTAGCGTTACTCTTTTACAAGTCGGTGCTCCTGTTTTTCCTTTTTTTTGCACTTCCTGCTTTTTTTAAACGTTTCGGAGTTCGAGACCCCTCCAGGTTTAGCGAGGACTGGCACGTCCAAAAACCACAAAATTGACCATTCTGTTCGGGCAAATCTAAGGCAGCGGCATGTGGGTGGTACCCTTTTCTCTTTTGTTCAGCCCTTCTTTTTTATGGTTTTTTTTTCTTTCTTGCAGGCTCTGCTTTCTCTTGTCTTTTCTGCTGTACTTCTACGTATTCTTCCTCCCCCCAATCTCCTCTGAGGACAGCACATGATCTTCGATTTTGAGGTTTCGAAACATGCATCATGGTAGCTCGGTCTGGTTCCCTATTAGAACCTCCTCCCTCATATTTTATGATCTCCTTTACTATGCCCTTTGGTTTCCTCTTATCTCTCTTATACTAGTTATACGACCAGATGATCATATATGAATCATATAATATCTTTTTCTGTTTTTCTGTTTTTCCTTTTCTCCTCCAATCGATCTCGTGGGGCAAAAGCAAAATTATATATCTATTACTATTTTTCCGGGGTTTCTTCTCTCTCTCTCTCTATCTATCTCTCTCCATTTTATTATTTACTGTGACCGGCACAGACTTTTTTTTTTTTTTACATTCGATTTCAATTTCAATTTCAATCTATACGGACACGAGTAGGAAATAATAGAGGGGAAGAATGATGTGAGTTATTTGTGAGAGAAGGCGGGGCAAACATACAGGGATCGGGGGAAAGAATATAAAAAAACAAAAAGGAAAGAGAAAGAATACCTGGCTATGCATTGTCATCATCACCATTCATTGTCACCCATCCTGATATTTCATATGCGAAATGCAAGCCACACGCAGAAGTAAGCAGTAATACTAGTAATCTCACTTAAGCAGTAAAAAAACAAAAGGGAAGAGAAGAAACACAAGACACAGGAAAAGAAAAAGGAAAAGTGAATGAGAAAAAGTATTAATAAGTATTCTCTATAGCTTTCGTCCTACAAATATAAATAAAGATGATTTTTTCGTTGAAGCAGTAAACCACTTCCCCCTCCTATTCCTTTTCTTCAGCAAAAAAAACAAAAGAATAACGATAAGGTCGCCAAAAGTGTACTAAAAAAAGAGTAGAAGTGAATATTTTGTTTGTTTCGCCGAAGCCTGCTGTTAGCTATCTTCAGCGGCGTTCGTCTCCACGATCACCGGGATAGTGAACGGATGATGGAATTCTTCCTGGTGCCCGATATACGGTGACTCTGGCGTAGCTTCCTCAGGCGGGTCTGGGAAGATGGTTTCGGCATGACCAATCCAGTTTCGTACCATCTGTTGGAAATATCCAAAGTCTGGGCTGAAACCCATGGTGCCGCTACCGTCATTTGCCATTCCCATACCAAAGACGATAGCAAGATTAACTGTGTTCATCTTATTGATGTGTGAGTTTTGTGCAATTCTAGAATATCGAAAGTTCGTTAACTTTTCAGGCCCTCCTCTAAAAGTATTATAGGAAGCAGGGAGACTCACAGGTGAAGATGTCTATAAAAACGTTGAAGGAAGAAATAGATCCATGGGGGAAGTTTTGCAAAACAGTTCCTATAGTACAATGGCTTTTCGGAATCCTCGATATCGGCTAACAGAGACATTAGCACTCCTAATGATGGGTTTCCGACTCGAGAAGGTGTGTGGATGCATACCTGGCATTGCCCGAAGGTCCTCAAGGAGTTCAGGAGATAATAGAGAGTTTGGCATTTCTCTCATGAAAAGTTTGAAGCATCCGGCAATAGCGTTGATGTCAAACCATCGGTCATCATCCATTCGGACATCAACCTCAGAATCAAGGGCTGCCTTGAGAGCGCCAATACTGCTGGTGGCGCCGGGAACACGGTAGATGCCAACTTCCTCCAACCCTATGATTGCTCGTTAGCATCTGGAATATTTAAATGCCAATAGCCGAGTAACAACAAACCTCTCCGCTCTACTTCTCCAAGCATCATCTCTACTACATACGGGACTTTCAGGCCATCCCTCTGGTAAAGCTTCTCGAGTGAAACACCGAAAGCTAAACAACAATTGTTAGTACACTTACAGCATCAAGTGGAGCACAGGAATACATACATGGAGAAACAACCACAGTTGGAGCTGAGGCCATCCCGCCATCCATCACCTCGTCACCATCTGTGTTGACGGTGTCTCCGCTAATTGCCTCCAAGGAATGTAGCCATGCTTGCGTATCTTCCGACCCGGTAGCCTGAAGTAAAAAGCTTAACCCGTCTTCGGTCTTCATTTTCCAAATTTGTCTCTGTCTAAACGAGGGTGAGGAGTGCATTCCCGCGAGCCTGTACAAATCGATAATAATTGCAGGCTTCGTCTTATAATTCGAACTGTGCATTACAGGAAGCTCGGAAGGTGGAACAACCTTGCTGGCGGTCGGGGGGGTCCAAGAGGAGGATATCGCCATGGATATCGGGCGCACGGCTTTGAATAGAGTATTTACTGCGAGTCTTCGTCCTGATTTCTTCTCAGCTACAGGGTCCATTCTCAATCCTGAGGACTTAGTCTTCTGAGACGCCTTGAGCTGCCCTCGATGTTGCTTCTCGACGCTCTCACGATATTTCCCATCTCGCTTTCGCTTATCGTGTTCTTTTTGAAGGAGGCGGTAGAACACCTTCGTCCTGTTGGACTTTGTAACAGAATTCTCTCGGAAAGCAAGTTCCTTCAGATGCTTTCTATCAGCAGGGCGACCTAACCGGCTCTGTGTTTGCCTGTCGTGGTTAGGGTTAGGTGTTCCGACTTCCTCACCGGAGCTCCCCATATTTGGTGAGTTCGGGTCGATATCGAAGAAATTGCTGACAAGATTGAACACATATCTCCTCTTGTCAAAGTTGATCAATCGACTATTTTCGATTAGCATGTTTGGCACATTGCAGATGATCTCGAGCATGCGGTCAAGCAACCAAGACGGACAGACGGTCATCGGCCCATATAATCTGCTCTCTTCGTTCAACGATGGAACCACATTTTGCAAGATATCGAGGTCAGAATGTCTTCCTGTCGCCAGCTCGCCCGCGAGATTCCAAGAATGCGTGAACATCCGACTTTCGGGGGAGCAAAGAGCTGCGGCTATCGCGTTTCCAACGAACGACGGGACAGACTGCCGAGGGACAGGGCTACCAGCATTCTCGTAGATATCGAGTACAGACATCCGCCGTTGGCATATCGAGATGCACCTCAGCAGCGAGAATATTCTTTGAGACCGCTCATCCGCATTAATGCGATTGTCAGTCACAATGGAAATAAACATGTTGATCACATCGTTTTGAAGGTTCGCAAAGGCTCGGATGGGCGGCGGCAGACTTTGAAAGACAGTTTCGTTTGCATCGACCCTGGGGAGATTCTTCAAGATCAGAAACACGCTTTGGATAATATCCTCATCCTCAAACGATTGGGCAGTCGATTTTGAAACCAAAAATCCGTTCAACTCAGTAGACTGCATTTCCAGAATTTCGAAGGTAATCATCCAATCGACAAGCCGGATTTCCGTGAAAGCTCGTCTGGCATGGTTTTCGACCTGGTCGATAAACTCCTCAAGATATTTTAGAGGGCAATGGACAGGGACGGAGAGGGAGGGGGGCGAATGGAAGGTATTTGAAGGTCGTAATGGGAGATAAAAACCCCTCTCAAACTGCTCTCTCACATCCTCGAACAGGTTAAATATCTGTTCAATCATGTCAGGGAGCTCTTCGTGGTTAGAAGTATGTTGATCCCATATCGCGAACTCCTTTGAGAGCATTGCAATGAACTCAACAAAAGCATCCCTCAAACCGAGATCTCCATGGAAATCGATGTAGAATTCGTCCACCCAGAAACTTAATACTCGAAGAATACCAAGGTGGATCCTGGCCACCATGATCCAGTCCAAAACCTCATCTTTATCCTGGTAAAGACCCGTCCAGTCAGGGAATACGTCGTCATCCTTGACTTTGTCAGATAGCTTGGCGGCGGAGCGGGCCCCCAGTAGTCTCTTTTTGAGATACTCGAGTAATACAATTGGCAGGCAGAAACTATCGTAACTCGTTAGTAGATTTTACGAAGAGAGAGGGGTCTAGTTCTTACCTTCGGAAAGTAGCTAAGAAGGTTATGATAAAAAGTTCATCGTCCATTCCGAATGCCGGTAGTTCCTTCTTTTCTCCATGTTCACTTCGAGAAAACATCCTAGTGCTGAAATCCTGCACTCCAAGCACTAGGATATCAACAAGTCTCTCTAGAGTACCACCCTTGGTAACCACATTCATGGCTTTTGTACTGTACCGGGATGGGTTCACCATTGACGGCGGCCTGTCACGATCAGCTCCATCCGCATGTCCCGAGGCAATACTTAATGGGCGTCTTCCGTGCTCTATCAAACTTGTAGGTCGAGATCCCCCAATATCCGTGTTAACATCAGCTTTTAACATCAGCTCTCCATCCTTACTATAAAAACTCTCCTCATCCACACCTAGAACATCTCGGACAGCTCTCAAGATAGTACTGTCTTTGCTCTGGAGCCCTGCCGTTCTTTCATGTGTGGCTACATCTAAGGCATTATAGCCGGTGGTTTTTGCTGATGCTCGTTGAGGAGGGAATGATCTTGTACGTCGTAAGGTTGGGGTGGAAGCGCTAGGTACGGCAAGCATGAGGTCATTATCCATTTCAATGGCCGTTAAGTTTCCGGTACTCGCATTAAAATGTTTCTTTCCAAAAGCTTCTGCAATCGTCAAGGTATCTTCCCAGTTAAAGAGGGAGAATCCAGGTAGCAACTCTGTGAATGCTAGTGGAATACTAGTACCAGTACTTAGAGGGGGTTTTTGATGGTAGTGTGGCTGGACATAAAACCCGGTATTTGGCCGTTCAGCGGCTAAGGACATCTGGAAGAGGGAGGACGAATACACGGATATTGCCTTAGACCCATTATTTAAGAGCCGAAGACACTCCTGTATCCGAGGGTCCTCTTTGTATTTAGCTGGTGGAATATCTTTGCCATTCGCGCTCTTCTCGTCCGGGTATCGGCTCCACCTCTTAAGACCAGCCTCAATCCCTTCATATCCGTCAAGAAACCTTTTGCAGTCGATTTTATTGTTTCTGCTGTCAGTAGACTCGGTAAGGGAATGGCACAGATCACCGAAATAGGGAACAATATCTTGCACCGCGATTGTTTCCCCACCACCTCCAGGGGCCATAACACTGGGACGAACAGCCTCTGTAGTGCTTAATTCGAATTTGCGCCGTTCTAGATCTAGCATTACGGGCACCCATTCTTCTACTACGGTACTCAGCTTTGACTCCTCGATCATCTGCCAGGTCATCTGAAGCCTGAGGACAGCCGGCGAGAGGATAGCCATAATAACTGAGAACCAGCCAACCATATCACCGAGGTCCTGGAGTATTCTCCCAACATCAATCCAACGCGATAGCAGCGAAGCACGGAATTCATGCGAGTGGTTCGGCATTAGAATATCTGTGCACAGCTTCTCTCCCAGAAAATGAATGGCACTGGAAGTGAAAACTAGGGGGTTCTTGTTTGCAGCCGGAAGGGCATGTGTAACATCCATCAGCAGCGAAATATCGGTTCCAGGGTTCCATATCTGAAGGTACTTTTTGTGGAATAGATGAATCTGCTGCGCTAGGTGACCGGCAGGTATTGAAAGGAATTCGTTCGGCGAGAGAGTGAGTGCCTGTCGTTTTTCGTGATTTTCTGTCTCTTTGCCTAAGAAAAGATGTCAATAGTCTGGCCTAGGCAATGTGTACTTGGCTCATAGGGGGTTGGTTATTATAAGCTTACCTACATTCGTCGGGAAGAGCTCGGACTTTAGATAACTTAGCTTAGATTCGACCCTTCCAGACAGAGCAATCGCCAATTGTGCATTGTGCGGCTTGATTCCCTTCTCTATTAGTGCAATCAAAGCCTCGTGGTATCTCATCTCTAACAGCATCCCAAACGAAGAATCAAGAATTGTTGTCACTACTCGCTCTATCCTCCCACTTATATTCCTCCCCTTAGTATACTCAGTAAAGGTCGCAAGAGCCGTCTCTGGAATTGTCCATGCTGGCAGAGTTAGCAACATGGACCTAAAGAATATGTCGTTTCTGCCGAATAGTATCTCGTGGCATATCGCCTCGACCGACCCAGTGGCAACCGATCCATCTGTTTCCAAAACTAAGTCAGGATGTCTGTCTTCCTTGTTGTGCTTTAACGTAGATGTTTCCTGCGATGAAACCAGGGCAATGTCGGGAGCAGTTTGAGGCCGGGTCGCCGTTGTAGTTATGCTCGTAATAGAACCGGCAGTCTTGGGGGGAGCTTTGGCCAGGACATCGAATGATCGAATATGAAGGTTCTGTGGAGGTTTGTACAGGCTCAAATGGTGACCCTGAATAACCCCAAAATGCAGCTTCCAGGCATCTTTTAAAGCCCCCTTTCTCGAATAATGGGAATTTACAACATTGAGCCACCCTTCCAGTACCAACTCCTGTGATCTTCCATGGTGATCCCCTAAAAATGATGCTTCATCCGATTCTGGGAATTTTCCACCACTAGTTATTGAAGCAGTGTGGGGCCTCCTTAACTCTGAATTTTTATCACCAGCTCTTGGATCCCCTAAAAACCCATCAGTCTGTTGCCGGTGCAGTTGCTGTATGGATGACGACGATGATGGAGACTTCGACCGAGCGAATATATCGTTTACAGAGCGTGAGATGCTTCGAACATGGCTGTTTAAGGATGCAGACCCCGCTTTTGAATTTTTGGTTTTGAAGGCAGAAGACGGAGTGGATGATGGGCTAAAGGGAGAGGATGGGCTGAACGCCCCAGATTTCCGATTGGCGTTCGAGGTGAGGAGCTCAGGCCGCTGTCTATCTTTGCTCCCTTCGCTACGCCTACGCGGTACAGGACCAGTCGGCTGCGTGAGGTTTTGGCGGTTGATTTGCGACATAAAGAAGGACTACTTGCTTTGCTGTACCATCGTTAGCAAGGGTAAAAAAGATGAAGCTGTAGATGCAACGTCTTCTTCCTGTTCTTCCTCCTGTTCTTTTTTTTCTTTGGTGAAGTTTCCGAGGTTTATAAGGGAAGTAATTGGTAATACGGGAAGGCGTGTGCGTGAATCGAGAAGTTGTCCGAAGGGTGTAGTTGGCAGGTCGAAGGAGTTGATTTTGGATAAAACCCCTGGCAACGCAAAGGCTCCAGAACAGTGGCTTTGCCTTTGTAGAAGGACGAAGGAAAGGGAAATTGGGGAATCGGGTTCTATTCTGGTAATAGCTATTGGCCCCGGGGTGCTTCCGATTGCGATCTTTTTGTGATCATAGAAAATAGAAAATACGGAGTTCGAATGCAGAATCGTTAAATTGGAATGTGGTATTTGACCCAAAACGGTCGAATGTTAGAGGAAACGGTACGATGCTGCTGCTCTTCGTTCGCCTTGCGCTGCACTGCTCTGCACTGCTCTGTGGAGTACGTATACTAATGGAGACTGCTGAGAGGGACAAGAAATTAATAGAAACAGAAACAGAAACAGAAACAGCTGCCACTCGAGCTTAGGCTTGCAATGGTGGGGTGGTACCGTACCGGTCCAACAGGATGGTTTTAGTGTTTTGGGTTTTGAAGCGCCACACGAGATATATTTAGCAGCTTTAGATTATTATTTTATATTAAGTGGGTTCATCGAATATAAAATCCACGAGTTTCAGTGGTGAAAGAAAAAGGTATTTTGGTACGGGAGAGCAAGGTTTATTTTCAAGATACCGACGGTGTCTGAGGGGTTACAATTGTTATCAGTTGTCACAGTTAGCTGCAAAGAATTAATAAATCGGATGCGATCTGATCGCAATTAGTATGTACACCCGTGTGTATATTCTAAGCTAAACCTTTCCCTCCGGAATAAAAGAAAAACACCATAGCGAGAAAAAAGGATGTGGGTGATTCGAACGATAAGCGGGCGCCGGTATACGATATGCATGGGGTTGGGTGAGGGGTACAAGCTCGAGATGCAACTGTAGTTTGGCAGGCGTGTGTGGTATTGATTGATCATGTTCTGAGGGGTCAATGCATTTGAATGTCGAGACGAGAAAATGATACAGGGATTATGGGGTAATAGGGGATGCTCGACGGGTGGCTGGTTGTGAGTAACAAGCATTTTGTTTTAGCGGGTACGAGAGTTCCGCGATGACCGGGACTCTTGTTGACCTTTCCGACCCTTCGTTCGCACTGGCTGCTCCGAATGGTAGTGTCCAAGGTGTTCTGCGGCAAGATTGTTCTTCCATTTCAGGCATCGTTGGACGGGAACTTGAGCAACCGACTTCGTTCGTGTAGACATCCGAACAACCACTTCTGTTACATGACTCGGGTCCGATGGATTGAGGTATCTTTGTCGGGCCTCCATAGCGTTCACAATATGTTCTTTGTAAATCTCGAGCTCCTTCTTCAACTTCAACTCGCGCTCACCCTTAGTATCCAACCATTCCAAAAAGCTGTTGAAATCCTCTGGGTCGTCAATATACGCCCATTTCTCTGGGCCACGAAGGGCCGCATTTCCCTCCTCTTTTTTCCTACGCTCTTTGATAGACATCGCAACCCTAGTTCCATCATTGGTGTCATTGTTGATGACTCTGTCTAGATCTAAAAATTCCTTTTGCTCTTCCAACGGAGCGCCTTGAATCCACAACCTTCCCATGGCAAATCCAGAATCTGCAGTCGAGCTTGTTGGAATCCCAGCGTAAGGCATGCCATTCCTTTCAAAGAACCAATAACGGTTCCAGAATCTGTCCTTTCCAAGGAGACGTAGTCGTGCACAATCGGATTCCCTCAATTCGCTGTCTAGTTCGGCAATCGCTGCTTCTTCTTGTCGAATCTTGGCTTTTGTTTTCTCAACATTGAGGCAAGCCCTCTTGTACTTCTGTTGAGACTCGTGAATCTTCGCGTTCGCTTCTTCCTTTTCCTTTTCCTGTTCACGTTTTCTCTTTCGCTCGGCTGCCCGGTTTGATGGTCGTCGAATAACAGGGCGGCTCGAGTCAGAATCGTCATCATTTTCTACCTCTGGTGTGTCGTAGCCATTGCTCATTTTCGTATCATCTCCTTCTTCCTTAATTGGCGAAGAAGGCTCATTTTCTGGTAACAGTTGTCTTTTCTCATCCTCCAATGACTTCAACTCCTCGATGCTAAAATACGAAATCAAGTTAGTCAGGATACCAAAAGCTCAGGTAATTGAATTCACCTACAAGACTTTGCGGGTTTTCTGGTGCTCGATTTTGTCTTTCCTAAGCTTCGTCATAGCTTCGCCGCACTCGTCCATGTACTCTCGAACAATTGGCGTTTCGAAGATCAGTTTCTGAAGTAATTGGATGATTTTTATTTTGATATTTATATCCAAATCCCGGTATTGTGCCCTGGCTGTTATGAGCAATGGCTCTTCACCAAGCGGTGAAAAGTATCGTAAGATATCCGTTGCCAATGGTTTGAACTGCTTCTTGTTGTTAGATATCTGACTAAAGAGACCAACAATAATCGTCTCCCATCCACCATGTTGGAAATCCCGCTTCCGTAATAGTTCCAACCAGACCGGGTTTTGGTTGTCCCCGTGACCGTTGATCGCAGCTTTTGATAGCTCTTTGAAACGGGCACTCGAGCGTCTCGTCTGCATTCTATCTTCCTCCTCCTCCTCTTCCTCATCTTCTTCACCATCAGTGTCTAAATCAAGGATGCTTGCGATGTTGACTTTTCCTTCCTCTCCTTCATCCACTAGTGCTTTCAACAACGAGCAATGAATTTCCAACAACAATAAACAGTCCTGGTGATCATCGTTGTAGAAAAGAGCCTCAATGAAGTCGTCAAATGTGAAGGAGTCGAGGAGTAGCGGTTCACAATACACGTTCAGGAACTGCCAGGTTTCGAGGAGCAAAGGAACACTTTCTTCGGACAGCTTTTTCCCTGGAATGACCTCATGAAGACGCTTCAGCGTTGGTCGCTTTTTAGGGGTTAAAGATGGCATGATCGTAAGGTCTTCGATTGGATATTTGATGAGAGGCTTTGGGGGCGGCTTTGGAGGTTCCGGGGCAGCCTGGATTTTCGGTGCTCCGCTGCTAGAAAGGTTCAAAACTGGCGGTTTCCCATCGACATCCTTCTGCTTGCCTTTTCCTTTCGTGGTCGGTTTTGGAGGAGTAGGGTCGGGAGATAGTCCAGGTCCGGTTCCGGCAATTGTCAAAGAAAACCCTTTCTCAGCCTGCGCTTTTCGAACAGCTAGCATTGCCTTTCTCTCAGCAACAGTCGACCCTCTCTGTAGATGTCTTGGTATCATTTGGCTAATGCAATATCTTCGAGCATACGACTCCTTGACAAGCCAGGGAGCTCCATTCCATGCGTCTCGATGGACTGTGTTCTTGATAAAGGCTCGTAACATTGCTTTTGTGAATATCCTTCGATCTCGAGTCAGATCATCGGGGCCTAAGGAGATCTCTGTTCCTCGGTTAATGAGGCTGACTGTGTAAACAGCAGTCGCCGGTTTTGAAATTTCTCCTTGCGCATTTGTCTGTTCTGGAAAAGAGCTCTTCTCCCGGATTTGGCCTTCTGTTTTGTCATTATTGTGAAGAGTCGCGATGACATGTTCTCCTGGGTAAAAATCCCCCTTGAAAGCCTGCACCCGGTTTTAGAAACTAGTTAGCATCGCAGGCAAAAGCTGTAGCGTCTAAGTTTGTACTAACATCGTATACGAGATCAACTAGACATTCCGTTAGCTTGTGGAAAATGCGAGTGGCTTTTAACGGCAAAACATACCCAAGTTATCTATTCTTGGTATTGTCTGGAACTGAACTTTCTTCAAGATGGGACCTTTCAGCGCATCAGGGAAAGACTCTTCAACATCCTTCGAACCAGCGAGCTGTACGAAATAATTAGATAAGTATCAAGTGCTAATAGAGTCCCAAAAGAAGCAGGCGGTACATACTTCACTCTCTAGAGCTGAGAAAAAATCGAGTCCCGAGTGGCCAGTGATTTCGCAGATGAAACGTTTCTTCGTCATGTTAGTAAGATAGACCTCTAAGACGAAACTTTAGGCGGTCAAAAGTACGAACCCCTTTGTAAAATTGCATACTATCAATGGATCCATTAGTCTAGGTCTCGGGCTTTAAAACAAAACGTTCACAGGATCAATTGGGAACTTACCGAGCCAAGTAGTCTTCATATTCAGTAAATATTTCGCCAGTGGCATCGATCACCCAAACCTTCATTGGAAGACAGTTGAATCAATACTCGTGATCATCTTTAAAAAAATAGCAAAGGGAAGTCTCTTACCTCTTGGTCGTCATCTGCAATCTCCGGAGTTGGCAAAAACTGCACCGGTTTTCGTTTGAAGAGAACCTATACCCAATTCTATTAGCACCTACTACCGGTTAAGATATAGAACCAACATCTATCAGAACACACCATTGTACTCGAGTAATGCTAATACCCCTACACTCAATGGTGTAGAAGTATCAGCGTACGGTGAAAGAAAGCCCAAAGCACGCCCAGAAATTTTGCCTGCGCCTGCTAAAACCGACGCGCGGATGGAACAAAGAACCCTCCCGTACCCTCACAGCCTTACCAAACGCTGTAAAATACGTCTACCAAAAAGCCGTATATCAAAGGCGCGCGTGTGCGGGTTTGTTTATATCAAGCGAGGGATTCCCAAGCCTGTGTTTGAGGTTTGTGAATGGCTTGCTTGGTCAATAATTTTTTGATGAGTCTATGTCCCGGCAACTTGAAGCTTTTCAAGATTGCAATTAATTTCTTGTGAACCAGGACGGAGGGGCTTCGGGATAGCTATAGCCACCCGGTCTAGTCGAAGAGGAGGTGATGACCCGATATCGAATCGTAGAAATGGAATTAGAATGGCAACGGGTGATGATTGGTCCCCTTGAGACCCGAGTGGTACGACGAGGCGAAGTGAAGAAGTGATAAGAAGAGGTGATGGGAGCTGGAGAGCGCGGAGGTTGGTTCAAGAATGAGGGTGGATGGGGATGACGAGGAGGTCGACGCGGGAGGAGGGCGTCCTAAATTTTTTTTCGGAGCGGCGGGAGGACCACCTGAGAAGGTTTCGTGCTGTTGTCGGAGACCCCCCCACCGAGACCACCCCGGATCATCCTCGTTCGTTCCAGCGCATCCTCCTGCTCCTGGTAAGACGGCCCAGCCACATCAACTACCACCTGCCCTGTACCCTCCCACCGTCCTCCTCGTACCTCCTCCTGTTCTCGGCCGCGCTCTCATAGTCGCATCCGGGGGCTAGTATCATGATATGAGATAGAGCTAAGAAGACAAAGCTGTGGGATTTTTTGAACAGAGAAGAAGATTTATATTGAATCTGGAATTTCGTTAAATTTCAACAATTGACGTCGAGGTACCACGACCACTCAACACAACTCTCCTAGTACCCACTTTTGGAGAGGGCCCAGGAGCCTAGCCAGGAGGTCATGTTACCCATGCTAGGGTCTCCTGCTAACCTCTCTACCCGTAGCCGAAATAATCGGCGGGAAAAAAGACTATTGCTTCATGGAAACGCCATAGCAGACGAGGCAAATCTACTTGGGAAATGAATATAAAATTTATATCCTTCAGGATCTAGCTATAGCTAGTAGGTAAGTATTCTGACTACCCCTCCAACTCGCTCATGGGAATGGGCCTCTCTATCCATAGACCAAACTCGGTGTCTCAGGCTTCAGAAATCTACATCCTTGCCATAGACATTAACGCATTGGCCGAATCATACTCAATTGTTCAGCACAATCCCTCCCGGCATAACTAGCGGGTGTATCGATGCATTTAGAAGAGGAGGAACAGAAGGCTCTTCCATATTCTTCCACTGGAGTCACCCACCAAGCTCTGAGATAAAACCAAAATATGACAAAACTAGGTCTGCTAGACATCATAGCATTATCGGGGATATCACTAAGGGAAACAAGCAAAAGAAGGGAATACATGTGGGATATCAAATGGGGGGAAACAGGATGCAAGAATGCTAAAAGTATATACTGTATAAAAATGCTGTTGTTAATCCTGAACACTTCGAAAGATCCATAGCCCGCTAATTTGAACGTATACCAAGTAAATCCAGACAATAAACAGCCTAAGATGATATGAAATAACAAAGGGAAATTTAAAACATAGTAAGCTTTTAATCTTCTTCTGCGAGATCTTCTGAATTGCCATGCCATTCTCTAGCTTGCGCTGTCAGATGCTTAACACCGAAAACTCGGGATGCATGATATGACTCGCTCGGCGTCCTACGTCAGAATTAAGTTAGTATCGATCTATAACAGAATGTTGCAAATTGAGGAGGATGTATATACCGGAATGTGATGGCTCTTTGCCCAGAAATAACACCGATAGCTTGTAAGACCGCCTTGCGAGAATCCCGAGCGAAGACTGCGGGGTGGGCAATCCACTCCAGAGCAGCTTCCAATTCGGAATCGAGGCATCCCACCACCTTGGAGTCGATGCCAGCAGTCGGGCTGTATTTTCCATCCCAGTTGCTAGACTGAGTTGCAATGGGTGTCACATCTCCATGATCAGAGCCTGGAGGCGGCGGTAAAGGTGGTAAACCACCCTTCCCAAGGCCTCTTAGAATTGTCCGAGTCTCAGAGAGCAGCGTTTGGGCTCTATCGTGCTGCCCTTTCGAGACCAATGTTAAAGCCCGAGACAACATATCTGAAGTTAAGAGTTCCATCCTCCTTTGCACGATCATGGGGTGTGGAGGTATCGGAGGGGATCCAGGACGAGCGTGGCTTTGTCTTGATTTGTTGCTGGTCGATGGTAGCATCGAAATAGTTAAGAGGGATGGCCGCGATGACTGTGATAATGCTCCATCTCTTTGGATATCCCCATAAATAAGATCGGCTTGTATAAGCGGAACTTCTTCGATGCTTTGGACTCTCTGTTCTTCTGCGTCGAGTGGGCCACCAAGAGCCTCCAATCCAGAAACAATTGTCTCCCATGGATCAGCAGGTGGTAGCTCATTAGTGTTCTGATCTGGGTCGATGACAAGTTGTACCAGTACATCTAGATCCCCCTAAAAGTCAGTACATCTCAAAATTTTTGAGTTTACTGAATGCCGAGATTCCACGAACCTTTTTTGTCGCCGAACCTTAAATCTCCGAGAGCAGCTTCGGCCTCCCTTCCAGTGGCCCGCTTGGTGACTTGTAAAGCACCGCTTATCTTTGTGAAGCGGGCAGGCGACCCTTCTGGCAACTTAAGTTTAACCTTGACGTTTTGATGCGATGATGATTGCAAGGCTCCCATGCAGCCCGCAAGGCACTCCCTCAGCATCATCCAGTCCTTAACATAGGTATATGATGCCTTTGTCCTAGTTGATAGCTCGATCATTGTATCCGGCTTGTGAGTCAACCCTAACCCGAAGGAATGAATCGAAACCCTAGGAGTTTTGGTTAGATTAATATAAAGGGTTTCCGAAGGTAAATAAATAACTTACTTCGCAGCCTCTGCTCTTGATATCACAAAATCAACCGCTTCAACATCCGAAGTTGAAGAGTCACTAATCAGAAGAATAGAAGAAATAGGATTGCTGACTTTTCTCTGCATCAATAGATCCATAGCGGCATTTGCTCCTTCAACCACATCGGCGCGTAGACTCTTTTGACCAACTGGCCGAATGGAATTGATCACCCTATTCCAACTCGACCAGTTCTTCGATGTCATCCCCACAAGTGCTACGCCCCCACCACTAGAACCAAATGACACCAAACCCATTCGATCCTTTTCTCCAAGTGTTCCAACCAAGAACCGCAAGGATTCCCGAAGTAGATTGATCTTGAGGCCTTGCATAGATGATGTAACAGGGATGACAACGACGAGATCGATTGGAACGTGGGCAGCAAGAGTTGTACGCAATATCCTTGACGATGTTGTATATTCTGTTGGGGCAGATACAACGGAACGGGCGCCTCCTATCGAAGAATTCGCAGAGGATGCGCGATGGCCCTTCCTCCTAGTTGAATAACGGCCATCAAGTTCCTCATCAGGGTCGGATTGTATACGATCGTCATCGTGCGGTGCATCCAGCATCTCACTATTGAGATTCAAAAGCGCCCTGCGCCACTGTTCCAATTGTGAATGATTGGGGAATTGAAGATGAAATGATGGGAGTTCAGCGACAGAGAGGTTGAGGGTCAGAATATGATTATCTACATCAAGGTTAGCTATTTCAATCTATAAATCATCATACGTATCAAACCAGGAGGGATGCGTACCAGTTGAGCTCGAGTCTGATACCTGCTTCAGGTGCTTCTTAATCAAGATTGAACCTTTGAGTGTGCATTTACCCGATTTTTTACGTCCATTAGGGCCCCATTGTCCGGAAGCAGTATTGGGGATCTTCTTCTCCTTCACGCATATAAGCATTTCGGAAAATAGGAAACATTCAAGTTCCTGCCATGATTGGCAGTCTTTGCCAACTTTGATGGTCCCGAACAACCGTAATTTACCAAATCTAGAAAGAAAAAAATACCACATTAGCACTCTGCCACAATATGCAACAAATGGAGCGGGGGGTCCATACCGAGAAACATCCAAGCTGTGCCAGTTTTCCACCCGTTGCCTCAAATCCTCCGTGATTTGTTCCATATTGGCAGCTGACTTGGCATTGTTCCCATAGGTCCCTGAAGCAGAACGATTACTCGTACTTGGAGACGGAGGCCTGTAGGGGTCGTCCACGCCCCCACGTACAGGTGGGACCGGTGGGGCTGGGGATTCATCCCCTGTTGGGACCCATTTCCTCTCAGGAACCTCAATCGTTACGAGGCAAGTGAGAGCCTGTTGAACCTTTGATCTTGTCAAGGTTGGGAATTCGCTCCGAACCGTAACCGTGGGTGGATCGATTGGGTTTTGAGGTTGCTCCCTTGGGCTCACAACACTCTCCATGTTTTGCACATCAAAATCATGCTGCCTGCGCATGGATGGGGTTTCTGGAAAATCTGCCGCGGACGTATTACTCGGAGTACGCCAATGTCCTGTATCGACGCGAGGAGTCTCTCGAAGCTCGGGCCGACTGTCACGACTGTCACGGCTCTCTCGACCTTCCCGGCTTTCACGGCTTTCACGGCTGCCTTGATGATAGCTCGAGGCATGCTCGCTGCGAGCGTTGGACGGCGTTGGCTGACTGAAGGAACCCGTTGGCTGGCTGAAGGAACCCGTTGGCTGGCTGAAGGAACCCGGCGGCTGGCTGAAATGACCGGGCTGACTGAAAGAACCCGAAGGCTGACTAAAAGAACCTGAAGGTTGACTGAAAGAACCCGAAGGTTGACTGAAGGACCCCGAGTCCCACCGATTCGGCGAATGCACATCCCAATGTCCTGATGGCACTGAGCTTTCATGGCGGACACTCTGTTGAGATTGGCTATATTTTCGAGAGGCTTCTGCCTCCATAACCGATGCGGCTTTTACAACATTGCTAAGTTTCTCTATTCGAGAGCCAAATTTAGTCAGTAAAGTACTCGATACGATTTTTCTTTTCTTTGTCAAAATAAGGTTCCGACAGACCAATGTCCAAGACGTTCCCGCCTCGGCTAGTATCCAACCCCAAAGGCGCATCACAAGTCGGGCAATGCTGCGAGTCGATTTCGCGAATGTATTCGTAGAAACAGGCCTCGTGGGCCACATGTTGGCAACTAAACTGCAGGACCCTCTCACCCCGCAATGTATGCTCCAGAAGTTCATCGCAGACGGCACATGGCGAGCCCACAAAGGTCCTATCCCGGCGATTACGAGACCGATCCATATCGAAGACACCGGTCATTGAAGGTTTCGCAACAGTAACTCGAATCTTCCACCAGAAAAAAAAAGTATTTTCACCCCTTCTTCAAATATGTATAATCTTAAAAATAACAGTTGGAAGAGTGTTGCTTATTTCTTTTTGCGATCTCGCTAAAAGGTTCAGTCGGGGCACAGAATCGAATCGATCGATTAATCGAGGTATGCAGTGTTTCGATGGAAGGATAAACGAGACAGTGTCGATATATCTAAGAAACCGATGCGAAAGAGATGGGGATTCGGAGATATAAAGAAGTATAGGTCGTGGAGGGACGAGGAACAAGGGCAGCCCGAATTTCCTAAAAGCTACAGATCTGATACCGCGCTAGAAAGCTAAAGGGTCCACCAGCATCGTCATGACATCGTCAAACGGGGAAAGGTCGGGTTTGTTGACTTTGATGGACAGCGAAACCGTTAAAACGGCGGGAGTGATCAATAGGACGAGGCGAGAAGTAGATAAAGATCAGCAGAAGACAAAGAAAAAGGCTCTGGGATTTTTGAATGGGGGGGAGAGAAAGGTCGTTCATTTACAACGGGTTCAGACTGGGTGTGTGGGAGGATAAATGGGAAGGGCCACAATAGTTGGCTGGCTGTATTGTGCGGTAGCGGGCTACTTTCCCAGGACATGGACAAGGAGGCGGGAACAAATCCACTTACACCACTTACACCGGCGGCGCCTCCTCCTCCTCCTCGATGATTTAATAATAAGTACGGAGTAGTGACTTCACTATTTCGTTAGTGAGGGCTAGGGAGAGTTCAGACAAGGACGGATTTTCGTCGAAGCGAGAAGACAGTCCAATCCCAATGGCACGGACTTCGAAGATGCAGCAGACGATGAATTCTGTGGAGCGCTGCACAGCACGGTACCGGCTGCGTCTAGCTAGCTTGCTCACCACATGTCCCTTTTGAGCATCGTGCAGAGGACCTGATTATGTACGCCGACATGCAGAGTTGGACAGCCGAACGGCTGATTAGCGTGCCTTTCTCTGCGCGGGGCTTAGGCGACCAACAGGCTGCTAGGTTCCTTGATACGGCAGGATGCTGTGTCTTTCGCATTTTGAGCATTCGTCAAGAAAAACCTTGGACGTCAATGCGAAAAGGAAAAAAAATATGCATGGTCCGCAAAGGAGGGTAGGCAGCGGGTGGACGGGGCCTATGGGATGGGATGGATGGGTGGGCGGATGACTAGCCAGAAGTCATGCCTGGATATGGTTTCCCAGAGACCCTTTCGCAGCCGAATGCAATATTATGCTGCTTATACTGGGCATGTTCTTAATTCTTAATTAGATATCACCAATAGATATCATTTTCGTGCGATAATACCAGGCATCACCGCTGTCATCAGATCGTTAGGTAACATCTATAGCACTGTTAATGCACTTGTCATGAGATTATATACGGGACGGTTCCGACTTCCCTTGACATATCACTTCGTATAGACATTCTGCGAGACATGTTCATTTGAATTCTTTTTCGCCGGCTGGTGGAGGGAATGACTTTTTACAAGTCCGGCCCACCTTTAGGGCAAGGCATCCTTGGAACTTGGTATAAGGGGCCTGAGCCGAAATGCTGAAATCGAATTCAAAGACATGACCCCGGTTCCCCTATAGATCGTAACTTAAGCTCTTACTATTATGCAAGTAAAAGTACTATACATAGTAGTTAACGAGAGCTATAACCAGACGAAGCCTCATGGTTGGGTATGTAGGTACTTACTATGAGGGGCTCTCCTCTCCCCACGAAACCTCTCACACATGCCGTTCCAGCGAGTAATATATCCAGCCAGCCGGAGCCGTGTTCCAGCCTCAAGGAGTCGACCGCTGGGAATTTGGAACCTCAAACGGGCGCCCGAGTGAACGTTTCAGGGCAGGATTTGGGTTAGCTAATACTGGACTGACAGCAGACAGTTTAGACAGGGCCCCGCTCGTCGGATATTAACTAATCCCTGGAACCCAATCAGCCAGCTCGTTCGTTAGTTAGAGCAATCAATCAAACCAAATGATCTTATCAAACCCTTGTTCCTTGAGTCGTGAAGTTTTAGTCTGGCAGCTTTTAGCGTGCCCGTTTGGAACGGTCTTCAAACGAGAGAGAAAGGGGACGCCGCCCGCTGATATTATGCCAAGGAAACATTGCAAGCTGGCTGGATCCACTTGAATTCAACAAATGATTGATGCTAATGTTAATGTTAACGTTAACCAACTTCGACGACAACGACGACCCGCGATTCCGAACACTGACGACAATTCCTTAATTTCCGTGCGGCACCTCCCAGAATATCACCAGATCATGCTGGTATAGCTGGCTTGCCTATACCGTATTGTGGCTTTAATCAAGCTTCCCGGGCGTGATTGTTGGGTCTAAATCGATCAGCTTGTGTGCGTGTTTGCTATGTGAACATGGATTCCGAACATCATCCCACCTTCAACCAATGCCTGGTGCTGGCTACAGCTCTCAAGCTGCTGTTAATCCCATCATAGTATGTACATACGCCTCCGGCGCGAAGATAACCGCCCCCTATTTTACACCGTTTAAGCCTAATGGTCTTTGTTCTGACTACATATCGATTATTAGTAGATCCACAGATTTCGAAGTCCACCGCAATTGGCTCGCTATCACACACAGCTTGCATCCTTCCCAGTGGTATATAGAAGTATGAACAAACAATCACTGTTACAACATTACCGACATCAGATGTCATATACCTCAATCAGGGACTCGACTAAGAAAGGGCAATCATCATCATAGGATACATCGGAATGGACATTGGACTACCCACCCTTCTTCGCAGCTTTCGAATGGGTTCTTTCCCAAGTCGCCCAGTTCTTCGACCCGGGCATGCTTCAAGTCAAGAACCTCAACTACGCCTCCGTTGAAACAGTCTATTTCCAACGTTTAAGTGTTATTGTTACGGAATTAATACTGGTCCTCTCACTCCGAAGATTCGTGAATGTTCAGACAAATGCCCAAACGAAGAAAGGTGCCAATATTATCGCCTTGTCCCTGCTTCTATCTCCGGCTTTCCTGATAATTGACCATATCCATTTCCAATACAATGGGATGATGTTTGGGATCCTCATCTTCTCCCTAACCGATGCATTGACCGACAATCTTCTCCGAAGCGGCATTCTATTCGCCATTCTACTTTGCTTTAAGCATATCTACCTCTACATCGCCCCAGCTTACTTTGCATACCTCCTCCGTAGATATTGTTTGGGCAAAAATCTCCTCGACATCCAATTTTTCAACTGCATCAAACTCGGAGTTTCAATCGTCTCGATATTTAGCGTGGCTTTTGGCTACTTTGTAGCGATCGGCCAAGTCCCCCAACTACTTAGCCGATTGTTCCCTTTCTCTCGAGGATTATGCCACGCGTATTGGGCGCCAAATGCTTGGGCATTATATGCCTTCGCAGACCGGATTCTCATACACATAGCGCCGAGGCTTAATCTAAATATCGACTCAGCTAGTTTGGGTTCAGCGACCAGAGGATTAGTTGGAGATACCTCGTTCGCCGTTTTGCCAAATATTCCACCAAGGGTGACCTTTGTCTTGACTCTAGCTGTTCAACTGGTTTGTCTTGTCAAGATCTTTTCGAAACCTACACCAATTAGATTTATAGGCGCAGTTACATTGTGCGGATTCGCGTCGTTCATGTTTGGATGGCACGTTCATGAGAAGGCCGTTTTGTTGCCATTGGTACCATTCAGCCTACTCGCCTTGCAGGATCGGCGGTATCTTGGTGCCTTCAGGCCGCTCGCGATTGCCGGGCACCTTTCATTGTTCCCACTGGTTTTCAAAGCTGCCGAGTTCCCTATCAAGTCGGCTTACACGGTCCTATGGATTATGGTATTTTTCATGACATTCGATACGGTCGTCCCTGTGTATGTTTCAACCCCCCCCCCCCCCTCACGATCTATTCGTCCACTAACAAAAGTTACTTTCCAGTGCAAAATCCCAAAGAATTTTCCTTCTCGATCGTTTTGAAATCGTCTACATGACTATAGGCGTCCCTCTCATTCTTTACACCGAGCTCTTTCACTTCGCGATCTTTGGATCTAGACTCGAGTTCCTCCCACTCATGTTCACAAGCGCATATTGCGCATTAGGGATCCTTGGAAGTTTCCTTGGGTTCTTCGTTCTCTATCTTACAGAATAAAATCTTTGCCTCTGTCCAAAATTTTCTAAAACATTTGTTACCCCTAAGAAAGCCTGCACTTATATCCTTTGTTCGTTGTATTTACTTCATTTTCCTACACGCAAAAGCGCACTACGTAGATGGTATCTGTAAATGTCTAGGCCCGTTTCACAAAATATCCTTATCATCTAGAATGATAGAAAGAATAGAATGCATTCTAGCTAGCGATTTCATCAACGCCGAGATCATGCCATACTTTTTTTTTAACTTAGTAATATCGCTCCTACATTTAATCGTCGTTATCCCAGCCTGGATTTGGAGCTGGCGGCTTTGGCCCTCCTGCTTGACGAGCAACGATAATTTGATCAACGGAAAGAACAGTGCACACTGCCTCAGTAGCAAGCTTAATAGCCCAGCTCTTGCTAGACAACAAATCGACGATGCCGGTAGCCACAGCGTCGGCTGTTCCAGAGCCCTTCTCCTCCTAGAAGGATATATTAATATTAGCGATAGTCTAACGTTAATAAAAAGCACATCGAAAGGAAATACTCACATCAAAGCTTATACCAGTAGTGCAATCGCCTCTCTTGTTGTGTGCTGCGGTCAATTTACTCAGAACCTCCATAGCATCCAATCCCGCGCTTTCTGCCAAAGTTCTGGGAACAACTTCGAACGCTTGGCCGTACTTTTGGATAGCATATTGAAGAACACCGGGAGTCCTGTCTCCATATGCAGTTATTCGCTGCATCAACTGTGTCTCGGTAGCACCGGCACCTGGAACCAAGCGGGCATCTTTAGTGATGGCCTTGACTACGTTAACACCATCATCGATCGCTCGTTCAACGTCATCAAGATAGTTTTGAGTTGCTCCACGAATGACAATTGTGGCAGTCTTGGTGCTCTCGTTTTCTAAGTACCTCACAGTCAGTATGGCGTCATATCTGATTTCGTAGTGGTCGGTTTACCTTGTCTGAAAACAGTAACACGATCTCCACCGATTTCCAAAGTCTCCACAACATCGACTTTGCCCATCTCGTCCGGCATAGGTGCACCCAATCGAGCTAGTGGAGTTGCGCCAATAACACGGCAAATTCTCCTCAACTCGAACTTGCTAAGAACCTTGATAACTAAGATATCATATCGATTCAGGTAATGTAGTGCAAGTTCCCCGACAGTTGCCCCTGCCACAATAACTCTGATCCCGGAATCATAGATCTCCTTGATGATACCCTCCAACTGTGACTCCTCGCCCTTTGTGAAATCAAGCATCTCTTGTGCGTTCTTAAGAAGAACTGTGCCCTTTGTTTCCGTCTGGGTAATATCTATTGGGCAGGCGTAGACAGCAACTTTAGCTTTCGATGCAGACTTCTTGTTCCCTTCTGGTTCCCGGCCAAATACCATCCCCTTGATAACCTGGCTCTGCAACAAGCTGCTTCCCATGATCTTAACGACGCGGACATTGTCGACGTTGAAATTTTTAGGATCCTTAGGCAAAACGGTCAAGACGGCTTCAGCAACAAGTTCGGCGAGGATATCTTCATTTCCGTATTGTTTTGACGCAATAACTGTGCTTAAAGCCTTGCTAAGTTCGGCTTTATTTCGAACATCTTTGACAGTGTCGTGGCTGAGCTCTAGTTTAGTAGTATATATGTTAGACATTTGTAGTCTGCCGAGTTATCAGAACTGGGCACGGTACCTTCTAACGTCTTCTGCGCGAATAGCTGTGCTTTGGTATATCCCTGTATGATATCCGAAGGTTGAAGGCCACCCATACGTATCAGATTCTCCGCCATAGTAAGCAATTCTCCTGCGAGGACGATAACCAAATTCGTCGCATCTCCCAACTACCGTCCACCTCATTAGCTATTCCTTCTTCATATCTTCCCAGAACAGAGTGTTAATACCTCGGATTCCTGCTGCTGTGTAGCCATGACAACAATCTTAACTGCCGGATGAACTACATCCAATTCCCGTAGTATCGTAGCAGCATCGTTCGTTAGGATCATTTTCTGGAGATGGTTGATAACGATCTTGTTTCGTCCGTAGGGGCCGAAGCTGGTCTTAACTGTACTAGCAAGGGCCTGGCAAGCATCGATGTTTCGAAGGACGGCACCATCTTCGTTGCTTTGTCTGTTTTGTTCGTAGATATTTCGTAAGATGTCGTGACTCCAGGGAATTGGGGTTTGGTTGGAGGGGTTTGAGGAGTCGTATTTGGACTTACGTGGTGTAGCCGCTCTTGAACAGCCCGCTTGACGGCGCAGCTGGTATCGACAACGACATGCTGGGCTTAATAGATTATTTCCGCGTGAATTATCGCTATAAGTATGGGGGTTATCGGTGGCGAAGGAGTTGAAGCTTCGAGATTGCGACGAGGGTATGTACGTGGATGCAAACTAATGCAGACTTTGTAAGCTCCCAAATTTTACCATACAAGCTTTCGAATTTACAAGATAGATTCAAACAGGGCATAAAATGTATGCTGTGACTTACGGGTCCAAATTTGTGATGCCAGGTTTGGAGGACGGGGATTGGTAATGCGTCGTATGTTGAAGCTGTACTAATACTGCCAGGACGTGTGAAATTTTGGGGAGCAGCAAAAATGCGGCTTTGACTTTTTCGAGCTTGTGCTTGCAGCTGCCCCACCAAAGACAACACAAGTAGACGCTTTCGTTATCGATATCGGTCGATAGTGGCGGTACACGTAAATACAGCTATACAGACATTATACAGTAGTCCCGTATTGCAAACGCGGCCCACACGAATTTACCACATTTACCAGTGCACAATCGGGTTTAAAACAGGCACATATATCGTTCGCTATCTTACATAGACAAAGAGGTCTACCCCAGGTAGAAGCCATAAATCTATTTCCTAAGAACGCCAAACAATAACGTTAAGTGTAAAAGAAAGCCCAGTCATGGTCATGCCGTGTAAACAGTTTTAAAAGGTGCCCCATCCAATGCAAACCCCACTAATGAACCCATGAAACGACCATTATCGCAACGTTACCTAACTTACAGTCCGCCCGATATATCTTACAACTCAGTTCCGTGGTGCAAATATTCCTAGTTAGTGCGCATGATGTGGCCCGAGATAAGTGATCAAGGGTGCCAACATCCCGACAACAGTCAAGAGCGAGTTTTGCATTTTGTCCTCATCGTCGCTTGGAGCAGTGTCTATGTCCTGCATCCTGAGCTCGTGGCCATGCGACCCTGTACCATGGTTGTGACCACCGCCCGCGATTTCCTGCATCGCATGCATCGCTACGAATCTGTAGATTTTATTAATACGTTTTCTAACCTTGAAATGGAATCAAATGAAGAACTCACAGAAAAGTACCGGCGCTAAATAGCAAGAGGACACCGGACCACCATTCTGTAGTCTGATGGTGGTCCTCCGCGCCACCCCTACCTCCCAAAACTGATATTATGAGCCAGGTTCCAAAGGCGCCAACCGGAGCTGCCAGACTGAATGCTATGAGATGAGTGCGGGCCTGCCGCTTGCTAAGTCCTTGCTTCAACAGTATAGCAACCAGTCCAAATGCTGCAGGAGCCTTGTGTAGCATGATCGCAAAGAAAACTATGAGCCCAAGCGACGGTTTCGAAGAGTTGGCAGTGGCGCCAAGAGCAATTCCATCAGCTGTTGCATGAATTAGGAGACCGAGTGTTGTCGAGAAGGAACGACTGGAGGAAAGTGGTGTTTCGGTAGATTCCGGTGAACTGAATGATCGGAGATTGTTCATTGAGAAGGTAGAATAGGCTCGTTCGTTGGTATGGGTTGACCAGACGGAGAGGAGATGAATCAGATACATAAAAACGAAGCCGACGACGAGAGCTAGCCCGACGTATCGTTCGGGAGATGCATCATGGTGTTCAGTTTCTAGTTTCGCCATAGTCGCGTTAGCAAACCAATCCATGGACGGTAGAATATAAAGTTCTCACCATCGTGACCATGCGCGCCGTCATCCCGATGTGATAAGAGGGATCGGATAGTATTGGTGTTTGCGGTGTGGTGGGACTCGGGTTCAGCGTAAGCACTGTAGAGCGTTGAGACACCTTCCGGGATGATTACGATGAGGGAAGTCCCGACAAGAAGTCCCATTCCAAAGCTAGAGATGGCTTGAATTCTTCTTCGTGAGAGCGAAAGGGCGAGGGGGAGAATACCAGCACCAATTGACCTTTGTCCACGGTACCGTATCCACTGTCAGCATCTGTCAAGAATTATCTCGCTAGGGGAGCTCCGGCAGAGCCGCATTGCGAAGTGAATAGGGCAATACATACGTAGATGCAATAATAAAGCTGAGAAGAAGCAGCCACCAGAATCCGCCTGCCATGGCTGAGAAATTGTGGTGATGATGTCTCTAGAAGGTTGAGGTTGGTGTCAGCGACAACGGAGGGGAAGCGACAACCAGCAGCAAAACCACGCCCAGGAATCCGAATGTCACCCAACTCGGGCCCAGGTTCCTAATATCCAAACTTCACGGGTATTCCAGTAACTAGCGCCCCAGCATCACTAGTGAAAACCCATGATTCAATTGACCTAAACCGGTGGTGGCTCTTGGAGGCGAAAGGGATGGTGGCGTGTGTGCGGCTCCAGGAAGGTCAGGTAAGGTGAAGTGAGGTGAGGTGAGCGAGGTGAGGTTGGGATGGACGTTCTGGGGATTCAAAGCCAACCTTCCGTTCCAGTTTGGATTTCTTTCATCATCACACAACCCACCAACCTCCAAACCGTCAAACCTCCATCATCACCGTCATCGTCACCAAACAAACCTCCAGCCCCCCTCACCGCAATCGCTCCTCACCCCTACCTTCCCGCCTCCGACCTCAATCTTCAGGGACCGACATCCATCTACAGCACTGACCTCTTCTAAGCGGTAGCGCTATTCCACTTTGGCACCACCTTCAACGGTACCGTGTTTGCCGATCGATGCCTCGCGACCAAAAGCTTACAGGTACCACCGCATGATACCTCGACCGTCGAATTAACTACCGTCCATATCTAATCCCCGGATATCGTAAATTCTGTAGCCATGGTCAGCTCTTCTCCCGCCCTCCCAGCTTCTGTCGAGGAAGCATATCGCCAGAAATGCATCGACCTCAAGAAGCGACTTAAAGAGTGCGAAAATGCAAACGACCAGCTCGTTGTCCGAAACCACCGCTTGCGTCGCGGTATCCAGCGACTGCGCCTTGAACGCTCCCTTTTGCTCCGGGAGATCGAACGACGTATTGACCCTCGCATGGACGACTCTGATGGAACTCCGTCACCACCACCTACTGTACGATATCCCTAGAGAAACTTCCTTTGAGGTAGATCGAACTAACTGGTCCTTTCTAGCCACACGAGAAGCCGTTGAGACTTAAGAGACCTCGACGAGAGGGCCCTAATGGCCAGGACAGACCTGATTCCCCATTCTCTCAAGCGAACGCCGATGGTGACGCCTTCCTTGGTCAAGGAGGTAGTGGCCAGGGTGGCCGAGCCAGGACTCCACAGGGAGCGGGACGATTCGGCCCAGCTCGTGACCGCGATCAAAAACCCAGAAATGCTTACACGATGTAAGTCTTAAAACTCAATAATCAAGAAACTAGACTACAGGTTCCTGGCTAATATACGCAATTCTAGATTCTGCGACCATCAGCGCGATCATATGATCCAGACGGCTACTGATCCAGAATTCGATATTTCTAGGGAATTATCGAAGGCCTGGCAGGAGCTCACACCCGGTGCTCGTCAACCTTACTTCGATGAAGCTGAGACGGAACGTTTGCGATACCAACAATTGCGATATGAAGCTAGGATGGCTACTGTCGCTTACAACCGCGCTCGCGCAGCTGAAGTAGATGCACCGAAGGCGTCTCAAGACGAGAATGCTCCATTGCCAAACGAGACCTTAGAAGGGGGGGTCGAGGGAGGGGACCCAATGGCGACTGAGGAAGACTATCCATCATTCAACGATCGTGATGAATCCCCTCCCCGAGCTTCCGGGGGATTCACTGCTGTCAACCAACGCCAAAGCTTTTTGTGAGCGCTATCGTCTGATATCGGCGAAAGCCCCATTAACCCCTCACTTGGCAGATGCGACTTTATCCGCCGTCTTATGGTTTTCATAGTTTGATTTTTTACTCGACGAACAAAAAGGATAGTTTGTGTGGTTCATGGTTATCTTTTTTTCTTTTAAAGACCTCTATTCCTTGTTTTATTCCCCTTTTTCGTGTACTGATACCTCTTTCCGCTTTGAATATCTCCTTCGTAAGTCCCGTGCCTTCTGTTATTCTGTGTTTCTCGGTTACTCGTTGTGGGTGCTTTCTTTTTCCCTTTCTCGCCGGCTATGCGATAGGTGATTTTATCCAGGAGCTGCCTTGCATGATATCCTGTATGTCCGCAGGTATCCCGGCAAATTAGGACCTTTCTGCTGCATCTCCTGGATTATTTTTCTCTCTTTTCTTTGCTTGCTGTTTCTTTTGTATTATAGAAAAAATTAACTACGACGAAATAAAATGCATGGTGCTTGAGAGAAGAGGGTCTAGGCCTTGTTTTAGAAATGATATGATTGGTGTAATTGCTTTAATTTGCTGCACCCTGTCGGATTTGGGCGATTACCTAATCCGAATACTCGACCTTTCGTGTAACGCTGTCGACGTCGATGCAACACATTTGAGTGTGGTAAGTTACAACTTCAATTGAATTCAAGTACTCAGCTGCGGATTCGTTTCAAGGATTTTTCATGAAAATTTTCAAATGGTGAGACTGAATACTTTATTTTAAATAAGGGTTAGGAAAATTGCGAAGGGTACTAGTTACGATACCGGGAGACTAGATATCATCTATACTGTATTCTATGAAGGCAAAAAAACATTCTAGTACCATTTCTAGCGGAGTAATTCGGCAGTCGAGTGCAAAGAAGTTATTGAAACATTGATAACGAAATATTTATAGGTCTAATTAAAATTTCCGGCAGCGCACCATATACCCCGCACATACAAGATATTATGACAAACATCATAGAGCATGAGAGTTTCATATTCTAGGATAAACCCGACTCGCGCGGCCTTGAGCCAATACGTGGGATTCAGATCGAACTCAGGAAACAAGGGGCGAGACTTTCTGCCCGAGGTCTTGGTTGTATGAAGCCACATGTTCTAACCCATACCCAGCTAAATCAATACCTCCATTCAATCTAGGTGTCTGGAAGGCGTCAAGCTCGATTTCCGCAACTTCACTAACGTTAACGTCAATCTGAGCCACCGTCTTCGTCCAAACATATGAATCAGATGGCTTCCTCGATGTCATCCCAGCCCAAAGCTTCTTAATCGCCTGTATATGCTCTGGTGAAAAATCCGGCGTCATTTTCTCAAATTTCTGAGCACCAATAGGGTCGTATCTATAATTCCTCCAATCTCTCTCAAACTCTGCTAATGCCTGCTGAACCTTTGGTTTTGGAATATCTGCCATCAATGCAATAACCCTTTCACGAGATTCGAAAGTATTCCCCTGTTGCATCTTTTCCGCGAATCGCTCGCCGTAAACTTTTTCTACTAGACGAGCGTAGAGGATGAGATGTGTTAAGTTACGGTGCGGTTCTTCCAATTGCTTAGCTTGGGCATCAAACTCTTCGTCTTTGGGGAGAACAGCATTGTGCAGCTCCATAAGTTCATTTAGCGGCTTCTCGACACCTTTAGATATCAGAGATTCGATGATAATAGCCATATTTGTAACAACGGGCATGAGTTGGTATGCTCCTTCATTGGCATTGGTGTCGAACCACTGCTTTCCGTGTCCGGTGAAACCAAGTTCGAATACATGGAGATATTCTCCAACTTTATTCTTCAAGAGACGGCCTTTGTGCCAAACGGGCTCCCCGGCCGGTGTGTGGGCCTGTTCAAGAATCCTACTACCCAATTTATCATTTTTCGCAGTCAGCCTGCGAGGAGCGATCAGACCATCTGCTTGCTGACCTTTTAAGTTGAACATTCTGGCTTCCTTTGGCCAAGTCAAATCCTCGTAGGCACCTTGCATCCAAGAAATAACACCCAACTTATATAATCGAGTAATAAGAAGATGAATCTCAAACGGAGCGCCAGCAATATAGTTCAGTGCAATCCGGCGATAGTGACAATGTCGTAGATATGCAGCATCGTTGGCCTCGCTTTGGGGTTTGTGAGAAATATCATACGACATACTCCTCCAATTATGCCACCCGTGGCGGACTATATGACTGTATTTCTCCACAAGTGCGGCTCGCTGTTGAAGGGGCTGTGGGCCCATTGTATGTGTGAATATAAATGACCATATCCACTTTCGGAATAACCCGGTTTCGGTGAGTATTTCGGAGTTTTTATCCAGAGCTTCATTTTCTGTAGCCATGCGATCCATGTGCTCAATAGTAGACATGCTCTCTTCTATTTGAGAAGGCATTCTGCGGCTGGAGCAAGAAGCAGCCGCCAGAATACGCGCCAACTCGAAGAATGTAGGGTAGGTGTCCAAATCATTTTGTAATGTCAAGGATAGGATCATCTCTGGCGTAATGAGCTCCGAATCAAGATATTTGACAGCATCATCGACATGACGACAAGCTGCGAAAATTCCTTCGGTGCGACTGAAAAAAGTTACCAGGTTTCGATTTCTTTTGGCTTCCGCCTCATCGATGGTGAACTTCTTGGTGTCGGGGTCAAATTTGACTATCTTTGTTTTGGCTAAGATTATGCCCACAAAATCGAAAGCAGAAAGCCCAACACCGCCGATAAATATAGACTTTCCAGGTATTATATACCCTTCATTGTCGAGCATCTTTTGATTTTCAAAATACTCCGCAACTTGAGCCGAATTGGGGATTCCGGAGAAACCGTTTTCTTCTATTTCACCGGTAATTGGGACTTCAAATGTAGTTCTAGAGCACTTAATAACAAGATCATAGACAAGACCAGTTTCTGTTTCTCCTGTCTTAACATTCTCGATAGCCAAGACAGGATGAGTCGGATCCGAAAGATCCACATCAGATACAACAACCCCGTATCTAATATTGATCGACAGCCACGGCAAATGTTCCTTCGCGAGTCTCAATGCATCCTGCGTCATAGCTTCCATAGCATGGCCTGATATTCCCCGAGGGCCACATGGGATATCAAGATTGAGTTCTCCGCTCTTGGTAGCATTATTAAACAATATCGCCGTCGAAATGTTATTTCTCAGGAGGTCAGACATCGTCTTTTTCGGGTCAGCCATGATTATTCTGGCGTAATGAGCCGCCGTGTCGGTTAAATCATCAATGATCTTGCATTGTTCTTCTGCCAAGCCTTCTTTATTTATCGTCTTAGTCGAATGTTCGATTCCAGTATTGAGTGCTGCATCGCAGCCATACTGAAAAGCGGTACCGGGGCCTTCGGAGGGGGTTTGCATCTCAAAAAAATCATGAGTTCGAGGTGTTCTATCGACAGGCAGCCCTCTCCAGAGAAGACTGAGCTGCTCTGCGATGTATATATTCTGGAAGAGGCGGCTGCGGGAGCCGAAGCCACAGACGGCAATACGAGTCGAATTCATCTCGTGTTCCAAATAGGTTTCACAAGCTAAATGGTAATAGGTCAATATATTAATAGAAAAGTAGAAAGAAAATATATATCAATAATAGATGTAATAGATTTTTTACGCTCTGTGAGCAGTACAATAAGGAATCTTAGGCTTAGGCGATTGTTTCTAGGGGGATCGTGCTGTTTAACGTCTGTGGACTTGATCAACTGTGGCAGCCATGCAGTTTGGTAATAGTAAGATGTTGAATACAGACTACTGAGAGCTGATCTTGAGCATTATTTATACACTTCGAAAGACTTCTCTCTGGCATTGGTACAAGGAGTCCATAGCTGAGGTATCTTTACATTCCCGGTTCGATCCTACTGAACCCGAAATCCAGTTTCCGCTCCTCGACGTCGGATTGAATTTAAATTTCTTTTGCAAAACTCCACTAATGTAACCGGTTAACGGGCACAGAATGAGTATATATCCTTTTTGAATTTACATATTGTCGCTCAAAATCGGGGGAAAGATGCAATCGGGGTGCTGTAAGGGCAAAGATTCTACGAACGAAAAAGCCCAGATGTGTTCTAAATGTCCTCGTTCAAGCCTTTGCCCTCATGATTCGCCGGCCGGCCGAGAGAACGATACCCAGCTAAGCCGATACATGCAATGTATCAAGCCACCGAGTAGTTGTGTGATGTTTTAGCGATACGTATGTCAACTTCGATTCGCGTATAATCGGAAGCCTCAGTGGATTCGTGAAGGCCGAACAGATTCCTGGGCAGATGTAGCCGAATCCCACGATCCACCTGATTTCAACCGATCTTTTCATTGGACTTATACGCATCCATAAGAAGTATTTTATGCTTGACCTGCATGCATGGTTTCTTTTCTCTTTTAGAGACGCATCTGAGAAAGTTTCAAACAGTCCGTATCTAATACGCATCGATGATTTGAAAATGGATTTGTCTCCACTTATTCTGAGCCCATATACTCAATTGAGGCAGTGAGACTTGGAGGCCGTATCGTCGCACAATTGGGTCTAACTAGAATAACTAGGCGCAATCGATATTTGGCTAGATCCATTGCGCTAGCATGTATAGTATATATAAGACGCCATATATATGGGTAAATCAGGGAGTTCCCGTGCTACGATAGCGCGATCTCAGCCGCCAGAACACAACTATTGATTTTCAGGAAACTAGGAAGTATATAGCTTGATTTATTTGTGTGGTATGCCACTTCATATAATCTATTAAAATTAGTCGACGACGTTCGCCGAAGAGCGGGCAATTATCGGAGAAACTCCCCATGGGAATTGTCCACCACAGTGTTGCAGAGCGCAAATCTCAATATCGAGTAGCGAAAATTCTAGAAGTGGCTTGTATCATTGAAATCAAGTTTAGATAGCTGGATCAATCCTACGTTCTTTAGCTTTCCCGGTTAACGGTTGTGCTGCAATCCGGATATCCATGGCGTCCTGGATAGCGACAATGTACCTAAGTACACAAGAGCTACTTGGGTATAAACGGGGTGTGTACAGAATCCGTTAGATCTGATAAAATTTGAGCGGTAATATGCATAAATATGTACTTTAACTGCAGTCGGCCAGTTGCGCAATTGGCAGCCGGTAGCACTCCTAAGATGATGAAATGCTTATAATAGGCGTACGGGCCGGGCGGAGCTCGAAGTTTCAGGTCATTCAACTAATGAAAGGATGGCTAGCTGGCCCCCGCTACCGCCTAAAGTAGTGATAGTATTCTTTATCCTGATTTGAACTAGATCTATAGGCGCCATAGATCAATTATTGAGAGAGGCTTGCATGCAAGAGCCTGCACCTGGGCTGCGCTGGTTACAAGACTGGCTAGATCAGAACCCAGATCGAGGTTATGTTGCAGTTTTTGTGTTGGAACCTCTGTTCGTCTCCCTCGAACGCCTGGATTCGAGGCTAGCTGGCATATGACAAGTTCAAAATCTTCGAGTATTAATTTGCTGGCTGATGAATCTGCTGCATTCGTTAGACCCTGAGCAGCCGTAGATTATAATTGTATAAATAAGGTGCATTTAAGTACTAGGTAAGTACATTAGGTACCAGTAGCTATTCATGTACAGTGTGTATACTAAGTACCTAGGTACTTCTTCAAGATTTATTTTGCGTTTTCGAATTAGATCTTCCTCCACTATAAAACGGCACGGGAGGACGGACCCTTTCGAGTGCACCCATGACAGGCGATTGGATTAAACGTTGGTGGAGCCGAAGCCCGTGCAGCTGTTGTTTCGTCGGTATCCACCGAGGCAGCTATAGCGCTGTAGATATAGTGCTAACGTTAACAGTACTTGGTACCTAATTGCCATAGCATATGGCGCCTACACAGTATACCAGCCCCCACGAAGTTACAAGTAACTAAGAACTTGTCTAAAATCATAGTAGCTATCATTTTAGGTATGTAGCCATATATATAGTTTCACCTCAGAAAGCGCTTGAAGGAAGTCAGGATTGTTTCCACTCGGCGGGAAGCCTGGCCATGTTCTTGAGGTTATCCCGAATTAAGCCTTGATGACAGAGATATCAATATACGATTCCAACGTCTTGTAAACTATGCATCTATATCCTTTCCCTCCTTTGCACGTTGCCTATATGAAGCTTATACTGTTGGGGGCTGGTTTAAAAGATTTTGTCTACCCGTGAATTCAACCACTCTATCTAGTATGTACGTATTCCTATATTATTATTCTACGTTTATTCGCTCAGCTACATGCTGCAGTTGAGCTTAATCTCGATCGAGTCCAGAATTAATTATGCAGAATCTCCCTAGCCTGGTAGGGTATAAATTTCCCATGATGACGTGAATTCCCGGTAGGACTAGCTCACTAAGTCTGGAGGTTCCGATAATCTACAAGATCTAAGCTTTATGGGTAATAGCTTTGGCTGATATGCATAAACTCTATTCTATCTTCTATCCCCAAAAGAAACACACTCTGCATCTTCGAGTCCAAACTTCTAGTATTGTCGCGCAATTGTCATGCAGGACTAATTGCAAACCTCAAAATCACCATGACCGCTTCCCGCATCGCTGTCTCGACAGCCAACAAAATCCTAGGGTCCGCGAAGTTACCAGACTTTTCCCGTATCCTCCCTCCCGACGCCGTCTTTGCCTCGGCTCAAAAAAGCGGCTTTCTAAAATGCAACAGAGTCGAAGCAACGACTGTACTTTCTGCGATATGGCAAACAACGCAGCAGAGTATGCAGGGAAACTATGCCCTGCAGCAGCAGCAAGCCGCGTCTGTGGCAAATATTTGCGCAGGTAGGTTCTGGCGGTATTTCATTTTTTTCATTTCTCTTCTTTTCCTTTCCTTCCCCCCCCCTTTTTTTTTTTTCAGAAGATGCTCTTTTAGCCAAGAAGTGATGGCTTGAGATTTGGGGATTGTTTCAAGAGTTCCAACCCCGATATCGAGGGAAAGGTGCTGGCATGAGCTCCATAGCCTAGAAGAGTTAATGCCATGAAGCCATGGCTTTTCAGTATCTCTCTCGTACCGTCATTCCTAAGACTTCTAAAACAATCAGCGGCATTATGTCAGACTATATGGAAAACATAGGGAGGCGAAAGCATCCTCGAGGATCTCCAGTAGCCTAGGTATACCTATGTCCAGTGGTCTATGGTCGCGTCATACATTGGAAATCCCATGATCATTCTGAGATTTATGAATGATCTGGCCAATTACATTCCCTCACGATATCTGGGAAGAAACTAGCTATATCCACATTCCTTATTGAGATATCCGGCTGGCTAGCGGTTCGTCTCGAGTCTATCCCTTCTCATCGTGTTTACTCCTTTCGTTTTGTCAAATTATCTTTCATTGGTTTTTATTTGTGTCACAGAGAGACTAGCCCGCAAGACTAGTCTTATCCCCAGAAACTTCAAGTATCTTCAACCTCTATTTACCCTGGAAGCTGAAGAGCCTAGTGACATCAATACCACGATGAAGATAATGATTTTCAAAGATGCAAAAGAATCAGAACGAGGTAGAGCATATGAATAACAAACCCATCTAGCCCATAACTTCTCCCCCTCAAACTTCACCTCCCTCGCCCTCCTCCTCCAACAATCCCCACCAACAGCTAATACAAAATCTCTCCCAACCGATCTCCTCTCTCTCGCCGAACTCCTGAACGACCCACCCGCAATCCTCAAATCCGCAAAATCCAAAATCTCCTCCTCCCGAAGTATTCCACTCCTAGAATCCACCCAGATCTGGAAAAAACTCTTATATCTAGCAAACACCTCAAATATCCCCGAAGCCCACGAACTAATCGCAGAAACTTACCAAAATGCGAAAAGTATACAAAAGGCGCAGGAATATTGGACAAAGGCCGCGGAGGCAGGTAGTGGGAAAGCATGTTTGGTGATGGGCCGACAGGCTATCGTAATAGGTAAAAAGGATGTAGCAGTTCATGCATTTGAAAGAGCAAAGGAATTGGGTGAAGCAGAGGCGTATTATGAACTCGGGATTTTACAGATTAAGGATGGTGATGATGGTGACAATAAGGCAAGAAAGGGGGAAGCAGAATATAATCTTTCCGTTGCGGCTGCATCGGGTATTGTTCGTGCCGCAGTCAAATTGGCTGAACTGTGCAAATCACGCAATGACTTGGTTATGGCCGAACAATGGGAGAATGTAGCGAGTGAGATGAAAGCAATTGAGTAAGACACGGCGTATATGCCTATGCAAGTACAGTAACACCTAAATATCTGTGGCTTTCTACTAGCATATGCATCTGGACTGGTCTGAACGAGACCAATTTAGACCCTTATTTTTTTCCTCTCTAAACATGCAAGGTGTATTTTTTACAGTACGTATACAATGGCCCGAGCTAGCCGTTATCTTTTAGATCTACTATAGGTAGAGAAATGTGTAGTATACATAGCATCCATCCTTGAATGATCGATGATTTCAAGGATGACTGGCGGTATTGGAATCTTCGGATTTCATGTTAACCATTTGTAAATTAAGCGTACATGGCGAATGTAAAATTTGGAAACCCCGATTCTAGAAAAACCCCTTCATTCATATTCCGATCTATAGGTACCAAATGTGATAATAAAAGCAAAAAATCGGACCCTGTTGGCCTAGACCCTGTTCCATGCACAAAGAGAAAACCTTAAATCATTCCCCATATATCATCGAGATATGGCTGAGGAATACCTTCACTTAAAACCCCACCTATGCGGTGATAGTCTCCCCATTCGTTAGCTTAAGTTTATCTTCGAACTCAGAAGCGATACGATTGGTGAAATGGTTCTGCAAAGAAACGCCTTTGCGGTTCGCTTCAAGGAGCTTATCCAAAGACCCACAAGCCGCCGCGATGAAGCCCAAATAAGGCTTGCTCGGCTTCAACACCCTGGACAAATACTCGGGATGATATTGCACGCCGACAAACCACGGGTGATCTTTCAATTCGATAATTTCCATTCGTTCACCAGCAGTATCTTTGCCAACGAAGGGAAGACCCGCAGCCTCAAGCTTTTCAACATATTTGTTGTTGACCTCGTATCTATGACGGTGTCGTTCATGAATCTGATCGGGTTGACCGTATAACTCTCTCAGTTTCGACCACTCCGTCTCTGGTTGGAAGACGGTTGGACGGATACCAAGGCGCATGTTTCCTCCCATAGTCTCCTTATCAATTTCAGGCATGAAAACAATGATAGGTGTCGTCAGCTTGTCAGGTTCTTCGCCAAATTCCTCCGATGTTGCTTCTGTTGTTGCATTATGTGCCGCGTTAGTTGTCACATAAGGATACGACCGGTTTTTGGAAGAGGCTTTACATACCTTTTAGGCCGCAAACGTTTCTTGCAAATTCAATGACGGCGATTTGCATACCGAGACAGATTCCGAGGTATGGCACCTTCTGTGTCCTAGCCCAATGGGCAGCTGCTATCATACCTTCTGTGCCTCGGGTTCCGAATCCACCGGGGACGATGATACCGCTGTGAGATTTTGAGTCAATATAAGATCTCACGTCGCAATAGATAGGGGAGGAAGGTAGATATTGACTTACTTGGCGGTGCAGACCATATGCCATGCTCTATGGTATTTAGCGGGATTGGTCTTTGCCATCTCCTGTTCCAAATCCGACGAATCCACCCATTCCAACACTAGTCTCTTGCCGCAGTGCATAGCAGAGTGCTCCAAACTCTTTGTAACACTGAGGTAACTGTCGTGAAGCGAGGTATATTTGCCAACGAGTGTAACCTTGACTTCGTCGTGCAGCGTGGTGGCAGCGTGAACAAGCGTCTTCCATCTTGACCAAGTGCTCTGGCCTCTAATGGTGAGCTGTGATGGGATCGAAATTTGGTCAAGGTGGAGTGTGGTCTGGAGGAGTTGGACGAGTTTTTGTTGTTCAAGGAGCAATGGGACTTTATAAGTTAGGCTGACATCGACGACCTGGACGACATCTTCGGGCTCGACCTGGCAGAACATTGCGATTTTGTTGATAGTAGAAGGAGATAGAGCTTCCGAGCAACGACAAGCGATCTATAGCGCATCCGAAATCAGCTTTGACGATCGAAAAGGAGAAAATCATGTATATGTACTTACCAAATCCGGTGCTAAACCTGAGCTTCTGGCCTCACGAATAGCAGCCTGAGTAGGCTTGGTCTTTTGTTCACCACCGATAACGGGAATCAAGCTGACGTGAATCTGCATGAAATTTCCCTTTCCGGCACGACGTCTGAGCTGGCGCATGGCTTCGATAAACGGAGCCGATTCGATATCACCGACGGTACCTCCTAATTCAATGATGCAAACCTCCGGTTCTTCACCAGACTCGTCGACTGGTATCCTGGCGACTCGCTCGATCCAGTCTTGAATAGCATCGGTGATATGTGGGACGACTTGGACTGTTCTTCCGAGATATTTTCCTTTTCTCTAACGTCGCACCAATCGTCGTCAGTACCCAGCCCCCAGGTCGAGGAAATTTCAAAAATAACCAACCTCTCTGTCAATGACATGAAGATAGATCTTTCCAGTGGTAATATTATGTTCTTTGGTCAAAGTGACGTTCAAGTATCTCTCGTAATTTCCAAGATCAAGATCGACTTCACCACCGTCATCCAAAACGAAACATTCACCGTGCCTATAAATTCACAAAGAAACCAAATAATAAGTCCTGTGCTTTATTGAAGAAGAGGGATTGTATCGGTGGAGAAAGCGTACTCGGTGGGAGCCATTGTTCCGGCATCGATATTCATATAAGGATCGATCTTGATCGCAGAGACGTAGATATGGGAAGTCAGCCTGTGGGATCATGTTGAATGAAAGGACTGGGAGATGACATATCTTAAGACCTGTTGTTTGTAGCAGCAACCCGGTGGAAGAGGCTGTAGAAGAAAGTGATCCATCAATTGAATGTTCTTATCATCGACTATTGATCTTTTGGAGTCGAACCTATGACACCCTTGCCGATGCCGCTGATGACACCTGCAAACATCCCATTCCAATTAGCAGCTGTATGTGAAGGGACGACGGATACATAATCTAGCTTACCTCCAGAAACCAAAACGTACTTCATCCTGCCTGATTCTTGAACAGATATTCTCTGATGTTGAAAGGTACCTGTTCAGACAAATCGAAAATGAGAGTCGAGGTGTTGGATTTTAAAACTAGCGATGCGCTGAGCTCGAGCTCGGTCGTTTCCCGTTTGAGTTTTTATAGGTTGCAGGATCTATCGGCCAGGATAATGCGAAAAAGAAAGAGAAAAACAACCAATCTACCGCGTCAAAGAGTCATAGGGGAGCGAAGAGAGAAAGAATTAAACAGTTGCGGCGGCGCTGTTGTGAGAATTAAGGTGGGTTGAAGGTGGGCTGGGTTTGGAGGGATGCTCAAAGCTAGTCGAGAAAAAAAAAGTTGTGAAGGTTTTCTGTCTCAAACTGGCACGGCACTGCGTCGGTCGCAGAGAGCTCGCTCGAGTTTAACCAGATGCATTACAGGCAATCCTGCATACCCGTTCCTTTTTTTTTTTTTTGTTCACCTTTTCAGATCTATTCTGTAACGACTGTCTACTATCTAGGATAACTGGATCATTGGCCAATTTATAGGTGCCTACACGAAGCATCGAGTCGTACCTCCCAGCCGTACACAGACATGGATATAGTATAATCTTATAATGTAACGGGCGCACTGCTGCGGGGATCCGGCGTGGCAGCTGCATCTCCGTCTGCCAGAAATGCGGCAGGCGAACTGAGCGTGGTCGGCCTGACAGCCAGCTTCTCAACACGGTTTCTGTGCGACAGGCCAAGCAAGCTGTTCCCCAGCCAGTCGCGTCTTCCAGTCTCAACTCCATCTCCTTCTCATCTCATCCCCATCTCCATCCCCATCTTCATTCTCGACTACCTCGACTTCAACTTCAACCCTGTTCTTATTACCACCACCTGCTTTCTCGAGCCCTCAAAATAAAAAGGAATAATGGCCGACTCCGACGAATGGACAATCCCAAATGCCTCAGGCGCAATCACCATCTCCCTCATCCCTCCCTCATCCTTTCCAGCCTCCAAGTCCGCCGAATCATTTCATCCGACATACACTCATCAATTCTTCGAGAATGAGGCAATATACGGCTACAAGAATCTCGCTGTCAATCTCAAATTCCGCCAAGATGACATGTCGCCTTCTTTAAAAGTCACTTATGACGAAAAGTTATCTGCGCCCGGTGGATCAAATGGTGGTGATGAAGTAACTATCGATGAAGTCGAGGATGTTTTCAAAGAGTATCTTCCCGAGGGTACTTATTCCTCCTTATATTTGGAAATGGCATACACCTATACTAACGTTTACAATAGGAACTCCAGAATCCCTAGCTGTCGCACCATCAACATTTACACCCCCCGGCACCATCATCCACACATACCCGAGCACCTCCACGTCCTCCACCTTCGAAATCTACCATACAAACCTCTCCAACCCCACCGCACAAGCTATCATCAAAAACAGCCAACTCCTGGTCCCCCTCTTCATCGAAGCCGGTAGCGCGATCGACCTCTCCGACCCCGAAGAATACCTCCGTGATCGCTGGGACGTCTTCTTCCTCTATGAACATCTATCTAACGACCAATTCTCGTTTGTCGGCTACTGCACAGTTCACAAATACTGGTACTTCACATTAAATCACATGGACGAGAAGGAGTTTCCACATCAATACAGAGCCAGGGTCTCCCAATTCCTGATCTTAGCGCCATACCAAGGAAACCAACATGGCAAGACGCTTTATGAAATAATTGTGGACGAGTATCTATCTAGTGACAGAGTCAAGGAAATTGTGGTTGAAGATCCATCGGATAGATTCGAAAAACTGAGAGACTTGTGTGATTATCAGAGGTTAAAGAAACAATCGCTCATAAACGACGAAGCTGTTGAAACGTTGTTGGAGAGGAAGAAATCTCGAGAATGGATTGATACCGAAAGAGCCAAGGCTAAAATGCCGATGAGACAATTCCAACGAATCATCGAGTTGATGCTCTTGGAACATATTCTCATTACCAAGGGACCTAAATATGATGAACAACTTGAGAGGTATATGACATATGTGAAGGATAGACTGTATAGACATAACAAAGATATTCTGATGCAGCTGGAGAGAGAAGAGAGAAGCGAGAAGCTCCATGAGACATATGAGAGAGTCCATAGCGACTATGAAGCCTATCTAGCGACCTTAGGATCAGTGGCTGTGCAAACCAAGAAAGCCTCGAAGGGCAAGAGAGTTATCGCCGGGAAGCGACCCGCGGGCTTCATATCCACTGTCGAGGAAGATGAGGAGGAGGAAGAACTTCTCCCGCCGACGAAGAAGACCAAGGTGACGAAATGAGGGTATGTAGGTATACGTAAAGTATTTATCGGATTGAGCTGGGTGGGGCGGTTATGCTTTTGCCATTTATATTAAGGCATCATCCTCTAGACGCTTTTTAGGATCTTAGAAGCTTAGCTTAGTAGTTCTAATTATTTTTTATCTACGACGATAGAGCTGTTTCCGCAAAACGGGTATTTCATTTTTTGTCGTTTTTTAATGAAGACGAAAAAGGCTTTGGGTGAGGGAGAACGCAAGAAAGTGACTCCGCTAAGTACAAATCCAAGGGGACACACAATAGAAACAATGTTAGTGAGAGGGAGGGCGTTCGTTAGATCAGGTACCTGAGGTAAACATCTGGCGTACTGCATGCTAGCTACTTTCACAAATAGATTGAAGGTGTATAGGTCGTTTAAAGTGAGAACTGGTGAAACCTATCTTAAAGACCAAACGCCTATTGGGCGAAAGCTAAGGAGGAAAAGAAAAAAAAGCCAATTTACTTAGTTTTAGCCTTCAGCGCTTCAACTTCTTTGATCAATTTGGAACAGATATCCTGTTGTTGGGCGATCGTGCGAGATTGAGCTGCTAGGTTGTGGTGGAGGAGCTGAAGGTTAGAGAGGACGCCATTAAGGTCCTGCACACTAACAGTTGGCCCTGCTGGTGCGGGAGAAGACTCCGGTGGAGAAATGGTTACGATTGGGGCTGGAACTGGAGTTTCCTTTGGAGCTTCGACGACAACAGTTGGTGTCTCTGGCTCAGGAGTCGCCTCAGCGACCGGCTCCGGTGCTGGAGGTTCTGGTTCCTTGGCAATAACTGGTGTGATTGGGGTGGTTGGGGAAAAGACGGGTTCATGCTTCACAAGCGGGGTAGCTGAAGGTTCTGGGGGGACATAGTCGTCCGAGTACAGCGTGCCGAGGCTGAAGGTTGGAGGGAGGGCGTTCTTTCCACCAAACCATTCGTCACCAGTAAGACCGGGTTTCCCGCTCTGGGTATCTGGGTAGATATCACTGTTGATATGTTAGGAGGGTTTCAAATTTAGTCAAATTATGAGAGGGCGGACGTACTCTTGGAAAGTCTCAGCTCTTCGAGGAACTATGAAAGAGATTGGCTCGATGTAGAGATCATTAACAGTCTTATAACCCCTCATGACTTCATTCTCTTTGACCTATTTTTTTTTAGCGTAAGCCGAATTCTATAACACTCGGAGCTATAAACTTACATCAACACCGCGCTTTGGAACGAAAGCGACACCCCTCTGAGGATCGGAAGACTTGTATTCCGACAAGAATACGAAGTCGTCGTTGGAGTACTCGTAGTATCGGATGTTACCATCGCTGTATGAAGATTTAGCTGAGGGACTCACCGAGTGAACGCATCAAACCATGGTAAGAGAGTCAACTTACCCCTTGCCAGCAAGATACAAGCACTTGGTACCATCATCCCAGAAAGGCATGCAGACACCTGACATGGAGTCGAGCAATTGAAACCCACCAATTGGCTCTCCAGGATTTCTAATATCCCAGAGACCAAGTTGACGGTCACTCATTTTAGAGAAACCAGTTGTCGCAATACGGTCCAAGTCACCGAGCCAGACTGCTCTCGAGTTTTTGGCCCCAGCATGGCCTGCTCCTTCATAAACAGGGGCCTGTTGACGAAGATCCCAAAGGCGCAACTTCTTATCACGGTTGGTGGTAGCAAGGACTGAACCATCGGCGTTGAATGCCATACTTTGGATGACTTCGGGATGCTAAACTTATTTGTCAGAAGTCGCCTTTTGAATACATGGGATTCGAGTAGGCATTCTCACCCTCAAGGTTAGTTTGGCTTGACCGGTAACAATATCCCAGATCTTCACAGTGAAGTCACCGGAGCTTGAGGCTAGGACATGCTCAGCAGCAGGGTGGAAGAGAACATGTCCAACTTTCCTATGCACCAATAGTACCATAAGCATACACCCTATATGTTATGAGTGGAAAGGGGGGCTTACTTCTGATGGCCGCTGAGACGGGCTTCAGGCTTCACCTCCTTGGAAGGAAGCTCTTCTTCATCAACGTGGACGGTGAAGTCCTCAGGCACCTTCCAGACGAATATTTTGGCATCGTCACTGGCGGAAACGACAATATCGTCATGAAACGGGTTCCTAACACAAAAATCCTCAGCAACAATGTACCCCCCATTGACGATCCGACAACGGAGCAGCGTACCAGTCAGTATCCAGTACAGCAGCAGTATGGCCACGGAAAAGAGGGAACTGGTCTGGCAGCTTTCCCCTCTCACCATGAGGGATAACGGCAAATGCGCCTCCACCGCCGGATTCCCAGTTGACGGAAAGGTATTTCGGATTCGCCTTTTGTTGTCAATAAGTATTTTGGTTAGCAACCATTACTCAGTGACCTTGCAAGGGTCCAAGTGTATTCGTACTTTGATTAAGTTGCTATCCCAAGCATTCTTAGAGATATGGAGATTATCGTAGCATTGTTCCTATTGAAGTGTGTTAGTCGTTTGCTGAATTCTTAAGGTTATGCTTCGCAGTAAGCTGGCGTAAGGATCCTGAAGATGAGACAAGGTACCTTTTTCGTCGGTCTACCAAAGACGTGACCTGCGTGAGAACCAATCGAGTTAGAGCTGTCAGGGACACGACGTTGATGTTTAAAAATCCAGTGGTGAAAGTGTCTCGTGACGGGACAGTCTAGTAGTATTACGTACGGTACTTTGAAGAGCGCACGAATCGTGACATGGTCGGTAAGGGCAGGATCTGTGGATTCAAGGAATGATAGGAAAGGGATGAGGCAGGAGGGAAAGATTCGAAGCTAGAGAGCTAAGAAAGTATGGACGTGTGTGTGGCCCGAAGTTGAGAGTTCGAGTTAAGGAGCAGTGCACGCTCAGCTCAGCTCTGAAGATGCTTGCTAGCTATGGTAATGCTATGCTATTAGAAGTTGGTTAGTTAGAATTAGAAGAAGAGAGAAGGAGGATATACCAGTAAAGTTTGGTATTGGTACTTAGCTGGCCAGGAACGAGTTACGGTAATCGTCAAGACCAGCCCAATTACGGAGTAATACACACCTGGCTTCGAGTCGGACTCCCCAAAGTCGGCGTAAGTCGGCGTCAGCTACCGGGGCCAGCTCTTACCCGGGCCCCGGGACCAGCCAAGACATTTGTTATGGAGTGCTGGCGTGGGCTTGGCGTCAACCGGGATTGCAGGGGCATGATCCTCCTAACAACACCGGCGCCATCGACACAAAACTCTCTACTTTACAATCCTCTCTACTTCAAACAACCCCCGTCTCACTCAACTCCAGCGTTTAACATCCTTCGACGTAACTTATTCCCGACATTATAACCTAATCAGTATCTCTTTCACCATGGCTGGGTCGGACGCGACATCGCCGAAACCCGAAAATCACAATGATCGCGAATCATCGTCCAGCGACAGGGACTCATCGCCACAGCCAGAACAACCAAAGCAAAACCCAGCACAAGATCGCATGGCGCGATTCAAAGCCCTCCAGGCCCGTGCAGTATGTACCTACACAAACCTTCCAGCCTAAACTTACTCTTTCTACTTCGAACAGTACCTCTAACCACTACCGTCTCAAAAAAATAGAAATCTTCGGTAGATACAAATCGCAAGGAAGTCTATGCCGAACGGAAACGACAAGCTATTGACCCCCGGGAAATCACCGTCTTGCAAAGACGGAAAGCCGATGCTGAACAGAAACTTGAAAAGGCTGAAATAGCAGAGGAGGGCGGCGACTTCGAGCGAAAACGTGCTTGGGACTGGACCGTTGAAGAGAGTGAAAAGTGGGATAAGAGGCTCGAAAAGAAGAAGAAACATAGAGAAGATGCAGCATTCCAAGACTTCAGGCAGAATGCCGAAAAGGTCTACAAGCGACAATTACGAAATATTGAACCAGATCTAGAAGGCTACGCGAAAGAACGAGCAAAGGTCGCCAAAGACGGTCAGGTTTATGAAACAGAGGACGGAGAACTAGTTGCTATCGACGAGAGTGGTGAATTTTATGCTGATGGAACATCTCTCGCTTTTGTCAACAACAAACCCAGCAGGGATGCGGTTGACAGACTCGTTTCCGACCTGAAGAAAGCGGATGAGGTCAGAACCAAGAGACAGAAGAAGGGAGATGACGACGATATCACCTATATCAACGACAAGAACAAGCAGTTCAACCAGAAACTTGCTCGATACTATAACAAATACACATCAGAAATCCGGGATAGTTTCGAACGAGGCACCATGATCTAGAATTCTGGAACCAAACTCACCACCAGTGGAGAAGAAAACAAGGCCAGATAGATTAATCTATTCTAATACTACGAAAGTGCACCACTACGACGCTTTCAAACATCACAGCATTAATCCGAAGTCGTCTTGGACCATACTTGATAGATGGGTACTTAGTGGAACCCATCAAAACCGTGACCCATCGCGTTACTATTAGGTTGTTCTGTCACAGGAAATGATTCCTTGCCAAAATTGAATATCCTACATCCTGCAAGTCTTGGCAGGCCTTGAATTGAACCAGTTGCATTGGAAAAGGGAACAAGATCCTTGTGGGTGGTTAGTCTGGAATTTCTTAAACAGCTTACCCGTGACTCCTTACCGAGAGAACCGACCGTTGCCGCATAGACCTTCAATGCAATGCTAATTATCACGATGATTATCCTGTACATAAACTTATGATTGAATGAGAAGCGCTGCTTTGGTCTGATTGGAGTTTGTTAATGTACACTACACGTTGATATCCCGCCTAAAATTAAAATACCAAAACCCTCGATCCCAACTTGTCAATTTGCTGTACCTCCACTGGCCCCGTAGTCGACTCGTCTTCAATCGCATGAACAACCGCTACTCCGACTTTCTCGACATCAAGAGGGGCTGAACCTGCTGCACCTAGCAATCCCGAAAAGATGCTGCCAGTAAGGCTATTCATTGTTGAGGAAACCCTTGTCAAATAGCTCATTGGCACCGTAAATGGCCTCTCGCTGGAGCACATGAAGCCTGACGAAGATGTATTAGAAAAACATTGAATGTTCGTTGGTTTTTGGTGTAATGACCCTACCTGGTCTAAAGAATATCGATCTGAAGTCCGGAACTTGAGATAGGAGGTCCTCAGCCTCCCTTTTTGTTGAAATATATCTCTGTGGAAGGACTGGGAACCCAGCAGCAGCAGATATGTATAAAAAGGTCTTCTTTGGTGCCGAAGACGACTCGACGAACTGCTTAGCAGCAATCAAAGCTATACAATTTTAGATTAGCAAAAACTAAGCAACATTAATATACGAGTTGCGGATGCCTACCTGAGTCCCGATTTAGCTTCTCATAGGTCAACTGTCTGCCTCCAGTGTCGCTACCGCCCTCTCCAGTTCCTGCTGTCTCCTCACCGGGCACCTTCTCCAATGGATTCTTACTCTTCGGCCATGCACTCCCCGTGGTCCCAAACGCCTTCCTCAGCCCCGAAATCGGATTCTCCTTCCCCCTCAGCACATCCTTATAGTCCGCCTCCAACAATAATCCCATACTATGCACCACTGCATCTGCATCTGCCAGATGAGGCTTATATGTCGCAGGCTCAAAAATGTCGGCTGAGACCCAGGTCACATTTTCAGCCCATTCTGGGCGACGGCCTGATTTGCTAGATGTCTGCCAGTCCGGTTCTCCTGAGCGGGAAAGGGAGATGACTTTCCAATTCCTTTGTGTAGCAGCTTGGCATATTTTGCTTCCTACGAGATGTATTAACAAATATTTCCAAAATATGCGTAGATGCAATACATGCATGCGCATGTGATAACGGCATAACTTACCTAGAAATCCATTGCCGCCAAAGACGGCGAGACACTTTCGGGCTGCCATTAGATGTGTGTATCCGATGAAGTTTGATGTATGTATGAATGGAAAAGGAATTTCAACCCAATGAATTTCTGGCCGACTGCCTCTTATATTGTATCAAGCCAAATTCCCCAATGCAATGAGCGAATGCTGGTGTATGCGTCGTTGTTTTAAATGTATGATATCATGACATTTTCGCTTGGCGAGCCGCATTCAGAAGCCGCCGCACAGCTCATCTGCGGCATCCCGTTCAAGCAATCACGCGCATAGCTTCTATCCGCATCTTCTCCCACACCATCAACTCCCGACATCACCACCTATAGCACCCTCCAAGATGTCAACTTCAACCCAACGTAACGTCGCCGACCTCACAAACTGGTTTTTAAATGCCAAACGCTCTCTCAACTCCGTAACATACTGCACCCGCGGTAACGAAATCATAACGACAACTCGTAACTCCCTTATCGATGCCTCCATTATGTCCTCCCGTGCGTCCTTTCTCCAAAGCGGTATTAAGGACGAATTAAAGTTGCTTCAAACCGCAAATTCAGTGATGGAGAATCAGCGTGAACTTGCTAGGAAGGATTTCCAAAACTCCTTAGGGATGTTAGATGAGGCAGATCAAAGGCTTGATGAAACACTTGCGACTTTAAGGAGGACGGAGGTTGAAGGTGCTTTTTCGGCCGTGGAAGGAACGGGAGAGGAGGGACAGCAGAGGTGTTTATACGATTTCGTGGATGAAGACGGTATTGAGAATTTGAAAAGTCAGCTGAAAGGGGTGATTGATCAAGTACAGGTTAGGCATTACATTCTCTATAAAACCACTATAAATGTGCTCTGGAAGTTCGGGGCTAATCACTTTGAGTAATATTTTTTGGTGATTATGGAAGCAGATAGGAAACAGATGAAGTCTTTGAATCGCATCTGGATCCATTCACCGTGCTTATCGCATCGATAACAGAGTCGCTAAGCTCGCTGTCGAAGAAATCAGATATTCCCGATCTCGTAATCGCTATCAGACCATCTCTAGAATTGATGGAGGAGCATGCCTCCGTGATGGCATCACTATTGGAATCGCTAGCAAAACATTACGATCTCTGCTCGTTGGCGCTAAAGCGGGCGGAATCGCATGATGGTGGGATATCAAGTCAGGAAGGGGACCCTGAAACGGAAGATGACATAGCGAACATGCTTGCTGTTCTTGAAAAGGATGCCGGTGAAGTCGACGATGTAGTAAACGAGATCAAAGAACGACTCGATGATATGGAATCCACAGGTATACTAGTCGAACGAACGCTTCAAGATATTGGAGATCACTACCGAGCGGTACTTGCGCTTTTGGAGAAGATGCATGATGGACAAAGTAGCTTAGTGGATTGTACAATACAATCGAAGGACTTTGTGCAAAAGCAGAATGACAACCAGAGGATCATCGCAGAGAGATTGGACGAGTTGCAGAGGTTGACAGATCACTACGTACTATTTGGAGATGCTTACGATGCACTGCTTGTGGAGGTTGGAAGAAGGATAACAGTGCAGCGACAGAAAGATTCCATCATTCAAGAGGCCTTGGCACAGATTGACATGCTAAATGAGCGTGAGTGTTCCCCTCTGCGGAATCTCAATCATATTGATAATAGACCAAACATGCTGACGGAAGTTACTACAGGGGACCTAAATGAGAGAGAGCAATTCCGGTCCGAATATGGTGATTTCCTACCATCGGATATCTGGCCAGGCTTGTCAGATCCACCAGGAGCTTACACAGTCCAGCGGATGGATGCCTGGGAGATTCCTGAAATTAAACAGGGTGTTATTGAGAATGCAATGACAAGACGAGCGGCTGCTATCTCGTCAGGCGTTCGACAATTTTAGGTGTTTGATGTTTTCATGAATTCGTAAGCTATAGTTATTGAGCGGTGGGTTTATCATTTTCAAGGATATCCAAGTGGGCGTTTACATGTTCGGAAGGCTTATAAATCCAATAAAACTTGGTGTATTTTACAAGATTCATGGGAAACATTAATCCTAGATTTATCATATCAGAATAGTTTTATATCGACGTCAAATAACTAACTACTCGCCGATATCGCGATGTGGGCCACTTCGCAGGCACTACACTGGGGATGCTCCGATGTGTTGACTTCCTGTTGTAAATTTTCCTTCTTTCTTCCGCAAAACTTCAATATAAAACCAACCACACGACACACCGCGCAACCTCCAATCGATAAATTGAAGAACAGTTCTCCGAAACTGCGGGAGCCACCCATCTATCCGAAAGCTACAGGCTTCCAGCGTCTCGAGGCTGGTAGTATCGTGGCCCCCCAGTCGGCAATGGAAGTCAGATGAATTTTCATTCATGCGGCCGTAGCCTTAAATTGGCCGTTAACGTCTCCAGACACCCCTCCAAACCCCACCACCATCACCCACACTACCATTGCCGCCATAGTTTCCGAATAATACCCATTACCAATCTTTCTACGCCTTCTTCAAATATACATCTACACACATCGAGTACCGTCTTAAATCGTACCGAACACCCCTATGTACATCAGATCGACAATGAACACCACTTCGACAATCGATACATTAGTAAAGAAGACCGTGACTTTCTCTGGCAGGCCAAGTCTGCGAATCTAAAGGCCGACGTTCGTAAAAGAACATACTCCGAAGAATCAATATTTAAACCGAATTCTTACGATATCCTCGCTGGTTTCTCCAGAAAACATAACAATGAAAAGGTTCGACAGGACGACAAATACGATATCCCGCCCCCGCCCCCGCCCCCTTCGCACAGAGAGCGTCATGGTGCTTCGATAGCACAATCTCGACCTAAAACGGTGGATGGTGTTGTTCGAAGTGGAGGGGAAAGGGATGCTGAGAAAACGAAGAATCACAAGCAGGTACTTTTCGAGATTCTAGTTTATAGATTGGGGTATATTGGCTTATACAACCGGACAGCTTTTCGCAGCGATAGATCATGGCTTCGAGAAAGGACCTGAGGATTGGCCGGCGACATTTTACCTTGTCGCTTGTGCTCAGGCATATGGTACTCTAGATCCAAGAGTTCGCACAGCTTCCATATCCTACCTCGTCAAACGCTTTGTTAGAGGTGGAAGACACAACGATATTATTCGTCTATACACCGAGATTCAGAACTCGTGGTTGCCATTTGAGCAGCGAGAACTTGATTCAATTGAGTACTTCAAATCAATGTTCAAGGCGTTTACTCTAAAACCAGCCGAGTCATCTAAAACCGTTAACGATGTGCTACAAAGTTCGCATACCCAATAGACCCCTCATCAAGTCTAAGTTCTATACTAACAGTCAAGCATAGCCTTCAATGCTGCAACCTCAAGCTTTCAACGGCAATACACCCTCACTTCTTCTTCCTTCAAACAGCATTTAACCCCATACTTCATGCTCTTCCTATCGACCAATCTTAGTCTCCGCGAATCCCTCTCTGCCATTTCCTCGAAGGTTTCGCAAATCCAAAATCCAGCCACCGGATCTCGCCTCCTACCAAATCTATATTCTAAGCTGAACTCTGCTCTCCTTGCATCTCAGAAACTAAAACCGGAGACAGTAAACGGCTTTCGGTTGACATCATTCTATAAAGCTCAATCTTCGCTATTATCGATAATATCACGGGTGCCCCGGGAAAGTTCCATCTGTCAACAATTTGCGAGGGTAATATTCTCACAAGCATTAACATGGGAAGAGATTCTGGAGGGTAAAAAACTAGTCCTTGACAATAGCGCTCCCGGAAAGACGCACGAAATCCTCCCACTACAATCGGCACTTTTCAGATCCCTCCACCGTACTTCTACAGCTACGCAACCGGGCACCCAACGCGCCAAACACGTAGTGGAATTCACTACTGACCTCCTGGCGCTTACAAACCTTCGTGGTGGGCCAAGACAGCTAGGCACCTCCGTCGCCGTCGCTCTAAGCCTTCACTCAAATATGGGGACATTTACAGCTGCGGAAACATTACTGGATAAACTAGACATGCTCCTATCGAAAAATAAAGATAAAAGTGTAAATGCCCCGGTATTCTACATCCAGGATGCCATCAACAACTTAAGAGAAACAGTCATCCGCAAGACTTCACACCGACGAGATGCAAAGTTTAGGGCGGCAGGGATTGCAATGCGGATGTTTGAATTGCATGTTTTGTCCATTCAACCTCGAGCCGGAAAGGGACGCGAGAGGATACACCAGGGGCTTGTTAGGGATCTGGTCAAATTATTAGCGTTATGCGATGACCAGGCGTCGGTACTGAGAGTTTGGGAGGCATTGAAGGGAGATGTTGGGGTTAAAAATATCAAGCTTTCGACAATCGAAGGGATTCTCGATACATTGACGAAAACGAGGGGCGTGGTGTACGCAAAGGATATACTACTAGAAGTCGAAAGGGAAGGAAGGATCAGCCCGTCAACCATCGTACCGTTTATTGGTGTTAAAGATATGGATGATTGGGTGTTCGATGAGATTATAAGAGCTGGTGTGAGGAATGGTATCGATTGGAAGAGTGTGGGATACTTGTATCAGTTGAGAAGGGGGCAGGGGAGAAAGAGTAAAAAGGTCGAAGAATGGGCAGAGGCGATGAGGGGCTGCGGAGATGAGTTTGTCTGGGGTAAGGGTGGGATGGTAGTCGAAGAGGTGATGGAAGGGGTCGAAAGAGCTTTTAAGGAGTAACTGGTTTGCAGATTTGATCGAAGTACACTGTAGATATTGTAGTATAGCTTGATTTTTGGATTGTATATAATATAGATTTCATATGTTTTCTATTACGGGAATGTATAAAAGCGGCTGGAGTGCAAAAGCTAGCTTTATCAACCGCACCGACCTAGGCTCCCATTATAAGCTATGGCATAGTATTTATGTCTTCAAAGCCCGAGACTATCTTCAGAGCAAGTCTTCCCAAATAGAACCCTACCGTGTAACTTCGTGAAACTAGGTATTACTGCGCCAGAGACTCAGTCGCCCAAGATCATTGAGGCTACTTATATGTAGGCTCGAGTTCAAAAATACAACATGTAACACAAGACTCGAAGGGGTAGTTAGTAGCTGGCCTTCCGAAATTCATAACCCAGAAATCGGAAATGGGACAAGACTTATATCTGCAGTGTATCTTCTAGTACATCCGCGGATAGAAGCGTTCAGATGCTTCAATTTAGATACCATCCCTGCTGTTACCCTTTGTCCTTTCCTAGGCAATATACCATCATAGGCTCGTAAGAGCCCAACAATCGTTCTTTTGTCAGAAGTACGTACCAAGGGTCCGCAATCCGGTTGACGATATAACATGAACTCCGCATGTAACAAAGCCGTTTTCCCTGAAGAATCTTTTATACTGGTGTCAATATCCTTACGTGAAAGCAGTAGGCGAACCATCGCTCTAAGTCCATATCTAGATGCACGTATTAGGATTGTTTCCTCGTTGTAGAATCTATTGTTCACTTCGATTTTCGGGTGCGCCAGCAGCATTTTCGTCATATCCTCAAGATTGTTTTTTACAGCCCAATATAGTGCTGTTTCCCCGTGATACCCACGTTGATTGGGGTTAACTTTTTCGTGGGCTAAGAGGAATTTGGTTATCTCTCCACGGTTTTTCTTAACCGCGAGAAGGAGTGGTGAATCTCCCAAGTATGAGCCAGAAACAGAGCAAGCATTCGGATCGATTCCGGGTGCTGCGAGTAGTAGACGGACAACTGCCTCCTTCCCGTGTATTGTTGCATATGATAATGGTGTTAGGCCTCCCGATCCGGTTACAAACCCGGTTTCCCAACGATAGGGCTCTGACTTTACGTTGATGTCGATTCGAGGATCCGCAATTAGGACTTTAACTACTCCATCCCAACCATATTCCGCAGCATAAGACAGTGCTGTTCGATTTTCCTCCTCCTCAGTCGGGTTTTTAGCCCGAGCATTTGGGTTAACCCTCGGGTCCTGTAGTAGCATTCTGACAACTCCTTCATGCCCCCGTCGTGCAGCAAAGAATAAGGGTGTCCAGTTTTCTCCTCTGCTTTGATTGATATTATCGATTGCATACTCGGCAGCTTTAGAGTCCGGTTTGATTCTAGGGTCTGCAAGTAAGATTCTGACCACTTCTTCGTAGCCCCCACCTGCTGCGAGAGAAAGCGGTGATCTGCTTTGGCCATAGTCCGTCCGAGCTGTGAAGTCCGGATCAACTCGAGGATCATTAAGCAGGATCCTAACTACCTCCTCATGGCCTTCTCTTGCCGCGTATGATAATGGGGTCCAAGTATTTTGCCGCTCATGCGGATCACGGCTCTTAGAATTCGGGTCGATTCTTCGATCCTTGAGGAATATTTGAACGATTTTGCTGTGGCCATTTTCCGCTGCGAATGATAATGGGGCCCGGAACGACGGTTTACCGGTTTCGTTTGGTATACAGTCTGGGTAAACTTTGGGATGAGCAAGGAGTAGTCTGACAATCTCTTGGTGGCCGTATTTCGCTGCAAAACACAGTGGCGTCTGCCCCCAGAAATCCTTGGTATTGACATCCGCACCACTTTCTATAAACGATTTTACGACTTCAATCAGTCCGAAATATGCTGCCATGTGCAAGGCTGTCGTCATTGTCCAAGGATCGATTTGATGCTTTGAAATTGTTACTTGAAGTGACAGGTCCAGGATTGATTGGCAGGATAAGAACTCCATCAGTCGAGGTCGTTTTTGGGATGCTAGTTTGCGAGCATGATGTCCCCAGTTATTCGCAGCGTATTCGTAAAATGGATATAGTCCCAGGCGTTTTTCCTTCTCCTTCACCCTCTCATTTACATGAGTTTGATTGATATACATACGATCGTTCCCCAGTCTTTTCCCCATCTCTTCGCTCTCAGTCTTAAACACTTTTAACGAGAGATATGTAACACAGACATCCGTGATATTAGCCTCAACGCGAGGAAACCACTTCTGCTGAGTTTCTTCAAAATACTGCTGTGCGGTATAATGGGCGATACGAATAATTTTGCTTTCGGCATCGATTGTGACCAGACCAGCGCATACTGATATTATATCTTCGACGGTCGATATGTTTATTTCGTCGAATTCCATCCCAGTTGATTCCATCCCTTCGAGCTCAACTCCAAGCGCATGCTGAAGTTCAATGATGGTTAGTGGCTTCATGGAGCAAGTAACCCATGAGATCACATTCATACCCAGTTCTCTTGAATCTGTATCTTGGCCGTCAACCCTTTTCATAGCACTTTCGTAAGCTTTGTAGTAGGCCTCTGAACCGGTTGGGAGTGTTTTTAATCCGTCGAGTAGTTTTTTTAGAGACTTCTTCGTACATAGATTTCGAAAGTGTAGTTGGGCCAGTAAAAACCTATGAATATTAGTTTTCAAGTGTCAAAGATTGATATTAGTCCATTGTCGAGGTGAGGAGAAAATAGCTTACATCCCATCGACCGCCTTTGTAATTTCCGTTATAATTTCCTCTCTGTAAGATTTCAAGAGCGGCCGCTCTGATCGCGATACTTGGTCGTCCAAGTACCTTCGAATATCCTCATCCGTAGCCCGAATCTTCAACATCGCGCTGCCTAGTCGTTCAAATCTATTTGATATATCCAGAATAAATCTCGAAGTAGCAAATATATTGACCCCATATTCCGCCTGAAGTTCGAATAACCGATCCAAAATCCTTCCTCGGCATCCACCATCATCGTAGCTCTGGCATTCATCTAGAGCATCGACCGCAAAGAATAGTTTTTCGTACAAAGACATTACGGTCTTTAATGCCCTCAAGACTTCTTGAACTGTTGGTCGTGTTTTTTCCTTCTTATGGTCTTCATATAACAACCGTACTTCTTCCGGTAGAGACGGTCGGGCCATGCTTAGCTTTTTCAATAGATATGAGAAAAACTCTTCTTCTGTTAACTGTTGCTTAAAACTAAAGTATACATAGGCGATACAAGTGTCGGAATCGGTACGGTATTTTTGATATAGATCGTCGATAACAATTGACATGAGAATCGTTTTTCCAGCTCCAGGGATTCCGGGGCAAAAGAGCGTCATGCCGGTACCGGGGGATCGTATCCATTTTTGATATTCTTCAGATTCTAGAAGCCAAGATCCCGTCCCTGGATATCTTCTGTTAAGGAAATCACTTTGCTGTGTTCCGTAGTCAATCGGAGTAAGCCATTCGATGATCTTCTCTTCTTCTTGGGCGACTTGGTGGTGGAGTATGACATCCATGTTGTTTTTACTAACGACAACATCCTTTTGGATGTCTTTGAGAACTGTATGATTGAGAAAGAACTATTAGTTAAAAGACTATACACATAGATACATACACTGTGTGTACTACTCCTAGAAGTACTTTATAAAAAAAGGAAATTTGTTATCTTTTAGTCGACATACTGATTCGGAACTCTGGAGCCCACGATGGTAGCTCTTGTATTTTTGCCGGCCTCAAAGTATTTAGAAGCTCTCTTGCATACGCTGCCGCCGTCAGTGCCGCATAATTGTGCCACTCATCGTTTTTGTGCGAATCCGAATAATCACATATCCCTCTGATAACGAGACAAGGCAGATTATTCATCAAACCCGCCGCTTCCATCTCAAAACATAAGATACCAACTTCCCTAGCATACCGATCTCTTTCAATAGCGTTCTTCATAAGAGTGTTCGAAGAAGCAATTGTTCCGTAATGAATCATCACTTCACGGCTCCCATCACGCGGGGGACGCTCTACCGTCTGTTCTTCCTGGCAATTCTGACACGTTTTACCTGCACTTTGATGCAAATAATTCGACCGATATAATTGATCCTGAGAGGGACGTCGAAAACTAGCCATATCATCCATCAACTTGATATGCTCCGCCAATTTATCGGGTCTCCTTGTATCCCTATGAAGCCGTAACAAACGCGGCATGGCCCCAAGCAATACCGACGGCGGAGCATTCAATTGACCAGTCCGTCTGAACAACTGTGATGACCCTCTCCCATCAGCTCCATCGCCCTCCCCTTCCTCTTGCAGCCGTTTCCCAAGATCAAATTGTACAACCCCCCCGAGATCTCCTTCCGGTTGACTAACCACAACATCACCCAATCTTATATCCCTTTGGTTTGTCGGCGCCCCTCCGCCTATTCCGACCATCAAGGCGAATCTTAGATTTGGAAATGATCGAACCATGTCCTTGGCGACAATCGCGGCTGAGACGGTTCCATAGCGGCCGCTTGGGAGACATCCGATTACTACGTAGTGTCCGTTTATCATCCCATATTCGTAGGTGTTATCGTCCTTCATGTCGATATTTAGTTCATCTGGAGCTTCGAACTCGTCATCGAGCATTCGACAGGCTGCTTCGTATTCTTCTTGTAAGGCGCATATCCAGCCTACTGTATAATTTTCTATCACCGATTCCGCCATTTTTATATATTTTCCACGGAATGTCTAGTTTGCTATGGAGTCGTCGCAGTACTTAAATATCTGTACTCAGGGTATAAAATCCTGGCAAGGAAAAAAAAGAAAGTTAGATTATATACCAAAGAAAGCTATTAGAAAGGTGAGAATAAACCTTACGGCATATCCATATCGGTGGAAAATGGGATAAAGAATAGTTATCTCGACTTTTTATTTTTTTTATCGCAGCGGCTTCTGCATGTACTATATATGAGTCCCCTGCGGGGTAGATATAGCAATGCCCTGTGCCAAGTCCATGTGCATATGCAGGCAAGCGGCACAGTTCGTCTTTGCGAGATCTAAGCCAGCCACAGGTCGGAGTGGAGCAAAATATTTTTTACGAAATCCTATTTTTTTTAATCCTTCCCAAAGAAGTTTTTCCTTGGTGGAGATTTCCCTGATACAATTCTATAGATATCGTATTTGTACATAAAAGGCATTTTAATTTCAGCAGAAAACCCCAGGTTTACTCGGTGCTACATTCTCGAGTTTAGTAGCCTCCGTGCTGCGTTGTTTTTGTGGTATTCTTCCTGCTAGTTTTGATGATATCTATATCGATATCGATATTGATCCGGGGAGTAAGGCCTTATACTTAAATAAATTTATAGAAATTTATATAAAAAAGGGGTGTCTCTCTGATCAATCAATACGTTACGTACTTATTTACACTGTACAGGCATAGGCGTATTTGTATGTATTCAGCGGGTAGTTTCATTCAACGGTGTAATTCAGCCTTAAATTAAGACTTTCCAAGTAGAGTTAACTGAGACTACACTTTTAAACCGTCCTTCAGTCCTATCAAGGCCAAAGCCTCATAAATATAAACTAAAACCAACTGCTTTCGCCTTCATATAGATATCCCATAGCCCAAAACAACTAACATCAACAGTCTAATTCATCAGCTTACTCTTATTCCTTTCCGGTATTCCAAATACCACAATTTTAAAAAGTAATTATAAACGTAATCCCAGGAATATAAACCACCCGTAGCTTCGTCGTGTATCTGTTTATCCACACGGAGTATAGATAAATCCAGCGAGACCAAGTAAGGCGGGTTACCCAGTATTCTCGTAATCCCGGCGGAAGCTCAAAAATTACCCGGTAGCCAAAGGTTAGAGTCGAATAGAACTAATTATTTGTATATTTCATCGCGGATTTCACGGGGGGGAGGTTTAAAAATGAAGAGTTTGTGGAATACATGATATATAGGTAAGTACCTATACTTAAGTAGATATATATTAGTCCTAGGGTGATGAGCTGAGGCAGGCCAACCCTCACCTAGGTCCCTCTTTAATCCGAATCTGGGCTGGAAATATAGTATATTGATAAAAAGTATAAAAGGGATCAAGAATCCTGCATTGAGATCTAGCTTCTTCCCGTTATTTATTATTATTCTTATTTTTATTTATTTTACAATACGTAAGTAGTTGGGATATTTATTAGAAATCGACTCAGTCGGCGTCGCGCATATACAGGTATATACTATATACTTACTAAGTAAGTATTATATACCAACATTCTTCCAGATAGACCAGATGTATACGCGTAGTCCCGTGAAAAAATAAAAAGTTGAAAGGAGAAGTATACATGATGACTCAGTAAGGCAAAATGCATGCATGCACCGTACGTACGTACCAGTGCACAAACTCGCCTGAATGCTGGATTCGAGGCTACCTGAATGTATGCCAGAACAGAGAGCCCCTACACCTAAAGTAAGTAATCTATACCGTTTTACCTCCAGGCAAAAAAAAATCAAAAAATCAAACTTCAAGATCAAAACCGAATTTAAACCCGGCTCATCAATTACCCTGCATACATACGAACACTCAAAATACCACAGATATAAACTAGGTCGGTCTCGTAGTAACAACGACTTTTATATTCGACCACAAGCAAGCAAACCTTCTTTTTTTTTTTTTTTTTTTTTTTTTTTTAATTACACAAAAAGATCACTCGCACACTCCTTCTGATGCCTAAACCCCACTTCCTCTAAGAGAAGTTATGGATCGATGACGAAATATAAACCAGCCCGCCAAACACGGTGGTGCTTAAATTCTGGTGTTCCGAAAAAAGAATGCCCAAAACGATATATTACCGTTTTCGCCAAGTAACGCAAAAATATACAACAAAAGACAACGCATCAACATTTACTCCTAAAGTACTAAAAAAAGCTAAGAGGTCCGTCCCCAGAATACGATTTGAGAATACAACGATACTTGCGTACCAATAGTTCTATAAGACAGAGCTAGCTAACTATCAAAAGTAGCGCACTTTTTTTCGGACGAGCAAAAAAAATAAAATAAAAGAAGATATCAGTAATATAAAATAAAGGAAAGTGAAAGCCAGATGATATACATTTTTTTGTTTTAGTATGTGGCACGGAAGGCTTTTGTTATTTGCATGAAAAAAAAAAAAAAAGATATTATTCTCCAGCAAGAGAGTGTTGAAGCGTAATAAAAGCAGCAGAGGGTATATATAGAAACCTTCGTAACAAATAAAAATTCTGTTAAAGAAACGCCCCACCATGGATCACCAGATCAGAGCAGTAAATGAAAAGAACAAAAAAAAAAAAGGAAAAGAACAAAAAGGAAAACTCCAAATTCACCTTCGTCCCACGCAAGATTACATCAATGATCCCGTATAAAAGAAAACAAAAAAAAGAATATAAGTACACCTCATCATATCGTAAAAAAAAAAAAGAGCCCCTTCAAATATTGGTCGGTCGGGAAGTAGGTGGATGGGGAAGGAGGAAAGACTTTTTTTTAGGTCTTCGGCTTAAAGCAATAAAGAATAGCCTCCCCATCCTGCCCACCACTCATCATCCTACTATCACTCAACGCCACACACGTCACCGGACCCACATGTTGTGTGACCGTCCTCTCACACTTACCCGTTCTGATATCCCAGATCTTAAGCATCCCATCTTCGGCACTGGTGATAGCTCTCAAAGAGTCCGCACTGAGTCCCCAGATTCCCTGAGTATGTCCGAACAGGGTCTTGATACAACGGCCCGTGGCCACGTCCCAGAGCTTCACCGTCGTATCAAGTGCAGCTGTGAGCATGTGGGTTGGAGCACGGCTTACATTCTTGGGAAGGATGTGAGGACCATCATCGGAGCCGGGAGAGGAAACGTCTGCAGCATCGTCCATACATTCGTCTTCGTCAAAGGATTCCAAGTTCAAAGGAAAGCACTGTTGAACGTGGCCGACATGACCGGTAAATGTTCGTATGCAAGCTCTACTTGTCAAGTCCCACATTTTCACAGTCGTGTCATCCGAGGCGGAGAAGAGTGTGTTCGAAGCACCATGGATCCTAACGGCATTGACCCAGTCGGTGTGACCGCGGAAGATGGCAGTCCTTTTGTCGTTGAAATTCCAGAGCCGGATGGTGGTGTCGACGCTACCAGAGGCTAAGAGCTCACCCTCGAAGTGGAGAGATACAACACCGGCTTGATGACCTCGAAGGATGTTGATGCATTGACCGGTCCTCCAGTTCCAGATCCTAAGCGTGTTGTCCAAAGATCCGCTGATGAGCTTTGTTTCGTCAAACTGCAAGGCTCTGACGCAGTTGGTATGTCCTCTGAGGGTTCGAATCTCGGTTGCAGTTTCGATGTCCCAAATTTTGACGGTCCGGTCGTACGAACCGGTTGCGACCATGGTATCATCGAATTGAATGCATACGATGCCGTTTTCGTGGCCCTTGAAGATTTTGGATTGGTATCTGCCTCTTCTCCAGTTCGATTCGACCTTGTAGCGCTCGGAGTAAACGTCTTTCCAAAGGCGTTGTCGTCTTTCCTTTAGATTCAACGCACTAGTTTCTTCGACGATACCCGAGGAAGAGGAAGAGGTGCGTCGGCAGACCTTCTTGGCACGTCGGGTAGTTTCCGGGTCTTCGTCGGAGTCGGAAAGTCGCTTCCTGTCAAAGGTGTCCTCGACGGCAAATTCACCCTTGGGTGGGATCACTCTGCCCTTGGCCCTCAGTTCCATCTGTCGTTTTGTTTGACGAAGTCGCTTTCGTTCGAGCAGTGGCAAGCCCCAGCCGCATTTGGTGCACTTCCTGTCGATGTGTTGCTCGCACATTTTGTGCCAGACAACATCATCGTCGGCAAGAGTTCGCCATCGACGGGAGACCTGAGCTGCTTTACATAGAGAGGTAGTATCGAGGAAGGAAAGGATTCTGAAGGAGAGTTCGGGAGGGAGGGCGGAGATGAAGTCGATTCGGATGAGATCTCTGAGAGCGCCGGAGATGAAGGAGAGCTGAGGGAAGCAACATTGGGTCAGGATCCCTTGAAGGATGAGGATTCTCTGACTGGCAGGTGCAGCTGAGAAGATTGTCCAGACATGAGAGATGGCTTGTTGGTCCGACACCGGCAGTTTTTCCAGACCCTATTGTTTTTTAAACAAAAAAAAAACTTGGAATTAGTTATTCGAACATGCATATGCAACATTCCTGATGTGCAGAGAGATCTTTTTTTAATTTATTTTAAACCAAAAAATATTCCAAGATTTTTATTTTAATATTGTTTCATAATTTCGGTATTTCCTGCAGGTGTGTGTATAGATATATATGTATAAAAGTAAATGAATATAAAATACCTTTTGGACTTCTTCCATGGTAGGCTCATCTGCCTGGCGTCGGCATTTGAGGTCGGGATGATGTCGGTAACAGTACTTTGTGTTCGCAGAGGTTTTTGGAGGATGCTGGCCGGTGTACTGGTCGGGGATATGTTTGGAGAGAAAGGGAACGACGGCGACTTTGGAGGAAGCTTCGATGTCCATATGCGATGATGTTTTTGTCGGAAAGAAGCAATGACTTGCTGGTGCACGTGAGGAGGATGAAGAAGAGAGAAGACGAAACGAGACCGGGAGGCCTTGAAAAAAAGAGAGAGAGAAAAAAAAAAGAGTCGGAAGATAATTTCTTAATTGAAACTGTTTGACTGGATTTCAAGGGTCGCCCGGTTAGATTGTGATTGATTGATTGATTGATTGATTGATTGATTGACTGGTAAAGTAAGAGAGCAGGGGATGGATGGATGGATGAATATGTGTATATGAAGATGGAGATGAAGGGGGGGTAGGAGGGGATTGAAGGGACTGGGACTGGGACTGGAGAGAAAAAAGATGGGGGAGGAGGAAGTCGAAGGTGCAGCGGGAAGGGCTTTCGATCGGAGCTAATTATGCAGCGGCAGGTCACCGCACATAAACAACTTACATATCCGATTTGATTTGATTTTATACTCTCAGGAAAGCGGGTTATATAAGAAGTATGCAAGTACTTACTTTAAGTATTCAAGTAATTATCGATGTCATCCAAATCTCGAAAAGACAGCCTCGGATATCTATATCTTTTGTATCTTTCTTTTTATAAAAAAAAGATCCGAATAGTAAATCGACAGGGTCGATGACGTGCGAGGGGCTAGTCTGAGTTCGTCTGAAGTATTTCCTGTCTTGTCCTATCCTGTCTTGTCCTGACCTTGTCCTTATCCTGACCTTGTCCTTCCTTGACCTATCCCGAGCTGTCTTGGACCTGTCTGGGGTAGTTATAGTAGTTTATGGGGATGGTATGGTATATGATACGATGTACTGTACTGTACCAGCCGGGAGGCAAAAAGAGGCCAGTCAGTGCAAGGGAAGAGCGAAAGAGGCTATTCAGCTAGCTTCAACGAACGAACAAACTTTCTCTCTCTCTCTCTCTCTCTTCTTCTTCTTTGAACAAACTATAATATATATATCCTCTTTGATAAAAGAATATACTAGTATAGTAATAGTATATATATATATTTATATAAAAGAAAAAGAAAAAGAAAAAGAAACTACTTGACTCTCACGGGGGCGTAGAAGAAGAGGATCATTGGGGGTAGTTATATAAAATAAAATCTCTCCGAAGATCTTGGAATGTCGTGGATGAGCAAAGATTAAGTAAGTATTTGATGAGAAGAAGCTGGCGAAAAGACTCCGAGTTAGCTAACAGACTAGTTATTATTACCACCAAGGAGGTTAATATTAATCAGACTGAGGAAAGAACAGAAGAGACAAGAAAGAAAGAAAGAAGCTAAAATATTTGTAGCAGACTAACTTGATTCCTTCGGTGGCGCCACCTGGGTTCTTGTATTTATATGATTTCTCCGCCCCCAGTGCTGAGTGCTGGCTGCAGCATCCCTTTCCATTCGAAATCAGGCCCAGAGCCCTATTTCTTTCCCGTTTCATTCACACAATCATTCAATCAACTTCACATTCACTCCCTTCCGTCCATACAATACATACACACTGTATTGTATGTAAGTACACATACGCATGTAAGTACACACATACGTACGGCACCGGACGGCTAAGGCTGCTGTGTGGCCGCGGTAGTTAAGGGGAGGAGGGGAGGGGGTATTAGGCCATTCGTGCCCGATATTGGTAGTCATTGCACCATTCACCCCCCTTCCTTTCCCTCGTCTTCCTCTTCTTCCTCTTCCTCTTCTTCCTTTTTCACACAGGAAAGTGCAGGCTATTTATTGGGAAAACGTGGGTTATGGCGAACATGCGCCCGGTAATGGCGACATCTCGACCGTACCATACCATACCATACCATACCGTACCATACCTACTTTTTTTTTCTTTTCGGTTGCTTGATGTTCTTTCTGTCTCTCTGCCTTGCCTGCCCGTATTGGTTAACCCAATAGAATATTTCAAATGCCAGACCTCTTTTTTTTTTTTTTTTCTGTCGCCGGGCCGGGCTTTAAATTGTCGCCGGGGAGGAATCGAGATTAGTATCATCGATTAGATTGATTATAGCCCTTTCATGTAGTCGAGTCATATATCAGTACTTACTTGCTTAGTTAGTAAGTCAGTACTTAGCTATCTGCGAATATAACCTGTTAGCGTATTATATACCATACCTAACTTTTCTTACTTAATCAAATCGAATCGATCGAAAACTCTCAAAAATGGCATGATACCCCGGTTTTCCTTTTTGTTTTTTTGCCATATTGGAAAAAGAAATCGGCTGTTGAGTTCCGGGCTTTTGTTTGACAAGAGACAACCCCGGCAAATATCCAAACAACCTTACAATTCTTCCTCATCCCAAAAACCATCGTCAATACTTTTACGCATCAACAACCACCACCACCACCTCCACCAGAACTACAACCACAACCAGCCATGCCTACGCCCTCCAGCACAAAGCGCGTCAAAGTACGTCACCCTTGCACCATCCCGTCTGCCTCCGGGCCACCCCCCTTCTGACTCTGGGACCCTTCTCATCCATCTTACAGGGCGTGCAAATCTACAGACCCATAGGTAAATACCTTAATCCATCCATATAAAATAAAAAAAAGCATACTACGATGACATGATGACCCGATGAGAAAAAATTAAAAAATTAAAAAAAAGGAACATGCATTCTAACAGAATAATATATTGCGAAATATATAGTGTATGGCAACATCGCCACTCCTATCACGAAAGAGAATAGAACTAGTAATCTCCCGCCGGAACATACCCACCGATGGACCGTCTCCGTCAAAGGTGTCTATGACGAGGATGTCTCCTACTTTGTCAAACGTGTTCAGTTTAAACTTCACGAGACATATACGAATGCTACTAGAAGTACGTTTTTTTCTTCTCCCGGTACCATTACCACCTTTGCAACTACATCCTTCGATATAGTTCCACGGACATATATATATATATATGTATGTGTGTCAGAAGATATATATCTTTGCATATATATAAAGTATACACGTGCATGTAAAAAAGAAAAGAGAAAGAGAGAGAAAAATAGATAAGAAAAAAAGAAGAGCTAAAATATTAATACAAAAAATCATCAGCACTCGATGCACCTCCATTCGAAGTCTCCGAAACAGGCTGGGGTGAATTCGACATCCACATCAAAATCTTCTTCCGCACCGAATCCGGCGAAAAACCCCTCCAGCTATACCATCACCTAACCCTCCACCCCTTCGGCCCGGACAAAGAAATAGCAAAGGAACAAAACCGTCCCGTCCATGCCTACCAATACGAAGAAATCCTCTTCAACGAGCCAACCGAGGCCATGTACGAAGTTTTGACTTCGAACAAAGCTCCCGAGCTAGCTCCAAAGAGGACCGGGAAGATCATGTACGCTCAGGACACCGAAGGCGAGGAGGAAGACCGTTTAGCCGAGGCGATCAAGCAAGTCCAGGAGCTCAAGGAAGAGACCAGGAAGAAGCTGATAGACAAGGAGAAGACATTGGCTGAGATGAAAGCTGCGACAGGGAAATACCCCAAGTCATAAGCCCCTTCTTACTTACCCAGTCATTCGCTCACCCTATCGCGCGTGCTCCTTCTCCGCAGAACTCTCCATGCTAAGCCATATCCATCCGAGAACTTCTTACGAGAGAGAAAGGACTATTACGAAAGAAAACGCATATCTGACTCGTCCGAAAGAAGAGGGAGGATGGAAAGGGGAATATTACGAGACCGAGGGGACATATCACGAAAATAACTCGGATATGGTCACATTTTCTTTTAATTCCTCAGCAGGTTTTTTTTTCCCTCCGTCAATCTTAATCTTTTTCAATTTTTCTTACGAAACGCGAATGCCCATAACGCTCATCACGTCAGAGGAGGGCTGGATCGCATCAGCCTTATGCCACCGCTTCCGCCATTCTTTCCTTTTTCCCACATACTTTTCTTCCCCCTTTCCTCCTTCTCCTCCTCTACCTCCTCTATTCTTCCATGAACAGGTGTGCTTTTTTGTTTAAGGTTTTTTTTAGAATCGGTCTCTTCCTTTTTCTTTCCTTTTTTCTTTCCTTTTCTTTTCGCTTTTAAGCCTCGGAGCTAGATTGATTTGATATGATATCAAAAAAAAAATTGTACGATACCCATGGGAATTCGAATTCTTTTTTACCGTGTCCTTTATACTCCCGATATAATCATACACGCACCGTCGCCATCATCACCACCAAAATCCCTCTCCCCCGACTCTAGGCCTTGTAACCGTATCGTAAACATAACATGTGACAGTTTTACTTCTTCCTGCCCTTCCCAAAACTCTTCAACGGATCCTTCCTCTTCCCCACCTTCTTCCCCTTCTGCTTCCCTTTCCCCCTAGCCGTCTTCCTACTACTCCCCACCTTAAACGGTACACTCCCGCCTTTGTTCAAGCCCATCCCCGCAGCCTTGCCCTTCCCCAGTAAATACTCCGGCACCCTCTTCATATGCTGTTGTACCCTCACAACCTTAATCTCGCGATCATGCCTCAAATGCCTCAAATCCTCCGGGTTCTCTTCAAAGTGACGTTTCAACTTCTCACTAGCCACCAACTCAGCCCTCAACTCCTTCATCCTAGCGTTCTGCACAGCAACCTTAGTAACAGCACGTAAAGCATCATCCATACGGTATCTAAACGCCTCCAACTGTTTCATATCAAAATTATAAGGTTTCAATTCCCGACCCAATTTAGCTTGTTGTTTCTTGATCCTTTCGAGAACCTTTTCGTCCTTTACGGATGATGCGACGCTGGTGGGTCTGTGTTTTCCGTAAAGTGGTTTGGGGACGTAGAATGATAACGCCATTCCTGAGTTTCCGGCGCGAGCGGTACGGCCGATTCTGTGCATGTAGGATTTTGAGGTTACCGGTAGGTCGAAATTTAAGACGCAAGTGACGTTTTGGAAGTCTACGCCGCGGGAGACGCCGTATTCGGTATCACGTTTTCGGTGGGTTGATGATTTTCTTTTTGATTTCTTTTTCTTTTTGGGGGGAGGGTTTCCTTCTGATTCCATTCCTTCCATTGTTGTGTCTCCGTCTTCTCCGGCTGCTTGTCCTTCTTCTACTTCATCATCATCATCTTCTTCTTCTTCTTCCTCATCCCCCATGATTTCGTTTTCATCAGTAGCGATAATGATCTCATAAACGTTCTTGTTGAATTCCTGGACAATGTGTAACCGTGAGTTTACCGGTAACTCGGAGTTTAAAACACAAGCCCTGATACCGAACTGTTCGAGGAACAGTCGTAATCTGTAACATCTATCCACATCTGCGACGAAGATTATGGATTTACCCTTGATAAGCTTCAATTTGAAGATCACATAGAGTAATAAAAATTTCGTATCCTCTCCAGTACTAACCCCCCCAAATATTAGCAAAAAAAAAAAAAAAAAAAAAAAAACTTTAGCACCACTTCCGTAAAGGGTTATATGTAAAAAAAAGACATACCTAATATAAAACTGCTTCACCACCTCAGCACCATCGGCACCATCCTCCTCTTTAGCATCCGGTTTATAAACAAACGGATGTCTACAAAACAACTTTTGTAACCCCTCGACATCGTCTGTCAAAGTGGCAGACATCAAAAAGGTTTGTATACCCTTCGGTAAAGCGCCGGATAATACTTGCATATCATTTTCATGACCGTATGAGAGGATTAAATCGGCTTCATCGATGACAAGGTATTTCAGTGATTCTAGTGATAAGGTTTCGGTGTTGAAGTGGATTGCTGCTCTGGAGGGGGTTGAGATTACGATTTTGGGGTGGGAGAGGAGGAGGGATCTGTTATTTTATAAATATATTAGTATTATTGTTGAGTAAAGGTTTTTGATGATAAAAAAAAAATTGTAAAAAAAGTGAAATAGGAGGAGGATGGGGTTTGGACATACTGTTGAATAGAATCAGATATATTCCTAGCAATGTTAACCGCCGTAATCTGCTTCCCGCAGAAAGTAGTATACTGCTCGATAACTTTATACACCTGATCCGCCAACTCCCTCGTCGGGACCAAAATCAACGCTTCTGTCGCTGCTGCAGAACCACCACTACCACCTTCGCCATCGTTGCTATTGGCGTTATTAACATCTTGCTGAGACGTTAAAATACGGTGCAAGATGGGTAATAAGTATGCAGCAGTCTTTCCGGAACCAGTCTTTGCGCGCGCTAGGATGTCTTTTCCTTCCAATGCAGGTGGGATTACGGATTGTTGGACGGGGGTTGGAGTGGAGTAGTTTAGAGTAGCGATTGCTTGGAGGAGTCGGGGGTCGAGGGGGAGGGAGGTGAAGGAAGTGGGGGACCAATCGGTGTCGGAGAGTTTGCGCTTCATTGTTTGTGGTAGATGGTGGAGAGTTAGTTAGATGTGGTGGAGTTGAAGTTGGGGAGAAGGAAAAAAAGAAGAGTTTGAAATTTTTCTTTTCTTTTCTGGCGCGAAACTGCGATTCGAAGAGAAAAAATGTCTTGGCGGTGGCGGCTCCGGTCTGGCATATAAAACTACAAAAGAACCATAGAAACTTTTAACATGACTGGTATTAATTTGAATTAATTCAAGGAATTAAATTAAACACTTCTAAAAGAGAGGATCGTAGGTTTTAATATAAATGTAGTATGTTACATAAGTACCTCTATAGCATCTTCAATAGTCTTCTCTACTTCAAGAATTGTCTGGCAGACAGTCCCTCCATGATGCATGACCATACCAATCAACCAGATCGGATCAGAATAACCCCCCCAAGATCACGATGAATACCATAGCTTTACCAAATCTCCTCTATTCCATCCATAAAACGATACGATCGATACCCATATATACTACTTAACAAGTACATTAAGTAGGTAAACAATCACTCCTCCCCCACGGGAGTCGCCTTAGTTTTCAACTGAATCCCATGCCATCCTTTAATCTCCTCCGCCAGAATGCCCTGCACTTCCCTATGCATCTTCAACGTCGTCAACCCTCTAAACTTCGGAGACTCGATCTCAACCGCATACATTGACCCGCATCCTCCTGATATATCCTTGACCTATTTTTTTTATTTTTTCCTTCCAATTAGTAAAATTAAATAAAATTAAATAAAATAAAATAATGCATAGCAAATTCAACCATCAAATATATATATATATATATAGGAAGAAACAAAAAGAAAAGAAGAAGAAGAAGGGGAAGAAGGAAATCACATACATCCAACCGACTGGGACTCAACCCTTCCCTCAATTTCTCAAAAATCCCAGCTTCCTTCTCATCTAAATGCTCAGGCACCCCTTCGACCGGATACCCCAACCTTCCGGCCGTCGAAAACCGCTGCAGCCGTCGGTATCCCAACGTCGGTAACCTCGTTGTCGTCGTCGGAAGAACAACAAACGCCGTATCAACCCGTCTCGCAAAGCTTCTCAAAATCGACATTGTCTTGTTTCTTATTTCTTTCTTTCTAGATTACAACCGAGCCAGCGGTGGTATCATATGGTCATAATTGGTAAAAAGAGAACTGGAAAAAAAGGTTTTCTAAGAGACGTATGTATGTATGGTGGGGAGGAGGGTATGCAAGGGGATCGAAGGATTGTTGGATTTTTGTGTTTTTTTTTTTTAATCGATTTTGATATGACGAAAACCCAGCTGGGATTTATAATCGCCAGAATGTATACTACTAACTACATAAGTATGTAGTACCTGGTAGGTGAATTCCGGCGCAAGATCTGATAACGAAAATCCGTAGCCAGGGACCCAAGTTAACTAAGAAGGAGAAGGGACATGTGATCAACCCCCAAGCACTACAAAATTTACAAGATATCCCCCCAGAAGCGGGAAGGGGAAAAAGAAGAAGAACAAAAATCTCTATTTCAGTAAATAAGAATTATAATTTTTGACTGGTAAATTATAAAGTACCCTTCATCATAGGTAATTTAATTCCATATACTTCATTCAACTCCCGGCCTAACCTAAAGCTAAGCTAAGTAACTATAATCAAAAAAGAGAATATATATCTATTGTTACACATGACAATGCAATTCATTCAACGGCATTAACAACCTCACCAACTATCCACCTTCACACAATCACAAGGTAGAAACCAAAAAAAAACAGACACAAGCAAAAAGCAGAGCAATCCTCCAGTGATATAATATATAATATACTTATTCAATTCCCAAAGAAAGAAAGAAAGAAAAAACTGAAGCAAAAAAAAAGCCAAAGAGAAAAATATCCTATCCCGTTTTTATATCCACCCATAGAAATTTTTTGTTACCTATCCGAATGAGAAAGTAGAGAGAGAAAGAGGTCGAAAAAAAAAGAAGCAAGAAAAAAAAAACACGCGCCCAAGGAGAAGAGTGAGCAAGTCAAAAAGATATTCGCACCACAGGGAGGAAATTTCCAGAATCCAAGGCCTCGTTTTTTTCCCCTAACAAACATGCAACAAATAAGGAAGACTTTGTATTAATCTTTAGAAGGAAACGAATAAAAGAAAATGACGAAGACTTTAGTATAGTGATAGTAGTAGTAGTAGTAGTAATAGTAATAGTAGTAGTAGTAGTAGTAGTAGTAGTAGTAGTAGTAGTAGTAGTAATAGTAGTAGTAGTAGTAGCAGCAGCAGACTTTATAAGACCTCCATTAATAATCATGTCAGGAGGAAAGGGTTTATGTTGGATAAACGGAGGACCAGGGGAGTTGAGGAGAAGAATGTATCAAGGAATTGAGAAGAGGGAATTGAAAAATGTGAATAACCAAAGTTTTTGTCAGGAAAATATAGAAGAAAAGAAAAAAGAAAAAGTAGTAGTAAAGGAAATACTTCTCTAGAAACCCTTCTGCATAAAGCGTCAGGAGAGGTTGGTGGAGAAGATGGAACTTTTGCAAATGATAAAAACAAAACAAGAAAGCACAATGAACAGAGCCAAATATCTAATAAACAATCGGCGTGAAAAGGGTTAGACGCTAGATCCAAGTTGTGGAAAAGCGCTCGAGTAGTACTGGGACTGAAAACTATATCCCTGCGATGAAAAGAACAGAAATCAAAAAAATAACAAAAAGACGTCCGACGGCGGAAGAAGAAGAAGCAATTTTGCAGGTAAGAACGAATATCAAAAACAGTAACGGGCATAACGCCATAAGGAAAGAACAAAGAGACCCCTGAAGCATTCAAGCATAAGAAAGTTAATCTCGAAACAATAAAAACTCATCAATTCGCGGCCGGTGCCTGGGTAGTGGGATGGGCGTGACACGATAGAGCATTCCGCTTCGGTCGTTAGCCATTAAGGGAGGAAAATGATCGTAAAAATACACTCAAGAAGAAGAAGAGAATAGGGAATTCCAAAGGCGGGTCCGAGCAAGAAGAATAAAAACTCAAGAGAAAAAAAAAAGAATGAAAGACAATTCAGAGCTTTATGCCCAATTAGTAAACACGCTCATTCGCCAGAACAATGTTGCATGGATATGGATGTCGAACAAGATTGCCAATTGATCTCCCTAGGTTTGGATGGGAGCACGGATGTCGAAGGGTGTGGTGGCCGGAAAGCCGTAGATGTGCGATGGTGACGGGGACCTAGATCCCTTCTGGGAACCCTGGGAGGAGGAGGATGTGGAAGGCGATGTGGTAAAGTTGCGTCCACTGGCTCCATCCAATCCCTGATGAGGTGGTGATGGGGATCGGGAGGACATCTTGTAATGAGTGGCCGCGAGTGAGTGATTCTCGTGACCGGGTCCCTCTGGCCGGTTTGGCATGGAAGAACCAGTTGTTAAGGATGGCGAAGATTTGGCAGAGCCGAACTGTGTGTTTATCGTTAGCGCTAAGGTTTCCGATATGAGCGTCGAGTCGATGGAGAACTTACAAAGCAGAAGTTCTCAAGAATTTCCTTGTACGAGGCGGACTCGACGGAAGGCTTCCTATCGGAACCGAGGGACTTGAGGGCATCCAAGGGTGTGGGCTTGAAGGTCGGAGTCGGGACTGGGGTGGCAGCAGGGGTAGTGGTATCCAGGGTTACTCGAGGGATCTGCTTGTCGCTTGCGGTAGTGAACGTCGCACTGAGCGCGGGGGAAGAGTGGGACCGAGGTAGACCGCTATTCGTAGTCAGACTATGAAAGTACGGGTTCGGTGCCGGCTTCTCCTCCTTCAAGTTGGTCTTCAACTTGAGACCACTTCGCTCAGGACCGAGAACAGTGGTAGCGGTAGCCATAGCTGCTGCCAAAGAAGCACCGAAGTCGTATCGATTGCCGAAGGCATTCCCAGACGGATTTGCTCGACGTGCTAGGGCCTCCGGGTCGACGGCACTGGTCTTCTTGACAGGTTTGGCTGGTCGCATATCCATTTGTCGGTCAACGGCATGAGAAAACATCTTGTATTCCGGTTGGGTCTTCAAATCATAAGCATCAAAGGAGTCATCAAAGATCGGCATAGACCTTGGTCGTGGAGCAGATGAAGTGACACCCCTGCTGCGCGGCAGCGGTCGGGAGGACGCGGACGATGCTCCGGACTTCCCGTGCTGTGGAATAGCCTTCTTCTTGAAGTCGACTTGGTAGTTGATAGAGTTGTTGTTATCCCAAAATTCCTGATCGTTGCAACGGTATCTAACACAGAAGAACAAAGTCTTGTTCTCCAGGTTGGCCATGTCCTCGAGCTTGATCTTGAAGGTGAAACGATCATACCCATCCTCCAAGTGTCTGCGGCGGATATCATTAGTAAACTCTGCGGCGACTTCGGATGTAGTCTGCCAGTAGTCCAGAGTAAAGCGGGCGACGACCAATTTTTGGAAGGAGATGTTGGCGACCGCCACATGGCCGAGAAGGGACTTCTTGTCGTGGGAAAGAAGAACCTTCTCAACGCGAACCACAGCAGAGCTTCTATCAGAACGATCCGGGAAGTTGGGTGTAGCGATCTCCCACTCAAATGGCGGTTCATCAGACGAAGGGAAGGGATATTCGTTATCAGTATCAATGCCGGACTCAACTGGTGAAGACCCTGCACTAACGGCTGTCGGACGCTCGGAGTGGAGGAAGTGTCGAACATGTTCGAGATGAGCATCGAAGTGGACGACCTTGGGATATGTCGGTGTGGAAGGCATGCTCGAGGGCCTTCTCCTGAGGTTTGGGCTTTTCAGGGAGGACTTGACAAGCTCACCACTCTTCTTGCGAACCATTGGTGGTGCTATCTGATAATCATCATCTTCATCATCATCCATATTTGGAGATCCATTCTGGCTCTGACTTCTTTTGGGTTCCTCTGGCTGTCGGATTGTTGGTACTCGTCCCGACCCAGTGACATCGGATGCCGATCTAGCATGGCCGACAACATGTGCCAACTTCTGGTGGATACGAGCACTTAAGATTTCTGGTGACCTCTGTTCGATAAATACCTGTTCAGGCTTGGGTTCCATGACAGGCGATGCAGACCTTCTCTGAGGGATACTGTTTCTGATGGCAGCTTCCAACTCCTTAACGTCAACAAGCTGACGTCCACGCTTGATCCTGTTGTTCTCGGCTTCGTCGTCGCTGGAGTTCTGTGACGAGTCGGGAGGAGAGATGACAACGCCTGTGGACATGATTGGGACCGGTGGGGCCTGTCGAATGCTGCTTCCCGATGTCGACCTGGGAGGATGTAATATTGGGCCACTTCCACCGGGCGGGGACATCATAAAGTGAACTGGCTTAGCATCTCCGGGCCTCGGCCCACCAAGAGAAGAACGACGAGTCTTGTTAAGATAAGACGTCGACCTGGTGGGCTGGGGCTTCGCAGGTGTGATCAGATTTATAGCAGCGGAGGGAGATGGTATTTCAGAGAATGACGATGACCGACTGCTCGTCCGTGACTGAGAGTGGGATGCATTGGGAGAGGGGCTGGGGGGAGTGTAAGGCATCCGACCGACTGTTACAGCGGAAAGGAAGGATGGTTTATGTTAGAAGTCTAGAAAGACTTTTTGGGGCCCTTTCTTTGTAGAAAAGGGAAAAGAAAGCCTGATCAACTGCAGATTCGAATGGTCTGTCGGTCGGTCAGATAAACAGGAGTAAAAAACAGATCGTTCCGGGAAACGGTCTTGCTTTTGACTTTTAAAGTTCGAGTGGTGTAGAGAAAGGGTGGCGATATTGAAAGAGAAAGGATGTCGAGGTCTCTTGCAGTTCAATCCAATTCAATTCAGTTCAAAGGATGATGCCGAAATCGAAAATGCAACAATGCTGTTTAATATAAAACAATGCGAATGAAGCAGAAGACAGAAGAAGAATCCTATCGTAGCAAAAGCCCGGATTAGTTAACAACCTCTCTTTCTCTCTTCTCGGTCAAGAATGCCAACCAGCTATTATTAATAATTCTGAAAAAAGAAGAAGAAGAAAAAGAAGAAGAAGAAAAAGAAGAAAAAGAAGAGAGGGCAAGGTGATAAAGAAAGAGGGAAAAAAAAAAAAAAAAAAAATTAAAAGTTTTTCTTAGTTGGTTAGCAGCATGGGAGGCAAATGGCGTAGGCCATGACACGATGTATTCGTTCCTGTCCTGTCCTGTCCTGTCCTGGCTGTCCCGGCCTGTCTTGTCTGTTGAGGACCCGACCGACCAATGCAAAGTAAAAATAACGATATCTTTCCGGCCTGGCCGCTGCTGAGTGGCAGAAACAGGCGAGCGAACTGCTTCGCTTGGGCTGGGCTGGGAACTGGGAACTGAACTGGGTTGGGCTGGCCAGCTGGGTCGGACGGGGTTCCCAACCAGCCTATCACAACACAATTCTCCGCCGCCCAGTGCCGTAGCCTCAATCTGAGCCGGCGCTCCTCTCCAGAAGGATGATGAATACGAAAATTAATGACTTCAAGAGACATTAATTGCAACAAAGTGATGCAAACAAGATAATTAAAACTGCAGCGGGTGTATTTGTGAATCAGAAAGACTACCAGCCGGAGACCTTCTGGTTTCCCGTCAAGCGTGTTACGGAGCACCAGACGAAAAATGATTTTCGTCAAGAGGCTAGAGAAAAGGAAATAAGAAAAAAGGTTGTTCTCACAGCAGCAGCACAGACCAGACATGCAAAGAAGATCGAATGGAATGATGGAGAGAGAGAGATAGAGGGATAGAATGGAGGGAGAGAGAGAAGAGATCACAAATCACAGTTCTTTGGCATGTCAATCCCACCCTCGAACCCAGCTGTAGCGCCACGGTCTTGTATCAAGGGAACGGATTTCAATGCAATGGGGGTCACATGTGAAGTCTTGTAGACAGACTATAGAGTAAGTTTCGTTCAACATGCCGTGGAACATCGAAAGGTGTATCCATAAGGAAAGCGTAAGAAAACGGAAAACCGTACTCAGAAAAATGTTTAAGGAAAACGCCGAAGCCTTCTTTTTTTCATACTAACCCTATAAAATAATAATCACGAGTGCAATGTAATGGTAATTCAAAACGATTTATGTCGCGGGAGGTGAGGAAACAAGGCGGTTGAACAGAAAAAACGCGAGGAGGGCGTTCGAGAGACCTGGGATGCTCGGAATTCGACGCTGACGAAACCGATATATGCAATGGGATGGTTAATTCTCTGCAAGAAAAGTGAATTCCTCACAGACTGTCGAAGTAAGAGTGGATAGGTAAAGTTCCAAGTATTCGTCGAGGTGACCCTTAAAAACTTAACAGAGAAGAAAGAAACGAAGAGATAGAAGAAGAAAAACTATTGAATGCTCGTTAAACCAAAATGCCCAAATGTCGAGAAAGTGGTGATGATGGATATGGTGTTGAGGTGTTATAGGAAAAGGGCGGAAACGGTGTGGAGGGGGATGGATGGATAATAAAAGTCGTAAGAGGGTCGTCAAGCCTCGCTATGGAAGTTAAGTGTCGAATGGGAAGAAGAATTCAAGAGGAGGAGAAAAAACGAAGGAGAAGGAAAGAAAGAGAAGGATATGGCGAGGATTAAAAGTTTATTATCGGACGAAGAGATATTGCAATGTTGTATGTAATGTATGTAATGTAATGGCTGTATTGTATGGTGGAGGTGAGGAAGAAGGTGGCGGATTGGGAAGGGAAATTTTGATACCAGAACAGCAATCGAACAAGAACGGACTATGCAAGAATCAAAAGAAATAGAAATAAAAAAAGAAGATTAAAAAAAGAAACAAAAAGGTTGAAAAAGAAAAGAAAAGGTTATAGGGTGTGTATAGTAACTATTACGAATAACAAAAGAGACGCTGATAGAGACCGAGACTCACCTTTCTTGCTGGCTGGCTGGCTGGCTGGCTGGCTAGCTGGGGTGAGGATCGAACGGGATAAGGCGGTGAGAAGTGGGCGGGTGGTTGTGTCCTGGTGTGGGTCGTGTCGCTCCACTCTGTCCTTGTATTGTAAGTACTATGTATTGTATCGTCGCCCTCGCTCTCGCATCAACGTTTGGGAATATGGTGCAGCAGACAGACAGACAACCGTACAGGTAGATTCAAGGGAGTGCAGTGGAGCCTGTCATTGGACAGAGACAGGTTTTATAAAGGAGAGCAGGTGCAAGTATGTACAAGTGCAAGTGCAAGTGCAAGTGCAAGCAAGCAAGAGTGATATGATGGGGATGCTGCCATGCCATGCCATAGCATACCAGGACATGCCCGGGTTCAGCATGGGGCAATTAACAAAAGATACCGCAGCACTGGCTGCACCGAGGGGGGGTCAAACTATGTAAGTTACTATGTACTCAGTTAGCTCGAGCATGATGGCAGATACAAATTCGGTATAGGGAAAAAATGATGGAGGGTGGATGGGGGTTAGAAAATGTCCTGCACGGTGATGGATGGCAGGGATATCAGCCTGCTGGCGGACTTCTGGTTGGTCGAATAGGCTAACTGGAACGAGGCCAAAGGAAAAAGTAACGTCGATGCAATTATATTAATACGCAGTAATGGTATGTTTTGTATGAAGAAGAAGTTCCAGTTCCAGTTCCAGTTCGCATATTAAACCAGACAGGCGTCCATGGTTCCGATTGAGGAAAAAGTAAAAGCCTGATATGATCGATATAATACGATCATGTCAATTGCAATGCCATGCTTTGCTTTGCTACTATAAAGACACGTCTGTGTACATGATTGATACCGCCTACATTACATATACATACACATACACATACACACATCCAGACAGACATGCAGACAGACATGGTCAAATTGGAAATCTTCTTGATCCAGCTAGATGCATTCATTCACATTTGACATGACAGGTCCGGGGAGAAATAAATCCTATGCTATGTCACAATTCAATTCAATTGCCTTCGGATTCGCTTCCATTGAAAATTTTCGTGCTCAGTGCTCGGTGCCGGTCCCAAAACGAACGAACGCACGAACGAACGAACGAACGAACACCATCAAACAATCTCACCACCTTTTTTTTTCTCTTCTCGATGTATCGTATGTTTTCTTTTGCTGGAGCCTTATCAAAAACCGTGCTAGCGCTGTGTGTGCCAAATTCCAAGGCACTGACTGGTAGCTAATAATAATCCCATTCAACCAGAATGAAAAAATTTTCTGGAGGTTCTGAGATATTGAGCTCTAAATTTTCAAAAAGAAAGAAAAACTTCAAGAAACCCCCATTTTACGAGATCGCGACTGCCTTGTTACAGAGTCAATTGTGATTACCAGATGCAAAGAAAACGGAAGGAAGGAAAGAAAATCATCCCACGCGCGGCTCCTGGTTCCGGCGATTTCAATCGATACGCCATAATTTCCATAAATTTAAGATTTTTCCCAGTAAACTCATGAAATGTTCCGACTCGGAGAGGCAATTACGCACTCGTAGAATGTTGGTCGATGGCAACCGATATGTTTTTGGACCTTTCGATATTAATTACAGAATACGCCGTCAAATCTCACCTACTATTTCCAGCATTTTTACATTTCATGAAAGATTGAGGCAAAGGAAGAAGTAGTAGCGTTCGAGGATATCCATCAATTGTAACTCCTTGTTGGGAGTTACGGTCCAACCTAAACCGGAGCTCGACGGCCACGGAGATCCGAAAATGAAGCTAGGCAGCGGACGGGAAGGAAGGGCATTCAATTAAAACAACATTCCCTCGGATTGCTGAAGCCCTAAACTCTGTTTTTACTCAGGAGTAACTACATCTTACCATAGCGGAAGAAGGAGAAGCGTCTAGGAACGAACAGGCGAGGGAGAGATCGATTCGATTCGCTTCGCAAGTACCGATACACCTCTAGCATGATATGACAATCACTCTAACTGAAGTCGTTGCACTATTTTGGGGGGCACGCTATCTTAGCTTCCCAAAAACACCATCCCCACCCCCCTTGGACACCATCAGAGCATGGGGGTCCCGGTCAAGCGTCAACCTTTCGAACAGGCGACATTTGAACGACGATCGACATGCCAGGTGGGGCCCGAGCACCCATCCCGTTAACCAAAGTTTTGACGACCATGTCGACCAGCCTTGCTTCATGACAGGAGGCGGGAGAGATGACAGTATCGGATCTCCGATGGATGGGTGGTTTTCCTGCCCATCATCCAAATAAATAACAAAAAAAAAGACCGTGCACTACATACGAGATTGCAGCATTCGATCTGTATATGTTAGAAAAGCACGGTTTCGTCGACAACAGCATTCGCAATCGGGGACAAAGAATGCATTGGATTGGACGCACTCCGCCATTCCTTCTCCAACTATCTCCCGTCGATTGTCACATCAATTGCCATTTCAAAAAAATTCTTGTTAATTTTCTATTTTATTCTCCTCTATTTTTTTATTTTATTTTTTATTTTTTTTAAACTCGCCGCAGGATTTTTAATTTTTCTTTCTTCCTTCTTGAAATCCCGTCCTTTTAGTTTCCCTAAACTGATAATGATAGGCGGCCGGTTGAAGAACCCCATCTTGAAGAGTTTAAGAGTTTCATCCTCACTTCGCGTGCA